ACTTTTTTCCCTGTCCCTGTCACATCGAAAACCTATGATGATGTAATTCTGAATGTACTCCTCGATGCATTCGTCCTCCAAGAATGATTATGTGAAGCAAACGACATACTCAACAAATAAAAATTAGCTTGAAGTCATTTTTAATGACACTTGAATGGCAAAATTACATATAGAAAGTTGGTAGGTAAAAGGGACAGGGAAATGTTTAACTTTGGACCCTACACATACATGGTGAGTAAAAAAAACCCAAGCAAATGGCGGGACAAATTTTTGAATGAAGTTCTGCATGTAGCACTTTGACAATCGAGGATATGAAAGCCCAATCATTGAGCTTTTTTTTAGTACAAGAATCATTCTAATCACTCTTGTACCTTTCATGTTACGGAATTGTGCACACAAACACCGCTTTAAAGTTCTGTCCACGGACCACAACAAAAGGTGCCCATAAAAGTTCTTCCGGCAAAATGAAAACAATTCACATGCATCCCTCTGAGATTTGTTTTCGTTTTGCTGAAAGAAGTTTTGTTTGTGATCCGTGGACAGAACTTCAAAACGGTGTGTGTTCAAAATTCTGTAACTTGAAAAGTACATGAGTGATTTGAATGTTTCTTGTACCAAAAGAAAGCTTAATGACTGGGCTTTCATATCCTAGATTCTGGAAGTGATACAGGCAAAACTTCATTCAAAAATTGGTCCTGCGATTTGGGTTTCGTTTTGTTTCTACTCACCCTGTACAGAAATTGTGTTTGCCAGATTGGTCTATACTAAAAAGGGACATTTAATTTGCGAGAGGAAAATTTGATCAATGGTTTCAATGGGGGGAGTTGGGAGAAGGGCAAGTCAAATCAACATGCTCCAATGAAGGACTCGAAATTGAACACAATATTCACTTGAAAGTTATATTTCATTTTATTTGTTTCTTTTTTAACTTTAATTTGTTCACAATGCAATGCTTTCTGGAGTGAAATTCCACAATATTCCATAATATATTTCATGATCAAGTTTAAAATATTCACAGAAATTCTATACACATAAATTTCCTTTTCTTTAAATGAACATACATATATAAAGCGCAATATACATAAAGTAAATATTTACTGGAACATTCAATTTAACAATTATTTTAGTCTATTTACTTCTTAGACTTTTACCAGCCTGGAACTGTATTCCATTCCAAGCCTAGTATCTTAATTTAGTTTGGCAATTTTACAATTATTGTTCATGAAAAAATATGTCACTGAACCATTTCTCCACTGTATTATTTTTGGAGTGTGGAATAGAATGATAAAATGGGGCATAATTTCAGTTTTGGTTCTTTTAATTTTTTTTTTCAATTTGAAGGCTTCTTTCAAGCATGAGCCAGAACTGCACTGGACGCCCAAAGAAAAAAAAAAGAGGAAAACTAGGGCGGTTCTCAGGCACATTACACTAACAGACACACTACAAGAGGGACAGACGAGGATATGTCCATCCACACCCCCAACACCTTATGCCTCAGACAGGGTGAGAAATGACCCCCCGGGGTAGGGGGAAGCGGAGATGATTACGGTATATCCTGGTCTGTAATGTGATTGTTATGGTTGGCCTGATGCCTGGGAGTTGCGGTGTGGAAGAAACAATGTCCGCGGTCATTAGCCGGGTTCATTGGGGTGAATTTGGACGGGTGGACAGGTGGGGAGGTGAGAGGATTTAAGGGTGGGGAAATCCTAGCCCATTCATATGGCATCATTTGACTTAGAGTCAAACAAGAGACAGAAATGGAGATGGGCTGGACACCGAGGCAGAACAAAAGATGAAGCAACACCACAACAGAATGGCAACCTCTCTCCGGAAAAAAGAAAATGTGGCAGACCTCGAACAAGTTGGAGAGACAAGATAGTCAGCAACGTGGGATCAACAACCTGGCAAAGACATACATCAAACAGAAATACTTGGCACAGTTTGGGAGAGGCCTTCGCCCAGCAGTGGGATGACATGGGCTAATGATGAAGATGGAGATTATGATGATGAAGATGATGATGATGAAACAAGAGAATGGTTCATATCACTTTCACTTTTTACTGTTCATTTCACGTTTGTATCACCAATGTGCACAAGGCAACAGAGCTTTCAGTTTGCGTCCTTAAGTATTCTGTACTCTCGTTACTTCACCATTGAGTGACTTCATACAAGAATGGTACAAGAAAAGCTCTGCTTCAGAAAAGCTCTGCCAGTATCACTTAATGTCTTAGTTTAGTTAAAGGCACAGCAAATTACACTACCAGTAATACTGCTTTATGTAATTTAAGATAACTGCTGAAAAGCTGGATTTTTCATTTTCTTGTTTTTGCAGACTGTCAACCATTGATTGAGTCATAATGCTCTTGTTGCATTCATAAACATATCATGACATTAAAAAGTTGCAAGGTCGATATCATTGCACTCCCATGTCAGCCCCTTTCCTCATTTTTGTCTCTGTCCCAACTGAGATTTTTCAGAAACCTCCACGACCTCTTCCGGGAGTGATGTGCCAACAGAATGTCTGCGTCAGGTGTAACAATGTCTCGCAGGATTTGGGGGTGACTCACTGCGTCACTCTGGGGTTTCCCTATACTGTTCATCCGATACGGGTTACATCCAGTTTCTGTCGCTCGCTTTTGTGTCTCCTGTGTTGAAATGTTCCCCCCCCCCCCCCCAAATGACTAATAGACCACCCTTGCTGACATTTACGACAAGTGAAAAGAGGTCGAGGGCCGGGAAAAAAATGTTATGTCGTAAAAGACATGAGTAACTGTGACTGCTATCCTGTTTGAGAATTACCATGGCAACAAAAGTAGGGTTTTTTTAACAATGCAGTACCTGGACATTGTGCCCGAGGATATTTTGTTAAATATTGATTAAAATGAAAACAAAGTGACTGCGATGACAACAGTCAAGCGCAACAATTTACAATTCGTATAAATTAAGGGAAGGAGGGGCCGGGAAGGAGGGGCCGGGAAAGGGGTGGAGATGAGTTTTTGGGGGGATGTGCTGCTGTTTATGATTCAAGCTTGAGTCCTGGATGCGTTCAACTGAGGCGAATGACGAAACTGTTCCCAACGCTCTTTAAAACGATTTCCCATTGGACAAGAATAATTTGCCCGGTTTATGAAAGTGGAACACACACCTGGTGTCACATATTTTTTGTGTGACTCAAGTCTTGAATAAGTTGACCGACGATTAATAGATTAAGCAGTCATGACTTTGAAGTAAAATTTAAGTCTCACATTAAGACGTGAGAAAATTGGGTAATGTGAATAACAGAACTGCCAACTCACATTTTCAACAAGTTAATCCAATGTCATTGCGCACTGTGTTTACAAAATGGGCTTAATAAAAAAAAAAGGAGAATATACATGTAGGACAACTATCCAAGCTGTTGTCATACAGGCTTACTACCTTTGTCATTGATCTCACCCCATCCTCATACTGTACAAGTATCAACCACAGTACCCTACCCCCTACAATAACAACTGCATCCCCCACAAGCTACAAGATATGAATAAGATGGGACTCGTTCCGGACCCCAACCCAGTTTCATCAACACACAGTGACCTAATTGGGGATAACGCATCTCGGGTCTGGTTCCGGGAGTAACTGACCCGTAATGTCACTGCACCTGCAAATGGTGCGTGACGTCAACAACAAAAGCAGCTGATAGCAATTGTCCCTCGTTAAACAAAATGAGGTGGGGCGCCTGACCACAGCCAAAGGTTAATCTTACCCTCCAGCTATATGATACAGAACAATTAGTGGTACGCGCCATCTTCTGTAGATAACCTTTTATGCACAGATAGTTGTAATGAATACCGAACCTGATTGGCTATGTGTTAATTGATGAGATGGGATGTGGTGTGAGACACTTCCCCCTCCCCCACAACTTTTTTCATATTAGGGTTTCGACGTATTTGATATAATTCTTAAAAGTACAACAGTGAATGACAAAACAACTTGACTTAATTTCCTACATGTAGATACAAAATTCTATCATACAAGACTTTTGCTTCTTGTCTGAAATATCTCCGAGATAAAGCTTGACCTTTCAACAGGCTGCAAACCACACAATGATATTCTAACAGTGCGCAGGTTGCAGCCATGTGACTGATCCGTCTCCTTCCGGCAATCTGCATTGGCAAAATATCAAAATCTAACCCTTATCTCTATCAACCACGCCAATGAATTCTCTGCCTCAGATTAAGAGAACAGCATTCAGAGTTTAACTGTGAATTCAGCTTTTGAAGTTAAGCGAAGTAATTCTTCCTGTTACACATTCTCAAACATTTGAAATTATACCAAAATGCTGCACACAAGTGGTTGTTGAAATGCATTGCATACATGTACATACTGTGATAGATTTTCTTATTTGAATTCAGTGGTAACATTGGCCTGACTGAAAAAAAGTTGTTCCGTCAATTCAGTGGACATCCACTACAAGATTTATGTTATGAACTATATTGTAGTGGTTGAAATTATGGACTTAAAGATTATCTCAACAGCAATTATGGACATTTGGAAACACAAAAATCATTGACTTTCAAAATGGCATTCATATTTCGGTGACTAAAGTTGTACGCTCCAGATGGTAGGAATTACATACAGGTATATACCTGAAGCAGCTCAAGGATTTTGCAGAATTCTATCATAGCCACTGTAAATTATACAACGCCTGAATACATCCCTGTCATCTGATTGGTAGCTCATTGATCACATGTCACTGAATTATTCAACCCAACCCATGGCCGGGCCACACTGATATAGATGCTCTTTTTCACGGTAAGTAGAACTTCCATTGCACGTCACACTATTAGTGGCTCTGACCGATCAGATGACGAGGATTTATTCAGGTGTTGTATAAAACAAATAATGAATGCTTCACTATTCGTGCAATTGAAAGAATAAATGCATTTGGTGACAGATGGAATGTTCCATTTCACTCAGCTTCGCCTTGTGGAATGGAACATTCCATCTGTCACCTCATGAAATTATTCTTACCACTGCACTCATAAACATTCATTATTTGTATACCATCCACAAGCCAATGCAAGTGTGGAACATATGGCTGCTATTAATAATCCTTTTCAATTCAATGTCTTCCAAGTAGTTTACTGTGTACCATAATATTTAAAAAAAAAAATTAAAACAATATAGGAACATGCCTTTTGAGATCATGTAAATGCTTTTTTTCTGGAGATGGCATGTAAAGAGATTTTCGAAGTAAAACTAAAATATTTGTTGCAACAATTTGATTGATTGCAACAAACATTGAGCCCAGTTTTGATCTTTTTAGAGGGCAGGCTTAAAGACATTATATTTTTCTGCAATAAATTGAAGAAAATTAAACTCAAGAAACAATCAGATAAATACTAATCGCTGGGTGAGGTTTGCATCATCAGTCTGTTGCCGTAAAGCACACAACTGGACAACTGGACTGCACATCTGTCTTTGGGTTGGCTAGGCTCCATTATAGGTACATTTATCTGATGAGACCCAGACGTCTCTTCAGTGTGTCCACATCGAGCTGCAGCTTCCGATTTCGCTCCTCAGCCGCAAGACGAGCTGCCTCCTGCATTTGAAATGTGAGAGAAAAGAATAACAAATCCATTACGACTGTGTAGGGTTGACAACAAGAAAAGTGGTGCAATGAATAAAATTAGAAGAAAATCTCACAGTAGCAATGTTACAAGAATCGTCACAAGTCAATCACCAGTAAATCACAAGCCATCCACTGTTTAACTGAACTGTGACATTCCCCTGTTAACCCTCCTTTTGTTTGATCAGTAACAGACAGTCAAAAATTCAATCCTGATTCCTCTTCCAGAGTTCCCTGCCATGCCTTTTACACAGGCTAGTCACCAACAGTCAGATCATAATTCTTGTAAGCACTGTGACTAGTCAAATTCCATCAACAGACACAAGCAGGTGACTGGTAGCCACAGCTGGCTTATAAATCTCCTACATTCAAAGCATAGCTATATCAGGTTTCATAGCAATCACAGCCAGTCAATCCTGCTTTATGAAGGCAGGGAGCACACAACTGTTAAAACAGTCACCTGATGTATTTTGACTGCCGGACTGGCCTTGTTGAAATTGCCAGTCAGAAAGGGAGGTATATTGATATAGCCATTACTCTGACTGGACTTGTGAGTTGACTTGTGGCCAGATTTGTGATGGACTTGTGACAGACTCTACTGAGCAACAATGATGCATGGTGAAATCATGATATATATGAGGATACTGAAAAGTGTACAGTGAATAAATGGGAGTACAAAAGGGAAAACACCTAGATATTTGGTTCTAGAAAGAACATCTTGGTTTGGTTTTCTTCTGTTTTTTTTTCTTCAAATGAAACATACAACTTCTGTTTCCAGTGAAAACATTAAAAGATAGTTCAAAGAGAAAAAGACAATAACACAATTATGAACTGACCTCAGCAACCAGCTTGACTCTGAGTGATTCACGCTCCTTCCTGATCTTGTCGTAAGCTTTCTGCTGCCTGTCAATCTCCTCTTCTTTCTGTCGTAGCCGGGCTCTTAATCCCTGTGAGGGCGCCATTGTTTCTCCGCTTGGTATGGCTTTCTGTCCGTTGGCATAGCTAGTGCTGGGCGCGTTTCCGTTCATGTCGTTGCTGTCTGACGACAACAACAACGGTTCTTTGTCGTCCTTTGTATGACGGGGTGATTTTTGGAGACCGTTTTGGGCAGTTCTGGTGGCTGGCTTGGGTGGTTTCAGAGCCTCTCCGTTCGTAGTACGGGGCACAGGCTGCTTTAGAAATGTTGGCTGAAGATAGTCGTCCTCATTGGTGGTGGCCGCTTTCAAGTCCCGGATCAAGGCATTGTGGAGAGGGTTCGGGTTCTGGTAAACGCCAGTCGTGCCGTTGCTTGCCTCAGCCTGTTGCTCCTTGAAGGAGATCGCCAGAGTCTTGACGTTCTGATATGTGGACTGGATCTGACTGTGCACATCTCCATTCTGAAACTTGTGCTTCTTGCCGCGCAATATGGGTCCTGTACCATCTGAGGAGACACCGCTCATTTTGTTGTTTGGACTGCCACTCGAGTGACGTCGGTGACCGTTTGTCACCGTGGCTATTGACGCCGGATCACGATACGACACACCGTAACGCTTAGCCTTCTGTTCACTCTGTGTGAGTGGCTTATTCGGCATCTCCGAGATACGGTTTTTCAGTGACTCAATTAACGACGGTCCATTCGACAAATCCAAATTCTCATAAATACTATTCACGTCCGACGGCCTGCTGTAATCCTCCCCGAACAATTCCAGCTCGTAGTTGCAACTCTCGGATTTCTGTATCCTGGTCACCCTTTTGTCCATGCTTTCCGCGAAGGAATCCTTGCCTTCCAGTAACTGCGGGATGATTTCAACTTCATATTCGCACGAGCTGGCCCTCTCATAGAGGCTACCGGTGGAGTCGAAACTAGACACGGGTGAGGGCGCTTCGATGACCTCATAGTCCATCTGTATGTCGCTGGTGGGTGGGAAGAGTTTATCGTGATGTTGGATCAGGTAATGCACGAGTCGGAGGCTGAGGGCCGTGCTGCCAAGCAGGAAAGCACCCTGGGCATGCTTGGGTCGCAGAATATGGGGAGCAAAGATGTTGGCCAGGTTTCCAAGTCCCATCTTGTTGTACATCTCTTGGCGTTGGACCTCATGTAAAAACTGGCACAGGTACTTCAGTAAGTTATAATTGATGCGAGGCAGAAGGGCCAGCTGGATGATCAGCTTGTGGCGCCCTTCGTTCTCGTTTTCTTGTAGCTGCTGCATGACGGGGATGAAGTATTTGCAGTGTCGCCAGGGAATGATCGGTTCCGGCAGGAGCTGGAGGTAGCGTTTGAGCAGCGAGGCGATGGTGTGTACGCCAGGGCTCAGATCCTCGAAGCAGGGTCTCTCGCCGTGATTAAAGGCGTCCTGTAGCTCCTGTATCATGCTGCTACGCCCGTTCAATCTGGAAAGAAGAAACAAGAAAAGACTTAACGATGACAACTGAATACTGATGCCTTAACCATCTTATGATGCCTTAACCATCTTAGATGTACTCCACTCACATGGATAATCAGTGAAAATGGTTGAATGTAAGGTTTCTATGAGGATTTTGCTTCTACAATGTGCTCCCTGACAGGTTCAAAAAAATTTCAACCTTTTAATCCCTGCACCACCCAAACTGGCCTGCCTGTTAATTTTCTGTACTGCCCCTACCCCCCCATCACTTTATGGTTTGTATGGATACATCGGGGACTAAATACAATGCATTACAATGTACATAATACAGGTGCTGATGGGTATATAGCCCAAATGTTTGGCATAGCTGTGTTAATTATAACAGCATTACCGTATAAGTTCCTGAACGGACAAACCCATTTTTACAAAACCACTCACCTAAATATACCTTCTTCCCTGATGCCGTTGTTTCTGATGTAAATGACGCACATCTCTACCACAGACGGGATTACTTTGGTACAGGTATCACTCTCATTGATGATAGTGTCTTCAAGGCTTTGGCCAAATACTCCTACAAGAAGAAAATTAAAGTGTTTTTTTTAAAACTCTTCTAAAATAAAAGAAAAGCTCTTTTCTGGTGTCATGTGTTGTGGTTGGTATGGGGTTGGATGATATGGAGTTCTTGTTCCTCTCAAGGACATGACAATCAATTAACAAAGGCACTGTTAACAAAAAATGCCATCTTTTCATATGAACCACAAAGGGAAACCGACTAGGTGGATAACAACAATTTTTGACAAAGTTGTAGAGAGATATTTTTTTAAATTCCATCTGTTAAAGAATCCACAAAACAGCCTAAACCCAAACAGATTAAAGTATTAAGAAGCAAGACCCGATGCTTGGCTACATCCCTCTCAAAAACACCAATGAAAACTGTTCACTTTTTCTATTAAACAATACCAAAAAATTAGTCACGTGCACTGCTCCTTACAATTCATGAGCAATGCTTTTAAACCCTTTTTCAAACCCCTTTTTCAAAACAAAGGCTCGTTAACTGGAGTGTCATGGCCTAGCGGTTAAGAACACCGGACTCATGCTCTGGTGTTCCAGAGGCAACAGTGGCGTGGGTTCAAGCCCGCCGGGTGGATACTTGTGCTCTTGAGCAAGGCACTTAACCATTATTGCTTCGTCCTTCGGATGGGATGTAAAGCCGTAGGTCCCGTGTGTTGTGTAATCCAATGCACGTAAAAGAACCCAGTGACACTTATCGCTAAGAGAAGGGGTTTGCCCCGGTGTTTCTGGTCTCCTGTATAAACTCCTACGTGGAATATTTAGGAGATGAACCAACCAAGAACCAAGAAACAAATCAAAAGACAATCCCATTTTCCCATGATCCAAAGCTACTACGTGACCTTCTTTAGGCAGAGATTCAGAAATCCTGTAACACCCCCTTCCCCCGCCCTTCATCACAATTGCTCCAAAGTCATAACGTCAATTTCCCCTCGGCTATCCCCCTGCGAAAAAAACAAATCTGAGTCACCAGGTCCTTTCGTATTATTCCACAGACAAAGTTTGACATTTCCTTCATGATTGTTTTTTTTCCTTGTTTCTTTTCTTCTATGATTTATCAATTAGGTCAGCAGTTTGAACATACTTCCACAGGCTCTCCCTGTGGACTCCCTCTGACTCTGCTCTCCGTAAAATTTGTTTCTTCTTTCTTTTCCCGGGAGGCGCGGACGTGTTCAAGGTTTGCCATGAATCAGCGAATGTTGTGTGACAGTGACACTACAGACCAATTTCATCATCGGACTAGGAATAGCACTGTTGGCAATGTGGTTCTTCCACACCGAGAACAGAAAGTGGAAGAACTTTTGACTCCTGGGGTGCCTAGGCTTGGAGCAACTTACTGCAACGTTTCCAATCTCCGCATCCAACAAGTCTTAATCACTTCGTCCAACAACTCAAACAGCTCAGTTAATGTCATTTGCCAGTGATGCTTTGTATTATATTGTACCGTTTTTTATCTTCTGTGTAATGTCTTTTTTGTTTTTAGTTTCTTTAAATGAATTTTTTTCTCAACATTCTTACATTGTACTCTTAATATTTCAATTGTATTTTAATAGTAGTTTTGTGTGAGCTGGGATCCATGGGCGATCAGTGAACTTTTCTCACTGAATGGATCACCCAGGATATAGATAAGAAATAAATAATAAAATTTCCCTGTGCTACGCATAAAATAAAACGCACTCCCTCTACCATCCACTTTCTGCCCTGAAGATGTTTATCAATTTTTTCCCCTTCTTTCTTTCCCCGGGAGGCGCGGACGTGTTCAAGATGTACCGTGAATCAGCGAATGTTGTGGGACAGTGAAATTACAGGCCAATTTCCCTGTGCTGCGCAGACAATAAAATGCACTCCCTCTACCACCCTCTTCATGCCCTGAAGATTTTTATCAAATTTTTTAGTTCAGACTTGTTTAGTTTATGACATCATTATTTCCCTCGGCTCTATGAGTGATGGGACTACAATGACAGACACGCGACTGAAATCCAGGGACCTGATTTCTGGTTGTGGCCGGGGTAGCAAAAGTAGTAGAAGGGGGTCGGTCGCTATGGCTCAGGGTCTTCATTCATATGTTTTACGGACCATAAGGAATAATCTTGTCTGCCTTGACACAGAGAGAATAAACATGATGAATATTCCTTATGCTAATATATGTATGTAGGTTATGAATATTTATGTGTTCTTTATAATGGTGTCATGAAAGATGATGAATATTCATGTTTGCAACTTATGACAGTGAAGTCAACTAAAGATAATGAATATTGATGTCACATACTTCTTACCTTCTCTGACAAAATTTGAATAAACACTATTAGTTCATAGCCTCCCCTTATAATTATGCGGTAAATAACTGAGATGAATATTCATGGCCTCCCCTGATACATTGTGAAGGGTCAAGATGAATATGCATGACCTTCATCGATCGAGATGGTGTAATTACATAACCAAATATTCATTACCTCCCCTGACGCGGCGTATTTCTCTCTCCCAGTTTTCCAGCTCTAGTAGCGTGGAGGTGCAGACTAGGAATGGTTTGGATGCTGAGCCGTGATGACTGTTCCTCTTTGCTGCATGAGATAGGGAACCAGACAAATGTAGTTTGTTAGTGATGCCATTGTAACAAACCTTATGCATTGCGACTATCCTTGTTATTTTAATTTAGCAACAATGAATGTACACAAATGGCTTAATACATGTATGCCTATCCAAGCAATACAAAACCCTCTAACTAAGCCTTAACGCATAGAGGTCTATTGAGATACACTCAAAATGCACTAACGGTGCAACCCAGTATGACACCAGTGTTAAATCCCCCTACTTCAAAAATCTTTTTAAAATACTCAGAACTCTCACAGGTGTTCAGGCTTCACAGAAAAATGATGATCAACATGTCATCTTTCATTTTCTTTTCAATTTTTGGTGGGTTGACCGCTGACGTTCATGACGTTTTGGAGAAATTCTCACCCAAAGAAGACCACCCATAAACCAATAAAACAAACAACAGTTTTCGAACTGGAAAAGCGACCATTTTGAAAAAGGATCCCTCCACAACATGGCTAAATAGTGCCACTTTAGGACCCAATGGCATCCAAAATGCTCAGAATTGGAAGCCCTAAGTCCAGGCCAGAAGTTCAGTGCCACATGTCCTCAATTCCCCAATTCCATGGCCCTCAGAACTCTGTAATATAGAATAAATTGAGTGTATAACTTTTATTCATGAGCTCGGCGGACAGATTTTTGGCCTATTTACTGGGCTGTACCCCTAAACAAAAATCAATTTACAAATTTCTTTTTCAGTTTTTTTCCATATTGCTATATATACACTAAACCCTTGAGTAACTTTTTAGTAAATATTATTAATTTAATAAATAAAAAGTAAAGTAAGAAAGGTTGTTGTGATTCTAAAGTGCATGGCATCCAAAACTGAAGAAATATGACATATAAGAGTTCATGAAAATGCACTAGAAACGCAAACCACAAACTGTAGCACGGGGACAAGAAGCCTTCTCCTTGCCAAGTTTACCAGGAAGAGTAAAATTGGATATGGGGGCCCATAGAGGACCAGCCAGGCTGCAGTTGGCACATTATTGTCCCATTGCCAATTTCCAAAGTGAAATTAGTCACAGATATGTATCAATTCTCAAGAGGAGGAGCATGGAGTACATTGCCCGTGATTGCAAGAGGTGAATCTTGAAGTCAATGCACATTATTTTACTCTTTTGAGTACAGAATTATTTGCCTTAATCAAACAGAATGAAAACTATGCATACAATTGCATGGACATCAATTGGTGGGGGATGGGGGAGGGGAGGGGGGAAGGGGGGGAGGGACATGTCCCCTTACTCATTTTTTAAGTGGGAGGGATATCAATTCGTTTGTCCCCCCCCCCCCCACTTTTTACGTCCAGGAATAAAAATTGTAGCCTACATTTCATTCTATAGCTCAGGATAGCTGATTCCATGACTCCAAACTCGAAAATGATGTTTAAATGATGATCTTTTGCTAAAAAAAAGTGGTCAGAAATTGCCTCAGATCGCACCCCAGAGTGTCTGGAATCTAAAATTTCTCGGGCCCTTAAGCGGGCCCTGAACCCGACGCCGTTAGGGCTTCACGCTTTGCGCTCGCATTACTTCTGATCATGGTATGTCCCCCCCCCCCCAACTTTTGAGAAGCGATTGGTGCCCTTATACAGTTGATATAGTGGCTTGCCGTTTCCAGTGGACATTTGTAATTGGTAGCCGCCCATGAACAGCTGCTGCACTGATGATCATGATGATAAATATGCATACTAGTATACATGCTAATTTACCAGGACACCGAATCTTGTGTGATTCACAAAATGGTGGATTATATAAAGTGGGCATTTGATGTCAAAGCAAAGATATGTTGTAAAGCACATTGGATCCAAACACTTGGTACTTCATGTTCAGGATGTATATTCCAAAACAGCTTAAAAACGGGCGCTGCAGTTCTAAGAAGACTTTCATAGTTTTGGAACAAGGAGTCACCCTAGGGATTATGGGATATGGCCTGAAGGATTCTGGGGTAGTTATCAGTGTTTGGGGAGAGCCATTAATATCCTGTTTAGAACCTTTCTTCCTTCAACGAGTATAAAGGCAAGTGCTTAGCTCCATGATACGCTGGGGGAGGGGGGGGGATTCGGGGGGTTCGAACGAAACCCCCCGCTCAGTGACGGCTTCCGCTCAGAAATAAAAAATAAACAAAATTTGCCCCCAAAAAATCAAGTTTTGATGACCTTACCCACCCCCCACTCCCTCTAAAAAATATCGCCTTCAAGTTGTAAACACGTTCAAATTTGATTCACAGAGTCAGGGACAAGTGGCCAGGAAATGCCTTAGATTGCACCACAGAACATTTAGAATCCGAAAGTTTTCGGGGCCCTTTCAGTGGGCCCCGGACCCCATGCCATAAGGGCTTCGCGCTCCGCACTCGCACATAAAATGTCCCACTGTGGGATTTGAACCCCCCCCCCCCCCTAGTCTGGGATGCAGCGGGCATGGTGCTCCTCAGTGAAAAAGTTAACACAAACTTGTTAGGTCACAGGAAATTTTTGCACTGCCATTTTGAAAGAGTTGAACACATTTTAACTCCGGTGAATTTTGCATCGACTGTTTCATGATGTCTGAGATTTGCTTAAAAACATTCACATGAAGTATAAATTAAAGCAGCCTTAAAGGGATTTGTATGAAGTGTGTTCAAACAAGGAGTAGGAATGGACAGAACTTGTCATTATGAGTTTGGTATTATGCCTTGTATCGGTATCACTATGAATTTCAACACCGTGAATTTGGAGTGAATATATAGTTTGACATGAATTCACCGTGAATTTTTTTTCACGGCGATGTCATTGCGAAGTATCTGGTGAAATTGCCCTGAAAATCATCACGTAACAAGGACATGTTAAGGTCAAGTAAAAACACCGTGAAAATGCAGTGATGCCTTCTGTGGAGCCCAGCTCATTAACTTTGTGGCTGCGTTAATCCATTGAGCAGTTTATCAACATTGGGGCCTAATCCCCCCTCATAATAAACAGGGTGTTGGATACTTGTAGGAGGACACTAAGTAGCTTTTGTGTGGGTAGTGGGCATTGGGTAGTAAGTATAGCTGTCAATCACACTTATCCTGTAATCACTCAGACCATTAATCTGTGGTTTTCACACCTTCAGTGGAGTGAAGCTGGACCTGGTGTACAGTTAACAATAGACCCTTGGACCTCTAGAAGACCCATGTAAAAACACCATGAAACTGCAGTGAGTTTATCCCCTGCTGAGGGGCCCAGTTTGGCGTCGTGAAAATGAGCTTACTTGGCAGTGAAAAAAAGCTTCACGGCGACTTCATTGCAATCTATATTTTCACGGTGTTGAAATTCATAGTGTATGTTAAAGACCAAGGCACGGAAGTCACTGTCATATACAATCAGTTGTCATCTGTGTCATACACGGTACCATTCACTACCCACTCTCCCCCGTCCCATTTGGCCTGTTTATATAAGTGGAAAGGATGTCCCTAATGCCACACATTAAGATACGAACCATGACATACAGATTCAGCAGAACTTTGATATTTTTTTCACTCTTTTTTGTACTGACACTAGCTCGCAGCATTCCTCAGTTCAAAATGTTCACAGTGTGACTTCAAACTTGGTAGATATATAAACCCGACCAATAGATGTCACACACTGCACTTTCATAACTAGTGCTTTGAGTGGGCTTTCCTTGCATACTCTGCTTGGACCTCCTTTCCCACATTTTTTTTTTTTCTATCGCAAACTTACATTCTGAATTCTGCCGATCATGAGGCGATCCCCTCTTTGATGAAGTTCTGTTTTCTGTTTACAAAATCAACAAAAACAAAAGAAGAGATCGGTTGACTCAGGTCAAGTGCTTTACTTTGAAGGAAGTATAAAGTTCAAGCCTTTTCAATGTTAATGTTTGTCTTAGAAGTCTTTGTGTGTCTTTAAAGATAGTTTAACCAGTTCCTGTTGGATGACGTGTATGCATGCAAAGGTTTTGCGGTATTTGGAATGGATGACGGGTAAACACGCAATGAGCGAGGCCGGAAATATCTGTCAGCGACTCGCTCCCAGCAAGCGAGACCGGAAATATCAGTGTGTGCTACCCACAGATGACAGCCTAGCTGAACCGTCCAGGCAACGAAGTTCGTGAAAAAAACAATCCCGCGCCTGGTTCTGGTCGATGTCAAAATATTCCCGGCGCGAACTGGTTAAAGTAAAAGATTAAAAAGAATAAAGTAACGTGAATTCATCATCAGGTGCTTCTATACAGCAAGAATGCAGACAAGTGACTAAGTCAAAAATTGCGAAAAGGTAAACAAGCCCAGGTTAGTACAAAAAAGGGTGGGGCAAAGCGTGTTCCTGCGAAAACCGCAATCTACCCCCGGGCATTGTGAGACGGACTCACTGACAAAAACCAGGAATAATTCTGTCAAGTGCCGACTAGCTGTCCAAGACGTGATGGCATGCGTATTCAAGGAATATGACTTGAAAATTTCACTCAGTCGCTTCGCCATCATAAAGGGTGAGTCAAACTTGTGGTTGGCATTGTTTGACCGGTGTATGTGTTTTAAAAAGGAAAAAAAGAACGTCCCAGTACGGTCCAGATGTCTAGAGACGGTAAAAGCGCGATTAACAAGTTAAAGGTGTCTGGAAAGTAATTTACGATTTCTGCGGTTATCGGCGACTGCGTCCAATCTGTCATCGCCGCAAAGTGAGAGACTGTCACACTTATTAATCAGCCTTGAATTATCTGTCTGCCACAAGCTTTCTCAGTTACAGGTGCCAGATCATTATAACAGGCCTTTTTAAAGAATTGTATTCCTTGAATGGAACCAGTTCTGCCAGATAATTTTTGCCAAACACAGGTTGAGCAAATAACAAACACAGCACAGGTCTGTACACTTTGTACATTTGGAAGTTTTTTGCATTTAGTCTGAATACTAATTGCTTACAAATGGTTTAGGCACAAGAGGGAAAGCCATAGCTGGAACAGGTACCAGAATTTGACAAATGGCCCATCACTGATAGCAGTGTTTTGCATTTTCACCGAGGGGTATTCCTACACAGGCCCGTTGCTAAGGGGGGATCCAGCCCTCCCCCCCATTGGCAGAAACCATAAAGGTACAAATTAACTACAAATGTGTCTTCTTCTTGTGGTTTGCCCCCCTAGCTGGCACTGTGGCCCCCACTAATGTCCGGAGCTGACGACGGTGCTGAACCTACGCAATAAGTGACATTTAGCCCAATAACACCAATGTCATATTGACAGAAAATATGTCTGGTATCAACTGTTTTTGTTGTTGTTGCCTAGATAAGGTATCCATTTTAATATAACAAATGATCTTCCGTTAAAAGTAACGATAGCATGGTCTGCCACTGACAGTTGTCCTTCCTGAAATCTATCTTCGGCTCTCTCGGATAACGGCGAACAATGCTATTGAAAACACACGTGAATTGACTCATGTGAACGCACATTTCGAGTCACATGTATTTTGCACTGCAGGCACTCCGACAGACGTCAGACCAAAGCAGTAAAATGCTACCACACGGGACATTATTGGGTGTGATTAACTACACAAGGGCAAGACTGTCACACATGAGTCAAAGCCGACCGCATGAATTGCTACAAAAGTCGAACCCAAACTTGAAGAAAACCTGTTCCTGGTCTGAGTCAATGCTGTGGTCAATACACAACAGGTGGGGATTAGCTAGGTCTCTGCCTCCTCCACGGATTAAACGGATGCCAATCAGCGGTCACACTAGTGGCCAAGAGATAGGATAAAGTCCTTTGATCCCTTTAGAGCTATAGGTGGATATCATTGGGTGCTTAATTGTGGCAGGGATTAACAACTTCACATATCAACACATGTGTATGAGGTTGAAGAGAGGAATCTGACTAATAACGATAAACCTGCAATTAATTCTAGAACGCATTATTGGCTTCTAACAAACTGACCTGTCCAGCCCAATGTTGGCAAACTGCCAAATTTGTCTATGTGCACATATTTCTTCATGGGATGCATATTAAGTCAGAGGCAAATATCAACCTGTATACTGTAAAACTATGTACCATGAATGTTTACCAAAACAATTAACTCAAATGCGTTCTCATTAAAACTTCATCCAATAAATAAAAGAAAGGAGAAACATCAGATGGCAGCTGGTTGTTATTCGCGACAATATAACTTTACCAAATCGTAGATTCAGTCCAATGGTTGGACATTGGAATCGGTGGCAATGCTCTCAAGAGATACAAAAATATTGTCATTTAAAAGCAATCAAGTGCCATCTTCAAGAATAAATAATAATCAGATCAAGAGTTCTCTCTATTGAAGCAGATCTGTTGATCAAGTTTACCCCTGAGGGAGCAAACAATTTTTTAACCAAAAAATACAGGAGTCCTTATCAGATTGTTCAAATGATCTAACTCTTGGAATGACACTGTTTACATTTCTGTAGTAAAATTAAAACCCTAACTGCTTTATTATGAAGTAATTTAGGGTGGAGAACCCTAGATACTATGAAATACTATTTAGTACTTTGTATTATTTATTTTCTTATTTGAACTGGGTAGCCCATTCAGTGGAATCCACTGATCTTCCATGGGTCCCAGTAAAGAGAAGACAAAGTGAAGAAATGACAGTTTTAGAGGTGGGAGGAAAGCCCAGGAGAATGTTCTGAGGAAAACCCACGGAATCAGGTAGGGACTGAAAACCCAATCCACATATTGACCCAGGCAGGAATCGAACCCGGGTCACAGCGGTGGAAGGCGAGGAAATAGTACCGCTACGCCAACCTGACTCCCCTAAATATCTCTTACTTAAAGAGCACTAGCTGAGACTGTTTACTAAAAAGTACAAGCACTTGTACTCAAATAAGCTACAGTACTGGATGCTTTAATTAAATTAATTAGTTAAATTAATTAATTAAATTAAATGATTCAACAATCTAAATAGCATTCAAGCACTCGAATTTCTGTAAACTGAGTGGAAGGAAATATTGAAAATAATAAACCCATATCTAGAGGAAATATGGGCAACAGTCATGACCCCAATTAGACTTCCCTCGATCAGCATGTACAACGTGTCTCTCCCAGCTATTGGTGAGGATGAGTGTACAATCATCAAACCTCATGTGATACATGAATCACACACTGGCCAAGCCTTTGTTCCACAATCAGTGACGGTATGTCAGCCCTACACCGAGCAAGATCCTACTTGAGCATTGCGTGATTTCTTTTTTCGTTTTTCATTTTGGTGAAGTACCGGTACGTGGGACAGGAAAGGGTGTGGGGAAGTCATCCCGAATGACGGCCAATGGGCTTGCTGCCAAGGGCTAGGTGGAAGGAAATTGTAGCTCCACTTTAAGGTGGGGAAGTATCACTATGACGTGGACAAATAGGAACTAAACCCCTGCCGAGGATTGATTTGCTTATGAGGTCAGTCAAAACAAACATTGACAGCTATGGCATTGTGTCAGTTGTATAGGGCATATGGTGTTGTCAGGCACTTACTCTGTAAAATCAGGACAACAAACAAACCAAAAGATGTCCAAAACAGCAGCATAAAAACACCCAAAATCTAAAGCTGACGCATACACAAACTAAGTATGAACTGTATGCCTTGTTGACCCCTATTTGATCAGAACTGGTTTAGTTCAAGGCAAACCGATGTTGATTTCAACACTGGTAGGCGAGACGATTGTGGGAAAAAAATCGTTACTTAAGAACCCTGACTTGGCCCTGAACTCTGCCTAGCTGGCATGCAAGCAGCCTGGATCCAGCCAACTAGTCCACACATGCGACAGCATGCCCTGCTTAGGGACAGGTGTGATCTGTTTGAGAAGAGATGTTATCGGCAACGCACACTCATCCTGACTCACACCTCCAGTTAATCCCCTTTGAGAAACTGGGAATAAAAACCAACGTATCCTGTGTGAGGGGCAGGAAAAATGAGTCGGCTTTCTTCTGCCCTACCCCCTTGAAAAAGTGTCTGAAATTCTTGTTTTACAGCAGAGTTCAATTAGTGAGTTACCTTGACCCCAGTCCCCCCCCCCCAAAAAAAAAGTTATGAAACCCTTCAATTGTTAATGAAAATGTTTACAATGTTAACTCTTACCCCCAGATCTTTTGAAATCCACAGAGTGGTTTTGCAGGGTTTTTGCAAGTTTGAGGTGAGGCCACAGCTCAAAAATTATTACAGAGTGGGTTTCAGCACAGTCCTGGATTTTGTTGAATTCAAGAGCATTCCTATAAAACATTCCTTGGGGCTTTCCAAATGACAAAGTTGACAACAATCAGGGCTCCAGCATTCTCTATCAAAAGTTCACTGAAGGACAGAGCGAAAAACCAAAAAACCAAAACAAACTTTGAGGAAAAACTATGAAATAGGTAATAACCTTGGTCCAAATTTGATGACATGACAAAAACTGCATGAACTACAACAGCTAAGATGGCTCACATCAGCAAATTCAGTTCCAACATGAGAAACCATGTCTGAGAAGTATAAAAAAAGAAGAAACATTCTAAACAGCAAGATAAAAAAAAACCCAAGCACATGAACTATGTACCCAGACGAGAGTCCTGCATGATCAGCTTGTTCAAATGACGAGAGCATACATGTACATGTACACGTACATCACTGATCTTCAGAGGGGTAAAATCTTGGCTTAGAAAGGGGTACGATTTGTAACAATAAATTCCAGACATTACACAGACTACCGGTTCTTTGGTGATTGTTGCAACATGTCTCACATCTACCCGGAGATGCGCACGAATTGCTTTTACCAAGAAACTTTTGGCCGACAACCAAGATAACAATCTAGACATATGTGGGTCATGTGACCGGGTGTTTACTTCTTCATAGGGCGATGGCTCTCATACACTGGCAACAAGCCGATGATACCGAGATATTTCCTGCAATTACTGAGAACTTCCTCCCGGAGGCTAAGGAGGGGATTTCTGGTCGTCTTATTTGTCAACATGGTATCTGGGTTGGGCAACACCTTGGCTCATGCTTGGAAGTTCTGGATGAGTCAAGAATATTTTTTCAGGATTGCACAAGAGTTTATTGTTGTTGACTAGGTGTGGTGTCTTGTGTAATGTTAATGTTTCTCCTCCACTGTGGAAGAATTCTGACCTGAATTGTGATACATACGCACCATGGTATTAAAATGGTTATGATGTTGGATTGAATCTACGGTAGTACATGTAAGTGGGTTTGAATGGACACATGGTGCTTGTGTTCTTGGGCAAGACACTTTACTGTAGTTGCCTATTACTGGGTATAATGACACCAGTAAGGGCACAAACCAGATTGCCTTGACCTCAAGCTGCTGTAGAAAACTGGCCACATGCCCTGATGAACAGGGGTAAACAAAAAGTGAAGCGTTCCAAGATATAAGTGCCGAAAAATCATTAGTAATTTGCCAGGAATTCCGAAACATGAATTTCTTTTAATCCAAGACGCACTTGTCAATTTGTGCCCAATATCCTGTGTTTTATGCACTTTTTATTATCGTAGACTTTGACAAAAATTGGCTCGTAACTTGGCCTCAAGAAGAAAACCCACTTCGAAAATGACTTGCTAAAACGCCGTCATCTCTGCAATGTACTGGTCCTGATCCCAAGAGTAAACTACATTACTTATACTGCAGGAAGTCCGAATGTTTGAACATCCATAAACAGCAGCGATTACAGATTTTACAACTCCCATATGGCTGTAGGGTAACATCAGGCCATGTTGTACCCTATAGCAATATGGTCACAACAGTATACCCAGCCACACACAGCAATCAAGATCTTACTGGCCCCTTATCCCCATGGGGAAACCACTGTACGTGCTGTGTCGGCCTACAGCAAGTTACCAAAAAAAAAATAGAGTTAACCGGAACTTTTTCAAGGAAATTTCCAGGTGAGGTTTGTAGTCCTGACTGAGCGGCGCGGTGTCAAGTCGAGGAAACTGCCTGGAAATACCGAGCACAACCGCAAAGCCGCAAAAGTTGATACACTGGTTAATTCGCTCTGATTACTAAGCTTGACAGTGCGGTCCCAAAGAAAAATACGCAAAGCTTAAATGGCAGGTTGTTGACTTAAGACTGAAGATTGTCGGCAGTGAGATATTAAGAGAGTCTAAACACCTGTCAATTAGAATGTCAAACTGTAGCATTTAGGATACTTGAGACGTCAAGTTGCCAAAAACCTTTCACTTTAACCAACTTTATGCAATGAAACAAGCTTTTCAAAGGGGTTGAAATTTGGCCAGATGGGGTCTTCATGAATCATTATTTAACAAAGCTTCAGTTGATATTACAGCTTTTAATTACAAATTTTCAAATAAACCACAAAGGGAAACTGACTAGGTTTCTCTCTGAGTGATCCCTGTTTGCTATCTCCTAGGTTTGCAGCATTGCTAATGTTGCTAGCGTGACTTTGGGCATGATCCCTGGCTACCGTACCTGTCATGGTTTCTGACTAGCACCCCCTGAACAAACACATTGAGAAAATAGGGAACTGCCAACATAGGGCTGGATAGCTCAGTTTGAAGAGCACCAGAACGGCAATCCAGAGGACGTAGGTTCAAACCCTACTCCAGTCAATTGCTCAACTTTAAAACAAGGAACTTCCAAACAACACTTTGTACAGTGTTTTTCAATTTGTAATGGCACTCATGAGAAGTAAAAAACGTCATGCCTGCATGAAACGTCATGCCTGCATGACACATCATGCCTGCATGACACGTTATGGCACTCATGAGAAGTAAAAAAAAACGTCATGCCTGCATTTTAGACAGAATAATTTCATAATGGTATTTGGTACCGGGTACCAGTTCTATCTTCACTTTGAGCATGGATTTTCTCGTTAAATTGGTAGGTATGTTTCCGGGTAATTGCAAATGATCCTACGTGTCTTGAAACAAAAATTCCTGAACTCACTTTTACCTTGATGAATCTCCAGGACATATCCGATGGGCTCATTGTCGCTCTGGTTGCTGGCCCTAGACACCAGCCGGCAGCCCTGCAGAGACGTGCTGCCCTGGTGCTTGAAGTGGTGGAGCTGACCGTCCGCCAGGATGCACCAGCTACGCTGCCAGTGGCGGGAGAAGAAGTGCGTCAGTCCGTGGTGCGAGGCGCGGTTTAGAAGCCAACCGTTGAAGGTGGTGTCGTGACGCGTGAAGCGTTTCAATTCCGTCATACTTGACGATAAAGGAGTCGGGGGTAGTGGTACTGTTGACGTTGATCACTGTGAGACTTGCTCAGGTTATTGCATCACTGTAAATGGACAAAAAAAAATCATCAAACTTTCAGGTACCTCTTTAGTGGTTTGAAACAGAAAGTTGGGGGAGGCCACTGGGAAAGACAGGTGCATGCATTGCCAATGGCAACTGACGCTCACGCAAAGACGCTAAAAGTTTGTGCACACTCTGATAAAATGAGCGGCGCATACTTTGCGCTGCATGCACGCAAACCAGCATGCATGCTTACATCTCGTCACCCCCACGAGAGCTCTCACAATTAAGTGATCACAAAGCCCATGTTCATGCAAGGAGACAGCTTAGTTCTGATGAAATTCCTGAGGATTGGCATTGTCAAAGACAACTTCAATGACAAATTTGATGGTACCAAAACGTCACAACGAGAGCAATCTAGAGCACCTTACTTGTTAGCTGCTTCTAGAGCAACTCCCATTTTGTAAAAAAAAAAAGAGGCAGCGCTAATTTAAGCGTACGTAACTTACATGCATACTAATAATCCAGGTATAAGCAGATAATCCAGCAATCTTTTGGAATTGTCCCGGTAAAAATGACTAGTCCAACTCACTCCAACTCTTAAATAGCCGTGTCCAAATTCAAACCACCTTATCACTGACCACAACAAGCTGACTGTGCCATCCCACTATTTTTTTCTCCCGAGAAACTACCTATCATGATACAGGCGAATACCAAAAACTGAAGGGACGTCTTCGAAACCACAAGACTCAACTGATGAAAACCACAGAATGACAAAGAGGTGTGGTAACTAGTAAGAGTCATAACTTTACGAATCGAGCTCCCTGGGTTCAAACACACATGCACTTTATATACCCATTTAGGGATGACAAGATTTTCATCTGCAAAAACGTTTGACAAGGCATGTTTTGTTATCAATTCCTGTTTGGGTTTATTTTCCCTTTCAAAATATGGAAGTCATTTTTGAGTCAGTTCCAAATATGACAGGATATAAGGTTAATATCACAAGTAGAGATGATCTCTTTACCAGTTGCTTCTGAGAACTTGATTAGGGATGGCACCGGTAGTTTAAGGACTGTGGTTAGGGTGTGGTTGGGGTTGCCGAGTCCTAGTAAATTTACTAAGGCTACCAAAAAAATTGCTAATGAATACAATTAAACCACAAAATAGTGAGCAGCGGGAACTTCCTGTATGTGTGTTGGGTGGAGATAGTGCAGTATTATTGAAATTACTGGTGGGTGGTGGGTGGGGGGGGGGGGGGGGGGGGTAGGGGGGGGCGTAGGGTGCTCCCCAATTTTTTTCTTTTCTTAAAATTTAATAACAACAGGAGAGTAGGAGAGACAACAATTGTTTTTACAATGTAAGTTGATAAAGCAGTCTACTTATTCCCTTTTTCAGCTTCCTGAACTATTACTGAAAGCAAGAAAGAAACAAAAGGGGAAAAGAGCACCCCGAGACTCAAACGTGGTCAACACCCACCTCCTCCTCCACCCTAAAAAAAAATGTTCTGGATCCACCGGCGACTGTCAAATCTTACAGTGTCAGTTTCTTATCGAACCCTTGATAGCACAATCCAACAACAAGTTATAAGATTTGAGGCTTTGCATGGTGGAGTATCGGTATCGTTTCGGTTTGCGGTAACACCATGTGGTAATAACTACTGCTTAGAAGATATTTAGTTCTGAAAAGAACTTGTCCTGCTTATTATCAACTTCGCTAAGTAGTTTTTTGTTCTGATAAGAACAGTCCTGTGTAAGTTCTAAACGAACTTGTCTTTGGTCTCAACGTTTCGACTAGCCTGCTCTAGTCATCGTCAGGAGACTGTTCTTATCAGAACAAAAAACTACTTAGCGAAGTTGATAATAAGCAGGACAAGTTCTTTTCAGAACTAAATATCTTCTAAGCAGTAGTTATTACCACATGGTGTTACCGCAAACCGAAACGATACCAACAACAAGTTACAACATAAATGCAAAACCAGTGACAACAATGGTACACGCAATGTCCATTCTATGACTTGTCTAGGTTTTTGATGCAGCACAACCAGACCCAGGGGCTCAGTATGATTCATATCCCAACCTTACGACAACTGAACTGCCCCCCCCCCCCCAAAAGGAAAACATTATCAAAAACATTTATCTGTCAGCGCTAACATACTTCTGCCCCTGTCACACGCCAGCTAGAATCAGATCTCGAAGTCATCAACCCAAACGAGTTCCTAGGTTTTTTTTGCGTTATCTCTCCGAACTGATTTTCGCTGACGTCAAGTTCCCGTTCCACGAACCACGAAAAACCTTTAAGGTGATCTTTGCAGGTCGGCATGCCGCGAAACCGCAGTAAAGTGAAGACGGACAATCACCGACACCCGAGATATGAATCGGCCTCTCTGGAGAAATTACGCGATGCGTCGTGTTTGGCGTGGCTCGGGGACTGAGGGTCGCGGTCTGCGGTCATCCTGGGCGCAGTGAAGGTTGGGTCGCGTTGACCACTTTTCTCGTCTGGGACCCATGATGCATCAGTGTATGGTTAATGACTTACATGTACTCATCGATCATATTGGCCTCTGACCGATTATATACTATTTGGATTTCAGAGAATGCATGGGGAACTAAGGCAGCTAGCATGCCTGACCACAACATTGTGAAGTTCTTAGATACAGATGTTTTTTTGGAGGGGAGGTGGGGGGGGGGGGGAGGGAACAGGCTAATCCGGGTAAAGGGTCAATTTTGGGGAAGGATTTCAAGATGGCTGAACACCCCACCCCACCACAATATGTCATTGTCACACACGGTACAGTGTTTACATAATTATGACTGAAAATAAATACTAATTTTCCTTCTCTGAAATAACGTCACATTATTTTTTTTTAAATCTCACTTCACTTCGTACTTAAAATGTAGATATGTCATTTTTCTGCTTTTATGGGAATTTGGTGAACTACTCGCAAGTACTCGACTACTCGCTAGTAATTTCTTTGCGAGTACTCGACCGGAGTAGAAAAATCGACACTACTCGCCCAGGCCTAATGTACAGTACCTTTCTCGTCTCCTCTTGAAAACTTTGATCCTATTTCCTAGACATGTTGCTAGTGGAAAAGGACTATAGTCTTTCTTACACACCAACTTTTCTTTTTAAAATTAATTAATGTCATACATATGTATCTAATCAACTCACACCTTGCAAATACATGTACACGCATGCACACACGTGAGGGTTTATTACGTTTTCCCATTGTCATGCCGTGTACTATGTGGGTGGTTTAGAACTACGGGTGGGCTTGGCCATAACAGTTTTATGACGACATCCTGAGATATGCCATTTATAATTTCCTTTGTTCGTATAACAACAATGGGAGTTCAATGAACGCAAAACCATTCACAGACTTATGTGTACAAGTTGCAATGTACAGTACGGACATTTCAACAAAGTTGTAGTAGATTTTTTGCGTACTTCTAAACACGACTGCCACATTATATGTTAAGAATGTACATGTATACATACATCTACAAAAGTTTTGCATTAAAGATGTTGTGGAAAAAAAGGAAACAAATAATTAAATAGAAAAATACTTATGAAAAGAAAAATACTTGTGAAAAGAAGCATTCTTTGGTTTTATTTTGGTGGGGTGGATTTGTTTATTTTTGATTTTGTACTTGTGTTGTTTTTTTTTTCTGTTATTTTTTTTTTTGGGGGGGGGGGGGGAGAATATCCTATTTTCAAATATACAATGACCCCTGAAGGTAAACTTGCAAAGGGGGAGGGGAGAGGGGGAATAAGAAACCTTAATAAGGCTAGACATTTGGTAGATGATCTGCAGATGGTGCTTAAAAGTCAGGCCCTCATGGAATTTATACTTGAATCTATTGAGAATATATTAAACTAAAAAAAAAAGTGACCGGAGTTTCTATCCACTAAGGAATTTTGTTTTGAGCCAATGTGTCATGAACCATAATCAAGTTGTTACACAGTAATGCCATTAGTCTTGGGGCCAAGTCGGTAATTGTTTTGCGTATACGGTACCGGTTACTGCGGGCTCCACGCACGCAAAATATTGCTGCAATGCGTGTAGTCTGGCTCCCAGACCAAATGATGCTGACTACGTACCAGTCTTATACCAGCTGCGCCGATGGAGTTCGGCTGAAGTTCACGGACCAAATACGACTATGTAACGACTTGTCATCAAGTCTATAATGCCACGAGTTTAGGAACTTAAAAACCCAAATTGAGAAAAAAAGTTACCCTGCCTTACGTGTTTTGAGGTACCTGGCCTGGTCATGCAAAGTGGCGTGGATAGGAAAACATGTCGGAAGTACTAAAAAAGTCTGCCTTTTTTCCCCTGTCAGTATGTGTCTGCAAATATTTAAAAAAGAAACAAAACAAAAAACAAAAAAATGGAGTCATACCACCAACTGCTCGCCAGCCATCAAATAACATGTTGTATCTTTTCATCAATCACTGTGCAGCATACATTGTTTAAAAAAAAAGAAAAAAAAAAGAAAAAAGAAAGAAAGGAAAGATCGAAGTCTTGCGCAGCAGCTATTTTAAGCCCAGCATGCAGCCACGGCATGATTACACCAAAGCAACCGGCAATGAGTCTCACATCTCTAGAGAGAGCGAGCCCTCTATGACTAAGGCCAGTCAAGCAGGGTTGGCCCTTAAAGGTTATCTGCCCCTCGCTGTACGCTCGGCCCAAATGTCACACGCGTGGGTTTCCTGTGAACCCTGAAAAATCAGCTTTGGAAGAACGTGCGATTTTGCACGTGAAGCCAATATGTACCTGTACCTTTGAAAAAAATAATGGCAGGTTTTTTTCTTTTATTTCTTTGTTTGCTGACCTTTGGAAGAGTTCACCTCCTCGGCCCAGAATTTCAAAAATCTTACATCTGGATGCATGTACTCAACAGACCTAGTCAACATGTGAACAGAAGTTGTGTAACAAATGTTGAGCAGTTGCAATGTATGATACTTGTGCATTGCGCATTATGGTTCTTTCTGGTATTGATGAAATCAAAGGATTTTTTTTTAGGAGCTAGTGCACCAGCTGAGAAGCCAGGAGAAACCTGATGAACGGAGATGACAAAGAAGAACGGTTCGATTTCAAATTTGGGAGGAAACCCTGGAATGATATTCCCTGAGAATCCACAAAACAGGTAGGGACTGAACTCAACCCACTTGTCAACCTAGGTGGCATTCCAACCGGGGTCACTAAGAGGTGGAAAGCGAGGAAAATACACCCACTACACCGACCTGACTCCCGATTTCCCTCTCTGTGACTAGGATTCGAATCCCACCAAATTTAACATGTGGCTTGAGTTTCAGTTCCTACCGTTACCTATTCCACTGGTTTATATAGAATCTGGTATAAAACTATTACTATAACCACATGTATATATATCTGTAACTACATGAATTACTAAAAACTAAAAAGAATAGATTCTGTGTAGCACTACAAGTCATTAAATGATGATATGACTTGCTGGTAAATACATGTGCATATGTGTTTTTTTTAAACTATGCCCTCATCAGGTCAGTTCTGACAATGGTGCATAGTCAAAACTGCCCTGATAAAAAATAGTTATACTGAAAGCTTACCGATAGCTCTTGTAAAATGATTTGAGCACAAAGATTTGTTTTAAATGTTGTACATTGTAACCACAATACATGTACATGTACACTTACAGTGTAACCACCTCCGAAACTGAACACTTTCTGCAGCATTATATCTCAATCTGTTTTGTCAGATTTGTGGATTAAACAAAACATCTAAAAGTGCTAGTGAGTAACCCTGTTTTTTTCTTCAAGAAGAAACTTTGTTATTTCTGATGGAAAAAGGTACAAGTAGACCAAGTCAAGTTTGGTCACTATCACAAACTCTCCTCTATAGTCAAGGGACAGGGACAGATATCCTGGAAATGTTTGATGAAGAGTGGACAGGAGCAACAGGTGCGAAGTGAAGGGGGACGTAGGGGAAGGATCTGGAAGTTATCAGCCTCGTCACCGGGGAATCCAAACAGGGACTGACAGTAGTGTGGCACAGGCTATCCGAAGGACATAGCGTGTACTGACAGGGTGATGATACGCCCACATATCAGCTTAATCATTTCATTTTCGTGCATTTTTTTTTCATTTCCAATAATAATGCGACACGAAATTAAAAGAAGAATGTTCAAAACCTAACCTGTTGAAGTTACAGCTCAGTGGATGTAACACTTTTCGAGCAAACAGTGAAAAACCATGCACAACCTTTTGATCATGAAACACGATTTTGTCTATAAGCCGGTTCATACCGTGCGAATGCGATGCAAATTTGAAGTCACGAAGCATTCGCTGCGAAATTCGCCAGAGTTGAAATGTGTTCAACTTTTGCAAACTCGTAGCACGAAAACTTGCCCTGACGTCACAAAGTTGCGTAAGCGTTTGCTTTCGCGCAGTAACCTGCCTTAGTTCTGTATATCCAAAAACTCAGTCAATTGACTGATCCTAAATCACCCACATTTCTTGATCTCTTCTAAATGACAGCCAGACGGAACAATTTCATGGCGTTTATAGTACCAGTACAATCTTTAATCCAAGTAAGCTTTTTGATAATAATTTCGTAAGTTACTTTGGGAATAAATGCAAATGATCCTTAATATGCCTTTAAACTGGAGGCCTGACCTCATAGACTAGAGAGGAACTTCATGTCTTATGAGATTTCATTTCCAGTTGCTAGGACAACCTTCCCTGTAGGCTTGGTCTCAGACTGATTTTGATTTTGTTCCCCGTTTTTATGTGATCCCTGACAAGAGTGGTCAAGCTGCCACAGTGGTAGAGGCAGGGTACTATCAACAAGATGAATCAAATCCCATCTTGGGAACTTTACCATTCTATTGAATATTCAAGCTAATGTGTGTGGGTGAGGTATGCTCAAAATTCCTTGGGTGCTAGTGCCAAAGTTCCCAAGACTGGATATGATTTATCTTGTTGATAGCACCCTACCCCTCATTGGTAGTACTGCGCATGCCTCAGTGAGGATTGTGAACGTTCAACCAATAAAATGGTAAAAGGGACCAAATTTCATAGGAGTCCAAATTTCATGTGACACTGGAAAAGTGTTTACAGCTATAGTCCATCATTTGCAGCCATCCAAAAAGTAACTGGCCTAATTATTGTTGAAAAACATACTTGGTTGAAAGATAGTAAGGGGACTAAACTCCCTGTGAAATTATTCTTTCTGGCAAGCTGTCATTTTGAAGTAATCAACGAAAGAAGGCCTTTCCAACGGTGCGTCTTACGACGCACCGTAGGAAAATTTAAATTAGTAGTTCATTTTGTTATTCGGCGAAGCGCGCGCAAGCATTGGCACGACGCACACGTGTGCGCGGTTGCTATAATTCGTCGGATCAGTGCGCGACATCGCGTATAGCTGCAATCGGCTCAGTGAGAACGTGTCTCGGACGCTGAATTCAGGCCCAATTCAAAACATGATTCAGCAACTTTTGATTTGAAATAGAGATCCTAGAATGCTGTTTTCTTGGAATATACAGCTGAAGCTGAGCTGAAACTTCATCAGGTTAGTTGTTCAGTATCCTTCATTAGATTTTGAGCACTTTTGTTGCTTCAAACGAAAAAAATGCACAAATTACAAATGATGGACTATATCTTTAAGACTGGCCAGCCGGTGTTTTATCAAATGTTTAAGACTGTCGCGAAAGCTAATGCATATTTGTCAGGGCAAGTTTTCGCGCTATAAATTCACAAAAGTTGAACACATTTCAAATCCTGTGTCAAGAGCCCGTCAGGCTCTTGACCAACGGGATTGGATAAACTATCTTAGGTATTTATGAATTGAATTTAAAAATGCTGGCCCTGCATGAGAGATCATAAGACAATTACAAACTGCCCAGTCTCTGACTCCACAGCTGAGAAAGATACTAAGACATTGGTCAGAAGAAACCAAGAGATTCGAACACTGCCTGATAAGGTTCTGGCTAACAGGACTTCATGTATTTTAACACAAGGACTATTACAAAGAACTTTAGTGTAACTTGCAACTGATAATTTCTTTCTTAAAAATATCCACGAAATGTTTGCAATGATGGGGCCAGTACTACAAAGAAGATCCTATTGCTATAGCAGTTCCTGGGCTGAAGATTGCCGTGTGATGAGGGCCCAAAATCCCAAACGATGAATCATCGCTTTTTTTCCCACCTGTTGAGGACCACTCACAATTTATCCTGGAAATGCACGGTGGCGGCCGGGCGCTTGAGATGCAGACATGAGATTTAAGTGAGGAATTCAATTTGGCAAACACGCTAAATTTACATCGTATGTTGCAGGTACATGAGTGTGTACCTGCATACATGTACACTTTTTAGTTTGCGTATAAGGGATCTGATACATCGTACCCTCTGGAGACGTGTGTACAATAGGGAACAAAAGATTGTATACGTCTCCACAGGGCAATTTCTATAGATGAATACGTCTCCACAAGGTTTTCACGAAATAGATATATGGATTTTACTCAAAAACTAGGAATTTCCAAGGTGAGTTGATCCGTCGCAAATGGAAGAGTTTTAGAAAAGGGATATTAAGTCCAAATTTCAGCCTAGGAAATTAATTCTTGGTTAAAATAAGAGCATTTTTAAACTACACTTTCAAACTCGAAAACTTTAGTACACAAGAACAAAGGAATGTCTCCACAAGGATACAAATTCCAGTATGTGGGCTAGCAAACGTCAGACTTTACACAATTTTGTGCAACCATGATTGTGAAACTTGTCTTTCGCAACATTTCATTGCACGAAAATGTGTTATGGTTGAGCAATATCACCTGTGAAATATTGTGCAAGCGGCGTGACCAGGTCGTTCTGAATAAAAGTGAACTGAAAGTGCCATGTAAACTCTACTTTGCTTGAAGAAGTATAAACAGGAAATTTACAGCATGTAGGGCCTATCATTCTAAATACCATTTTCATTTTATTCTTGAATTTGCTGGAAGTTTTGCTTGAAAAACAAACAAGGGAACATCACTATATAAATATATTTTGAAGAAATATGACGGCTTGGCTGCATCTGATTTCAATTTTCATGCTTCATTTTTGTGACACAGCCATATATTAAAAGCTAGATGAACTTTCAAGTGGAAATATGGGAGAGAATTTTCAACAATCTTTCTTGAGAATCCAGATCTTATGTCATCTATTAACGCAAGGAGAAACTCGAGCACCATGATCAGATTTAACTTTACTAAAAATCCTCAATATTTCCCCCTTGATCAAAGGTTAATAAAACAGTCTGATGACGAGCAGAGCATACTGTTCGAAACGTCGAGTTAAACCAACTGGTTCTTCTCAGAACCACACAACTCATTAAGAGATACCATTCATCACATGGTGTTACCGCAAACCTCCCATTCTTTAAATTCAACAACTTCTTATTCTGACTCTGTTGAGTGTTTGTTAATTGCCAAAATATGAATGAAAAAACTCCTTTTTATAAAAAAAAAAATGGGTTAGAATGCATCACTCTAGTGACGGTTTGCGTGTAACTGCTAGTGGGTCTCTACAAAAACCACAGACCCTCAGGTAATGATCACACTTATGTGGTCCGTGGTCAGTACCATAGTTAGCAAGCACTTCAACAACCACACAGTGCAAAGTTTCCAAAAACAACTTCCCAAAGGCAAAACGGTCTGCCGCAGGTATACTCACCAGTTGGGCGCGCATGGCTTTAGTTTCTCACTGGCAAAAAGTCTTCCAACGATGATGCCATAACCGGATGGATCCAGCGGGACTCTGGAATGGGTAGTGTCCTCAAAAGGGCAGTCTGCATGACGGCGAATCGATGCAAGATTTGACCAAAGAACAGCTCTTCCGCAAAACTCTAGAGAAAAAAAACGAAGACACACGTAGACACGGATGATTTAAAGTTGGTGCAATCTTTCAAAGGCCATAGATTTGTACAAAAAGTCACCAGCAACTAAGTCAACGTAATCCTTTTGAAGTTAAAAAACCTCAGACGAAAGCGATTCAACAATGATCCGTTCTGATTGGTCCTGTAAACTTTTAAAGGTTTCAGCTGCTTGTGGTTTGCGATCGATACGATTGTGGGTTTAAGCAGGGGGGGGGGGGGAGGTTACAGTTGACAGCGTAACCGCATGCATGCGTGTGCGTGCACTGCGAGTGACTGATCAGGGACTACATAGTCGGTCGGCCTATCAGTACCATCTAGTGGGAGGATATGACACGTTATGACCAATACCTCAGTTTATTAATGAGCTACAGGCATGTTGGCGTTAGAGATATGTAGACCATGGTTAGTATTTTATGCAGACTGATTAAAGGGACACGTACCATGACTGGCAGATCATGGAAGGGGAGTTAGGGTGAGGTGGGGGTTAGCAAGGGTCATGCCCCTTCAAAATTCAATTCCTTATTCTATAAGTAATCAAGACCATTTATTATTTTTTTAAGTTGATGTCGTTTTCATTCCCATTTCATTAGTGTCAAAAGTCAACTTTAGTAGGGAAAATTGTGTCCCCTTTTTGAAACATTCCCTGCTTTTTGCCCCTCCCCCAAAATTTGGTTCTTGATCTGATGGTGCCATCCAATGATCCAATTATGCGCCTTCCAAGCTACATGCAACTGCCAATCTTGGACGTTCTCTTATCACCTCCTTGATTCAAACAGAACCAACCAACAGAGCAACGCGATCGGGGAATCTACTTGATCAGTTGATCGCGCTGCACTAGTATCAGTCAATCATGCCGCCATCGGTCGAAGTCAGGGAAGTAAAGTCTGAGACTTCCTACAGGATTGACCAATCGCGCAAGTTGATGTCTGCGTGATCGAGTGATAGCGCAGGTCAATCTCGTCCAACGTATTTTTGATATATATGAGGAGCTATGCAGGAATGAGTTGCATCATGCATGGAGCTAAAACTGGTCATGGCTTGAAAGAACATAAAGCAATTAGCTTTTTATAATCTTTAGGTTTGTTAATTATATGCTGACAGCTATGTTAATTTGAGGAAATAATGTTGCAATCTGACGCCACTTTATTCTTCATATATCATCTCAATGAAGGTCAGTCATTGCAAAAATGATGACAAGACATGAATCTGGGACTGAGAAACATTTCCAATTTTGTTTGAAAATACTTTGAAAATTGTCTTGACTCTCCATAGACTTTGTACACAACCGCTGAAGTGGCGTCAGGTTGCAACATTTTTTTCCAATTTGGCTTCAAAGCCATCACGTCAGGTTGCAACATTTTTTTCCAATTTGGTTTCAAAGCTATCACTCTTTTAAAATTATGTCATCATTTGTCTTCCAGTTTAATCACAATATATTTATTTGTTGATTTATTATTTGGCAGTGGCCGGGATAGCCCATGAAAGTCTTTCGACTTGTTTTCCAGTTGGGTCCCTTGGTAGGACGAGAAAGGAAATTACATCTAATAGTAATAACACAAAGCCACTTTACAAGTTCATCAATTTAACTACACAGTAGATAGGATGATCCTATCATTACATGTCAAATTCCTCAGCCTTAATTTGTAGAGGATGTGAGGCAACATGTACAGTGGCCATACACTCTACAAATGCTCTATGGTAAGTCTCATATTCCTACCCAATGCATTCATCATGCGATGACTCAGTAGCATCTCCTTGGAGGTACGTGAAGGACAGTGCGAGCGAGGGCGTCCTTCAGAGGACTGAAGAGCAGTCAAGTTCATGGTAGTTCCTGGAGTAACTGCCTTTCTTCTGATCAATGTAGTGTGTGAAAGTTCACCGACCAGAGGTACATACAAATTACACCAGTGAAGCTGTATTATCCCAATAAGGCGAAGTAAAAAAAAACATGTTTCTCGTCTCCGCCCGCTTCCTTTTTGGAGGCCGCCAGGATTTTTTTATTATTTTTTATTTTTGAAATTGAAAATGCATTAAAAAAACACCGAAAAAGTCCACCAATTCATCAGAAACTAAATTGTAGACCAAAACAAGTCTAAATGACACTGTAAATATGTTCAGTTCTCTTGTCCAACTTATCTTTCATTTTAAAAGTGTCTTTGAACAGTGGAAACACCAACGGTTGCAGGAAATTTTTAAATGGCGGTCATCTTGAAACAAATAAAAAATGAAAAGCCCCGCTTCCTCCTTTTTTTTCAAAAGCCTGGACGAGAAACATGTTTTTTTTTTAATTCGGCCTAAGTGGAGACTACAGCACGATCTGTGAAGTAATGTCAAGAGAAGGTTATTTATGTAGGCCCTACGTCTATATTTCGTGTAATTTGCAGGTTCATTTTGCACGTGTAGCATACCTAACTTCCAACACGAATTTACACGAAAAATAGACGTCTGAAAAAGGGGGATTTATTTTTTATCGCTTTAAAGAGAGGGTGAGTGTGTTTCTAAAGCATAAATAAACTACAAACAAAGTCTGAATTTGAAAATAAAAACTTAACAAAAGTCTACATTCTCTGGTACATGTTCCAAGTGTGGCCTTAGTTAAAAAAAGTGTTTAAATACAAAAGTAGGCCTAACCTTTCTTACCATGTAAATAGCAATCACAAATTATTTTTGATGTTGCTAGATTACACGGGAAAATAAGACACATCATCAAGCGAGGTGACATCTGCACAAGTTGTAAAGGAAACATCCTGTGCTCTTCTCAGATTTCATTGTTATTGCAGACGACGCACACACAAGGCGCCCTCAAGTGGCAACCCTCCACTACCGTAAGAGGGCGCTCTAAACGATCCTCTTCCAAATTAAGGTTTTTGTTGTTATAGGGGGTTGGAATTTTGATTTTGCTTGAGATTACCTATTTTTGGAATTAATTATGGGTAATACTTGTTTTCTGTTCCTGTTTGAAGTTTTATTGGTAAAAAAAAAATAAAAAAAAAAAAATTGCAGGTTTAAGCGTGATGTATGTACATGTATCTGGATATTTTGCTGAAAAAGTTTCATAAAAATTAGCCAAAATATGAATTTCTTTTTAATAATATATATGTCCCTAAACAGAGTCGGAATGCGTTCCAGGGTCCCTTAGGAGTCCTTCCATGAAGTTTGGAGCAATTTCAATTTTTTGACAAAAATTGACAAAAATTGCAAGGCGTCAGCCTTACATTTTTCATATAATTGGGCTAAAAAATTAAATTCTTTTTAATGATAATATCTGTCCCTAAATCGATTGGGAATGTGTTCGAGGGTCCCTTAGGAGTCTTTCCAGGAAGTTTGGATCATTTTCATTTTTTCACCAAAATTGACAAACATTGCAAGGGGTAAGCCTCACATTTTTATATAAAAATTGGCTAAAATTTGAATTTCTTTTTAATGATATATATGTCCCTAAATCGCAATGGAATGTGTTCCAGGGGACCTTAGGAGTCTTTCCAGGAAGTTTGGAGCAATTTCATTTTTTGACGAAAATTGACAAAAATTGCAAGGGGTTAGCCTTGCAGGAGACGGCAGGGGAAGGCACGTGCTGCTGCCGAAAGCTTCTGAAGAAATGCAGGGTCATCCCCAATGTCATTGCACACTACTCGATCATGTGTTGCGCAAAACGGTCGAAGAGGTGCAGGCGCGGTTCTGGGGGAGGGCCCTCCATGGGCGTCGCTAGGACTTTTTCTAGAGGGGGCAAACATTTTCTCCAAAAAGTTTTGTATTTCTCAACAAATTCTCGATTTATCAGTTAAAGAGGGTGACAGGGACATTTTGCAACCCCCCCCCCCCAAAAAAAAACTCATTAAATTTACGTGACAACTATGACTTTGCGCCTCTTTTCCCCTTTTTCTCATTTCTTTTTCTTTTTCGGGGGGGGGGGGGGTGGGCAAGCGCCCCCTCCTTGCCCCCCTCGCGATGCCCATGCCCAGTTTTGTCCATAAACAAATTCACAGAATTCCGTGAAAAAAAATGCGAAACACCCCCCCCCTTCTGACACGCTTAAACTATTTACTGGTAATAATATCCACTTTGCACAAAAACACAGGCATCGGCAGCTTTGTTAGTGGGTATATGCATATTCTGTGATATAGGCCTAGTGTTAATAACCGCTGTAGAATAGGTTTACTTTTTTGTGTCAGAGCAGGGAGGGATTCAACCCTCCCCCCCCCCCAAAAAAAAAAAAAAAAAAAAAAACTTGCTCAGGATCTGCTCCTGCATGTTACTGACTGTAAAAAAGCAAGTCAGCAAAAGCCCCATGCAATGGATTTTTTTTCCAATTCAACCCTTAATGTACATTTTTGTATTCCACTTGACTTTGTTTTTCATTTTGAATTTCCAATTTTAAGAGTGATGGACTTTGATATCTTGCGTTTTCCCCTATTTTGCGAATTACTATATTTGTTGGGAATGTTCACAATTAAAGAAACGTTATTTGAAAGATGTAAATAATGTTTATATTACAATGTACATCTTTATTTTTCCCCGGTATAATTTGGCGTTTTTACGTCCAATTGGAAATTGCGCCATTAATAATGGTAGTCATATGAATCGAACGAAACTTCGCTTTAATTATAGTCAATTATGATTCATTCGTTCATGACATAGACCTCTGCTTCGTATTCAAAACTACCGTACATCTGCCGAGCAGATGTAAATATCAAACTAAACCAAAGTATAAAAGATAGAGAATAAAAAAAAAAATCAAAAAGTTATGTGCTAGCCAAGCTTTCAGGGATCGGTCTGAGCCATAACAATGCCCCAGCCGATCCCTTAGTTCTCTTCCGGGGTCTCGGCGTCCCCGACCAATACACACTTCCTTCCCTATCCATCCATATAACCCCGGAGGGCCAGGCACCATGTAAAAGCAAAGAGCTAAGGGAGGAACAGGGCGGCCCCTAAACCTTGATCCTCCGAGTGGACCAAATGCCCTGAACCTGTACGAAGGCGCCAACCTGGAACTCGCGGACAGTACCAGCAGCAGTGCTTACCCGTTAAGCTAAGGTACTGTTGGTAATTTACGACGGGAAATTAAACATCTTATATAATGACTGAACGAGTGTGATCAAAACCAAAATGACACCGACGGGATTCGAACCCGTGCCCCGCGCGATGCGTGGACGACGAATCTAACCACTAGGCCCTTGAATGGAAAAAGATGGTTCAAGCTAGACGGAAGCCATTCATATAAATAAAAATATAACACCCTCAAAACACAAACAAATTTACGAAAAACAAACAGATATCAATGTTATTATTTACAATATTCTCTTAATTTGTTTTTCTATATCCAAAGAAAATTAATAAGCTTTATATTCATTGAAATTTAAATAAAGGGATACATAATATATTACATCATACATAAACATCACAAACCTTTTCAGTAATTGATTAATTCTCATAACGTAGTTCTACATACACATTGATTGTATTATAAATTAATGTGCCTAGAGATGGTCCTTAAAACATAGTTTTTAGGATTAATTAGTTCTATAATGTATAAGCAGGAACAACTAGTTCAAAATTGTTTCAACTTGATTCAACAAGCCCAAGGAGCTGGGCATGCTAGTATGCTATTTGGCATACTTCTAATAGGAAGCCTATAACCTTTTGTTAGAGTAAATTAACCCTCCTATGCAAACATACATTCTGTGCCAAATTCTCCTTGCAGTCAAAATTAATCAAGTGACTGTTCAACCCTTAAGAATTCCCAGCCCACATAAAAGCAGGATTGACTTTCTGGGACTGATTAAGTAACTTGATACAGCCGTGCTTTGACTCCAGGAGAGTGATAAAACAGCTGTGACCACAACTTGCCTGCTTTGTCTGTTGACCCAGTTTGACTAGTCACAGTGCTTGCTTGACATTATGATCTGACTGCTGGTGACTGGCCTTTATTAAAAGTATAGCAGGGAAAGTGGAAGTGAATTTTGACTGTCCATGACTGCTAAATAGCAGGAGGGTTTAGCTTCATATTCAAGCTCAGAATGAAGTTATGAAGCGGCTTATATACATTTTAATTATTCTTTTCTTAGTGCAAAATAAGCAACAAAAACAATCCTTCTGAAAGATGAAAAGGGGAGGGGAGGCCGAGTTATTTGAATATGTATATAGAGTTAATTTTTCCATCATTAAACGTTAGCAATGTCCAGCATAGTGAATAACAAGACGTCACAGTTAAAGATATACACTATCTCCAAGAAATGAATAAATTAAACTGATCGTACAAATATTTATTTCATAACAAAAGCCACAACTATCAAAAAACCTTCCAAATCGGACAAAAGTAACTATTCATTGAGAAATTTAACAAAAAAACGCACATTTTCCGTGTTCCACGAGTGCAAGTGGGATAATGAATTTATCTTCAAGCAACTTGACGCACAAAGAAGTTGCAATAAGTACGCTTTACACGATACTTTTAGCGGTTAGGCCCCCCCCCCCCAATATAGCCGGTCTCTGGGTCGCGCGCGTGTCTTTTTGGATCATGTGCTCATTATTTATTTTTTTTAATTGTCTGCGGAAGCTACAACAGCGCCCTCTATTGCCGCACCGCCTCAAATTTTCGTGGGCAGCTCAACTCCAAAATTTGATGGAGGGCACCAAGGCAAATGCATGATGGAGGACACCAAGGTATATGAGGATACAAAAAAGCCGAACAGTACCAACCTCGTCTGTAAGATTCAAGCTTGAAAAAAAAAAAAACACGCATCGCCGCATCAATTCCGGAACTTTGGTCTGACCAGAGACCAACTATTTTTTTGTGGCCTTATCCACGCATGCAGCTGGAATGGCCCTTGCATCTTTGAATAGCGCGATATGCGGAGTGCGATACAGAGAATGAGGATTCAAGTTTGTTTGATGATAAGTGTAATTACCTAAAAAACCTGTGTACCCTATTGGGGATTTACAACCAAAAAGTACGGTGACAAAGAGTCATGAAATTCCCATGACCCAAATGTGCATAGCTTACTAAGCACAAACAACGTATCGCAGTAACCTGTTTTTACATTTTGTACAATGCTAATTAGTTTGATACTGTAGACTTGATCTAGACTAGCTCTTGGTATCGGGAAAGACCTGCGTCTTCTTGGCACACTTCCACATGTACCCTATTGGGGGATTTACAACCAAAAAGTACGGTGACAAAGAGTCATGAAATTCCCATAACCCAAACGTGCATAGCTTATTAAGCACAACCAATGTATGGTGATAAACTGTTTTTACATTTTGTACAATGCTAATTAGCTTGACATTGTAGACTTGATCTAGACTAGCTCTTGGTATCAGGAAAGACCTGCGTCTTCTTGGCACACTTCCACATCGCTTCCAGGATGTGAGACAAGCCCAGCTCCTTGGGTTTGTCCAGTCCTCTCTGGACGCGATTCTTGACCACGCCTACGAACTCTTTGTTGCTCAGTTTGCCATCATCTGGACAAGCCAAAAAAAAAATTTAAAACCACAAATGTTATAGAATGTACCGCAGGTGCAGAAGAAAAACACAAAAAAGAAAATTGAAAAAAAAAAAAACCTCATTATAAAAGGTGTTCTCAATGTGTGGTTCATTTACGCACAGAATGCATATGAAACCGTCTGAGCCCAATTTCACAGCGCTGCTAAGCTCAAGATTTTCTGCTGACAGAGCCTCTGTCTATTTCATGGAGACCATGAGCTGTAAGCACACAAAAGGCATGCTTATCTCAGGGGGAAAAGTTGCTTAAATTAGTGACGTAACAATAGAAATCTCGAGCGCAATTGTTAGCACATCCATGCCATGAAATAGTGCTTAAGGTTAGCACAATTTTCTGCAATAGTTAGCACAACTTTTCTGCTTACTGTTAAGCAGCACCTCAAAATTGGGCCTGGGAAAAACTCCCTAGAGATGCTTAGCGGGAAAATAATGGAAATGCAAATTAAGCAGAAATCTGACCATCACAACAGTGTTCAACAACATAACTTTTTGCTGAAAACTGCCTTTTCTCAGCAAACTTTTTTCCTTGCTTTTAGCTTAGTCAATTTGTGTGTTGAGCTCCTTCTTAAGTTAGCCTCTGGCCTCTTGCTTCTTGCAAAAAACAAACATTTTCACAGCAACTAAGCCGAATCACACTCAGAGCAAATGCGAACGTGAATGCGAATTTCTGATGTCAGGGCAAGTTTTCGCGCTGCAAATTTGCAAAAGTTTAACACATTTCAACTCCGCCAAATTTTGCAGCGAATGCTTCGTGACGTCAAATTTGCATCGCATTCGCATGAAGTATGAACTGGCCTTTACGTACCGTTTTCATCAAAGAGGGTGAACACAACGTCCAAAACCCTGTCACTAAGTTTCACCTTGGCCACCATGTTACCGACATGTCTCAAAGTTTCTGCAAAAAAAATTAATAAATCAGAAGTCGTGCTTCAGGTGATCTACTTCTATGCATTTTGTTTTCTCTCCCATTTGCAATTCAGATGGTTATATCACGCAGATTCGTTGGTGCTTTGTGTCAATGACAACTGAATTTTGTAAATAAATTTATTGAGCTATTTGAATTTCACTCAGACTTTTTGAAATGAAAGTTATAATTTTCAATTCAACTTAGAATTTGTTACATGAGCCGACAAGCCAAATGTAGATTTGACATTTGTGATTTTTTCTTGTTATCTTTTTAAATCGAAAGACAAAATCGCAGTTAATAATTTTATCATACGCATGGCGCAAGATGTGATTTACCTGGATCGATAGCGGCACCAGCTACGTGGTAGAAAGAGAGCGCTGTGTCCACATCCCTAATGTGATTTAGAAATAACTGGAGGTCCATGAACTCTTTGAATGTGATGCCCTGTGGAGTAAATACAGTCCGATGTCATTGTTTATCAACTTCACATTATCTGATAGTAATCAATTCTGTGACAGTAGAACTTTGCTTTAATGAACACAGTTAAAAGAACACAGACTAAGACATCCCCAAGTTTTCAGGCGCAGTAGATAATGTTGGAGGATTCAAGAACAATCGCGGAAAAAAATGCCCCAAAGTAATAGGGTTCAGGTTTTTGACTACAGGGCCTTCTCAAGGCAAGAAGATGAAAATTTACCTTGACTTCTGAGTCGTCGTCAGCGAATTTCTTCTTGACTCTCTTTCTCATGCGAGACCTTCTTGGCTTGGGGATCTGGTTAGCGTAGACCAACAGAAAGTTGGCCAGGTTGACTTCTGAGATACGGCCGTCCACTGGCTTATACCTCTCAAACTGGGAAATTATGGATGAAACAAATGATGGCTTGATAAGGGCTTTGAACCGGATTTAATGCCTTAATGATATCAAAATTCCTTAAGTTAAGATATTTGAGAAGCTTACAAAGACTCACTTCCATTTTCAAGATCTCCTGATTGAGCTGTTTGTGGAATTTACGAAACGTTTCAAAGGTCAGCTTCTTGTCTAGGTTTGGGCCGAAGAAGACGGTGTCCAGGGAGCTATTGAAGGGCTTGTCCAGTGTGTTGCCGGTCGTCTTGCGATCTCGGTGTCTCTTGCCAGTCGCTGTCTGAGCTCTGATTACATCTGTAACCTGTGTTGGCAAAAATACTTGGCACTAACATTTGAGCCATCTTAATTTGAAATTTACAAGAATAGTTTGGAATCAGTAATGCTCTAGAACTGTAAACAATTATGATGATGTTAAGTGATCACCATTCATTGCCTTAATTCAAATAAAATGTTTCCACAAGACCAGACTGGCCTAAAAGTCTCAGTTTAAGACAAAGTTAGTTTTACTGTAAGTCAGTAAGTGTCTCGGGGAGTCGGGGAGTCAGTCAGTCAGACAGAGAGCAATAGGCAGGCCCTTCAGGTCCGGCAAAAACCAACTTAGGTAAACCACTATCATACACTGAACAACTTGGGCTGGGAAGTTGGTTTGGTTAATTACAAAAGGTTTATGACATCTCCCTTCAGTAGAAAAACAGTTCCTTAAGAACCAGTGGGTACATGACTCAAGGTTTCAATGAGTATCTGCTCCGTTCACAAGTACCCCCTCATCGGCAAAGAAAGTACAGTTGGGGGTGACCGAACGACGCCATCTTTCCTGACTGTAATATTTTGCCGCGAAGCGCGGCCACTGCGTGTACATAGTACAAATCCCCTGGTGTACGTGCGTCACACACAAGGAACGGTGCGCGCCATCAACCAGCGAAATGTATGTGTCCCGCCCATGGGACGTCGTTGCTAGGTAAAAGAGCGCCCTCTTTGTTGGCGCACGGAGCCCATACTTTGATTATCTTCAAGATAGGCTTGAAAACTGATGATGATCGATGGCAAAAATAGGAAAAGGTTCTTCGTATTTGCATTTTGGGCAAGAAAATCCATTTATTCTTTTAACAAAATGGCTCTATATACCTGTTGGAATTCATCATAGGACACCTCCCCGTCTCCATTGATGTCAAACAGGCGGAAAGCTATCTCAAAATGTCTCTCAGGAGCTAAGGAAGTATAGAAAATATGAATATTCATAATCTGATGATGAATAGGTATAAACCATCAATGAATATCAACCAGCTTGCTATGAATACAAATTAGGGACATCCCGTTTATCTGAGTGTGTACGATACTCTGCATTAACCTGCGAGCCGAAAAGGTAACAAAATGGTCTTCTTTTTTGTTTACTTAAAATTGAGACAAGCCTCATGAAAAGTACTGGTGGTTAAGCCAGTTCTGAATTCCCTCGGAATATCATTTTAATCCATTTGTGTTCTTATTAGCTTGAACAATGCTTCTTATTTTTCATTGTTTTTTTTAATCATTACTGACGGACTCACTTGACAAGACTGTGATAAGGAACATGTAGTCAGCAAAGGAGATGAGGCCATTGTCTCCCAACATGCCAAAGATGCTGTCATGATCCCCATCATGTAGACTCTTCATCTTCAAGTTCAATTTCTAGAGGAAGAAAATTCAAATTGAATATCAATTAATTGTTTGAAAAAGCGTACATTGTGAGAAAAAAAGTCAAAATTAATTTTAAAATAATCAATTAAATGCAGTGAAGTCCAAAGCTTTGCCTTATAACAAAAGCACCACATAACTTTTTGAGATATTTTATTAAGATTTTATGAATCTTGCTCTTTGATGCAAACACCTTGATGAAAGTAGAAATGAAAATTATTTGCTATACTTTACATACCTTGGCTTCTACCTTTTTGAACTGATCCAAACCCAGACCTGTAGGAGAATAAGAATTAAACATCAAAAATTAATATGAGAAAAAGTAAACCGTTTGCTTATTTTTTTTTGCCCCTGGAAGGTGAGTGACTACTAACTGTGCCAGAGGACTCAGATTTCATCAACTCTAACTCCCTAGGTGTTTTTGATCAGAGTCTTCCAAAATCCTCAAAAATCCTCCACCGTGCAGTAAACCCAATAGGACATATTTTGTTCTCAAGTCCCATGACTAGTGCGTAAAGCACTTGCCTCTCTCCACTGTGGCCCGGGTTCGATTCCCGGCTCGGACCATGCGTGTGTAGAGTTTTGCGTTGGTTTCCCCTGTGCCACGAGGGTTTTTCTGCAGGCTCTCTGGTTTTCCTCCCTCTGCAAAAATCAAACACTTTTGATCTCTGGCTGCGCTCTCTGGTCATACATGAGTTGTATGGTGGCTGTCAAAGGCGCCTTGACATGCTTTCGGCTCGACCATGTTGCAGCTGCATCCTTCGCAATTCAGCTTCTCAGCTGAAAGGGGAGTCAGGTTGGCATAGCGGTTCTTTCCTCGCCTTCCACCGCTGTGACCCGGGTTCGAATCCCGCCTGGGCCAATATGTGGATTGGGTTTTCAGTCCCTACCTGATTCCGTGGGTTTTCCTCAGAATATTCCTCTGGGATTTTCCTCCCACCTCTAAAACTGTTTCTTCTCATTGTCTTATCTACAGGTTTCTTCAGGCTTTCAAGCTACAGTGCTTAGGGTACTTTTGAGGAATCCTTGGTTTCATTACCGGAAAGAATTAAAAAAAAAAAAAAAAAAAAAGGTAAGGATGATTAGCCCCCCATATTAATATTATTATTTATTTATTATTATGAACAGTAATAGTAGAATCCTTTTCATATACCCTCCTAAATCCTTTAAAAATTCTCTAAAAACCTCCGGCAGGATTTTAAAGGACCTTGAAGGGTTAGAATTGATGACCTACCCTCTGGTTGTTTCTGGTCTGGCGTGATGGTGCGAATGAAGTCCTCAGCTGTCATGAATATATCCGACATCCCATCTTCCGTGAAAACCTTCATGGTTGCAAAGTAACGGAATATCTTGTCGGGTGTGGAGTAGGCGCGGATGCGATTCTCGTACTCGATGATCTGTTTTCAAACAACAGAACAGACACCATAAACTTATTTAATGATAAACAATACACAATTTATAATTGATTAATACTCTGCAATCGTTGTTGATTTACCTCATCTTATCAGCAAAGTGCATACTGAATACCACCACAAGGTTACGTATCCTAACAGAACATTGGAAAAACCAAGAATTGCAACCCAATTGAACTCATTACTGTGAGATTGTCATTTAAAAAAAAACACTCTGAATATCGGGAGATAGGTCTGAAAGATGCGTTTCTGTCCATATTGATAATGAAGGCATGAGAATAAATTTCAATGAAAAAACAGGAATTTGTGCAAAAAAAAGGAAAAAAAGATGCGAAATCTGGCAACAAGCCCCTAAACAGGCTCAAAACAATAAAAAAGCAGAAATTTTGGCAACAAAAAAAACCAGGAATTCCTGTTTAAACAGGAAGATTCTCATGCCTGATAATGTCTTCCTCTCAGGTTTGTAGGGTCTGATTTCAGACAAAAGTCTGAAAAATCTCATGCCTGTTACTGGTAGACATTTGGGATTCACTAAGCGTAGGTCTCAAATCAACTACAGCAACCTACTGCAAATCACAAGGGATTATCTCGCAATGCTGCTAAGCATCTTGTCTCTATCCTGGTAGGAATTTACTGCTGGGAATGTGCACAGGTGGGCATACACAGAGCTATAGGCTAATTTTTTTAGATTTTTGAGCTTTAGAAGTACAAAGAGACTTTTCTTGTCACCTTTCTGTCTCTGAAGCCAGGCCCTTTCCTCTTCTTCTCTTCTCCGTCTCCATCTTCTGCACCGTGTTCTTCCGTCTCCTTGGCAGCATCGGTCGCCTCTGTTTGCTGGACTTCTTTTGCGAGTGACTGGCGAGACCTTCAGATAACAGATAAACGCAATCTAAATTGATTATCCACTTTTACTGAAGAAACGAGAATTTCAATGACAAAAACTTTGAAAGAGGTATGGATGAAACAATATTTTATGGTTTGCTTAGTTGTATCCCTGGGGTTTTGCGTTTACTTTGTTTACTGATTGGGTCAGAATTCACCTACTAACAACAATTTGCCAACCACTTTAACAATGTCATTATTTACAACAAGACAAAAATTTGGACACTGTTTCCCAAATTTCGGCAAAATATTGGAAGAGTGTTACTGTTACTAGATTTGGATAAAATCTGTAATTTCTGGGTTTTTTTTTTTGGGGGGGGGGGTCCATTTTGTTAGCCACTGTTGATTAATGTCTTTAAATCATAATGGAGTCAAGAAAAGTCAGCAAATGCAATAGGTATGTCTTGCATATGTCGAGCTGACCTTTCCCATGTAATCGCAGCTGTGAGTAGGCCAGCTCCGCCCCCAAGTAGGGTCAGGATTCGTCTGACATGAGATGGATTCTGGGTGACATGCTGCTGAATGCTAGTGAAACTTCTCCACTGCTGCTGAACGATGACGTAAAGTGCCCGCCTTGCCACAGAGTGGAACATTTCTCATCAAAATGTAGTTGTCTGACCTACATAGATCTTCGAGGAAAAAATGACATTCCATTTAACAGGGGTGAGGATTAAGGGGTAAAAAAAAAACACGTTTAGTTTATATGGTAAGGCCTAAGGAATTCCCGATTCCAAAAGGGTGTTTAAAAAAATCCTTAAATTAGGAAACATCGATCATGACAGATCTCGGCGCTTATTTAATGTACCGTTTAAAAAATCCTTGAGTTTTGAGAACGCGAAATTTGTGGTAGAATTTTCAGGATGTAGGCCAATATAATTTTTATTTTTTTTTTTCAATTTTATCACAAATTCACATCATGATCTGAACACACAAAAGTACAAAATATAGGGACCTACGTCATAATAAAAAATACTTGGTCGATCAAGCACATCGCGAGTATGTTTACGTTCAACAAATTCTACATTATAAAAAATATACTGTACAATAGAAGTACTGTGACATGTATCATAATAGTAGACCCTATTGAGCATTGTTGTAGAGCTAGAACAGACAGTAGGGCCTACAGCGACCTTGATGAAATGACACTATGACAGACACTGTGGCTGTGCCGGACCAGCAGGCAGCATTGTTGTAAATCAGGAAGCAAGCATTAAAAAAAATGGAACTGCAAGCATCGCAAGTGCCCAACAATATGCTACTCATCAAAAAATCAATAACCAAAGATTCAGAATCTTTTTCTGTATTTCACCTCCAGCGATTAACGTTGATAAATAGTGAAATTTTACCTCAACTTTACGCAGTTTTCATGACTGGTTCTTTTCTGCTCCGAGAAGTAGTGACGGGTACCTGGAAGTTTATCACAAAAGTCACCAATTAACACCTTGAAAAATGGCCCGTACACAGGAATGGCGCCAGTCTAAAAATGGGCAGGGTTTTGCTGTCTGGTTATTGGAGTCGTTTCACGTTCATCTACGTGTACTACCGGAGAAGTACCCGACTCGACTAAAACTAACTCCAAAAAACCAAGTGTGAAAATGGCGTTCCGAAGTCTGTTCCGTTTGGAGCGCTGCAAACAGAATGTTTTGTTTGCTTTGTCTGCAGTCAGAAAGTCCGAAAAGAGGGTGAGCAGTATCTTTCTTTCATAAAGATTAGTTTAGCGGTTTCATGAAAAACTGATCTTGTCTATGATCTAAATAAAATACATGTTTGTGTGGGTGATGTATTTCGTGCATAGTGCACAAAACACATAGGGATGGGTTGGCCTTTGGGGTGGGCGGGGCGGTGAATGGGCCAGAAGGGGGCGTGTGCAAAACCCTGCTGGCACTAGGTTAGTTGCTGAACAGTGAATTTGTATTATCTGAAATACATATAAAATACATTATAATGTAATAATTCTTGATAAATGTGAACAAATATGCCTAGGGCCTACATGAAATTATCAATCCAAAGATTTGGACATTTTGAACCTTTTGGCTTAAAATATTAATACTAAAATATAATAGTTACTATAGTTCCCTTAAAAACAAAAACTCCACCGCCATGAATCAGCTGATCGGAAAGAAAAATTAAATCGAGGCCTACTTCAAGTTCAAAAGTAGGATTTGATTTAAAACAATTAAAAGTAGGCAGTGTATATTTTGACGGAGACGGCAAACCTTTAGTAAACGTTAGTTTGCCGGATATGCACTGAACATGCGCAGTTACTGTTTTTTTTGTCAACTTAAACATTTTCCGGTGACAAGTTTTAGTCTGGCTCCATGCCAAAATTATCGTTGTTACCTCGTATTCACAAGATGGGATTCAGACCATTTTATAATTTCGGACTTTATTTCCCTTTTAAAAGAATATTCTTATTTATTTGGGCATGAGAAAAAAAATCTTAAAAATGTGGTGCGGTCGGAATCGAACGCGAGTCATCCCACTTACTAGAGCCTTTGCTTAACCACTACACCAAACGTGCTACATAACTTTTGGTGGGAATTTAATACACCTTATAATTCAGCCCTATTTTAAAGAGTACAGCGCCCTCTGTTGATATGGATTGCCGCCGGCAAACCTTTAGTAATCGTTAGTTTGCCGTCATTACCTCCGGCAAAATATACACTACCTTAAAAGTAAGCCTTTTTTAGTTTAACAAAATGGAATTGGCGTCGCTGAGATGGCTTTTCTGGCAATTCGCAGATTTATTTATAAACACTGTTATGCACCGAGGATACACTAGGATGTCCATTTTTGAATAATTTAGTATTTGATTTGGAAACTGCGTTTGACCGAATATTCGGATATTTAAAACTGCCAGCTGCAAAAGCATGCTATGTTGGTAGAAAGTTGTACAAAGAGCGCGAAAGTTACAATTGCATGTGGCCATCGATAAGGGGGGCATGAGTGTTTTTTTTTTAATTTTGAGTAAATTTGCTTTAACTTTCAAAAAGGATGTAACACTAACAATGAACCACTGTTAGAAAAAGTAACCATCTACAAAAAAAATGGCACCAGACAATAAATCGCCACAACTTTACGGTAAAATAGCATCACATACATGTACTATGTGTGTAGTTTTTTGTTTTCGAATATTCAAATTGCCAAAAAGCTAATCGAATATTCAGATGATGATCAAATATTCGAGTATTCGGTATATTCCGGACAGCCCTATCGATGGCTCGCAAGAAAGAAATCACGCTTACTCAGGTAAAAATTCTGGTGACAAGGGTTTGAGTCCCACCCAAAGCAAGCCTGTGATGTCTCTCCTTGGGCTCTCAAAAACCACTGGGCACACACTTCCATTGCGAGTACATATTTGTAGCACTTCATCGGGAAGGAAAAATCCTCATTTAAATTACTTTAAAAACTATACACTGTATTAAAGCCACAGTCCATCATTTGCAGCTATCCAAAAAGCAACTGGCGTAAGTATTGTTGAAAAACATACTTGGTTGAAAGATAGTAAGGGGACTAAACTCCCTGTGAAATTATTCTTTCTGGCATGCTGTCATTTTGAAGAAATCAACAAAAGAAGACGCATCATTGGAATTTCCGTTAGTAGTTCTTTTTTTTATTCGGCAAAGCGCTCAAGCATTGACACGACGCACACGCGGGCGCGGTTGCTATAATTCATCGGATCAGTTTGCGACTTTGTGTAGCTGCAATCAGCTGAGTGAGAAGGTGTCTCGGACGCTGAACTCAGGCCCAATTCAAAACATGGTTCAGCAACTTTGATTTGTAATTGAGATCCTAGAAATATTTTTTTTCTTGGAATACACAGCTGAAGCTGAGCTGAAAGTTCATCAGGTTAGTTGTCCAGCACCCTTCTGTAGATTTTGAGTACGTTTGTTGCTTCAAGTGAACAAAATGCATGATGGACTGTACCTTTAATAATTTAACAGACCCTCAGGCCTCAGGTGAAGATTGGATGACAAGAATTTTATTTCTGTATTTTGATTTTCAGGATCTGCAGTATTTCCTTCCGGGTAGCCTGAAGCACTGTGCAGCTGCTTATTGTACCACCCCTGGTGAATCTGGTAAGAACGATGATTCTTTGAGCAGTTGTTAATCAGAGGATATACATGTAAAATTTACCTGTCGCACAACAAAGAAATGTATCGTGTGCACAAAGTTTATTCTCGAGTTTGGCATGACATCAAGAACAAATGAAGAAAAACAAAGCCACATGTATGTAACGTATCATGTGTTGATCGCCTTATTCATATAAATTCTCAAACTCATTTAATTGATTTTCAGGCTTCTGTCATCATATTTTTGAAGTATTTTTGACACCTGTTTCATCTGAAATGAGTTATCAGTGGAATACACAGCAATTTTTAACCATCTTTGATGTTTCAGCTTTCGACAATATTGGCCTAAAAACACATTCAATCTAAAATGTCGCCGTTCTAAGCGTTCTTCACTGCAACGTACGTTCACTTCCCCTTTTGTGTTTTTTCCCCTTCGCACTGTTGCTACGTGGAAGTGTAATGAAGGTTTCCAAATGTCCGACCTCAAGAATAGATGATACATGTACGTCAATTTGTGGTGCACCGGACGAATTGTTGTGGGGCACTGTTCCCCATCCTTAGAAGTGACTACACACTGACTGAGCTTTCTATCTCAATTTAGGTGTTTTCCTATTTTGTCACATCTAAGATAATTCCCTTGCCATTCATTGTGTGCATAAATGTATTTTGTAACTTGTCTTTGAACAAACTAGGACACGTACATTTACAACATATTTTTTATAAGACAGAATTATAATTTGTTTCTTCTGGCGTCAGGGCGATGGAAAATTATATTGGTTTTGCCCAATATTGTTGAAAAACATACTGGTTGAAAGATAGTAAGGGGACTAAACTCCCTGTGAAATTATCCTTTCTGGCAAGCTCTCATTTTGAAGAAATCAACGAAAGAAGGCATTTCCAACGGTGCTTCTTAAGAAGCACCGTAGGAAAATTTAAATTAGTTGTTTGTTTTGTTATTCGGAGCAGCGCGCACAAGCATTGGAATGACGCACATGCACGCGCGGTTGCTATAATTCGTTGGATCAGTGTGCAACATCGCGTAAAGCTGCAATTCAAAACAATTCAAAACATGATTTAGCAACTTTTGATTTAAAATTGAGATCCTAGAATGCTGTTTTTTTCGGAATATGAAGCTGAAGCTGAGCTGAAACTTCATTAAGTAAGTTGTTCAGTATCCTTCATTAGATTTTCAACACTTTTGTTGCTTCAAATGAACAAAATGCACTAATTACAAATGATGGACTATAGCTTTAAACGCAGCATTTAAAACCGGCTAAGCACACATACATGTAAATTCCCTTTAAAAAACTGTGAAAACCCATGCTGTTTCATAAGTCATTCATACCTCATTGCAGCCATTGTTCAGTCTTTAGTTTTGATGGAGAATAACAAATTCATTACAAAGGAGTATCACCGACGCTCAACAGCCGGTGATCCTGCTGTGCACGTGTGTACAATTGGTTAATTGACTGGCAATATCATTAACGTGTAATTGCTTCCACCAATATGTGGTAACAGAACGTGCCACATTGAAGACAGGCAATCAATGCCCTGTGTCAGTTACTGTCCCCTTCAAGCAAAGCATCTATTGTGTTGCACTTTGTTGCCATGGAGACCATCAAGGGTTTGCCCGAAGACACAATTTATATTGACGCTTAAGTGAAACGTGTTGCCGGAGACTTTAAGGGCACTGCACAAACTCATGCAACTTGTGTTTGTTGAATTTTTTTTCCACGGGCAAGGGCTAGAGAACTACATTAAACAGAATGAAAATGAAATGCAAACTTGTAATTTGGCAGAAATAAGAAAAGTAATGAAATATACAGAGAATTCATAATAATAAATATACGCATGAATTGTTCACATGCAATGTTTGTCCCCATGCCTCAGTGCATGCACTGTCTGTAATTCAAAGAAAAAATTGAAACAAATTTGTAATATTCCTGGCTATTATTTACCGAGATTGGTTTTTTTTTTTCAATGAAAGGGGTCATGCCAATTGTCACAACGCTGGCAGTTTCACACCTGGAAAAAACTGCAATCCCAGATCACTCATCAAAGAGAATTCATATATCAGAATTATCAAATATCGCACAAAGGGAAATTGAATAGGTTTAGGTTTCAGGTTTCATATCAGTTTATTTTCCACTTGTTATCAACTACTTTGGAAAATACACGTTACATGTACATTTAAATTGATGAGTATTGGATCATCTGGAAACCCAGTAGCTCATTCATGAAAATTATCCCATTTAATTGCTTTATAACATGACAGATGTCGACAAAGTCATTATGTGGGGTGTTGTGGTCCAATGGTTACGGTGTTCGACTCATGTGCCGTGGTACATGGGTTCAAATCCTGACCGTGGGAATATGGTGCTTGTGCTCTTGAGCAAGGCACTTTACCATTATTGATTCTTCCTTCGAATGGGACATACATTTGTAAAGCCGTAGGTCCCGTGTGTTGTGTAATGCATGTTAACATTTGCCGCTAAGAGAAGGGGTTTACCCCCGTATTTCTGGCAGTGGCTGCAATATGTGCCGCAGCACCTTGTAAATCTTATAAGGTGCTACATAATGGGTCTCATATTTCTCATAAACTTCATGTACCTGTCTTTAATAATAGACATAATTTCCAGCGCCTTGAGTACCTACATTTGTGTAATTGTTGGTAGATATGTGCGCTATATAAGACTCCGGTATTATTATTATTACATAAGCGATCAATTTTAATAAATGTTTTTAGGTTGAACACAGAAATGGACTTGAACAGGATTTGAAAATGCAACATCTGAAACACTATTGAAGTGCAGTGCCACTGTGTTGGTACAGCACTACAGCATCGTTACAATGGTCAAGATGTCACAGGTTCGATTCCAGCACCACTCAATGTATTTATTCATCCATACATGTACGTTGTACATATAAATTGAAGTTCGTTTCCCTTTTTGGTTTATACATATTATTTTTAAACGTCTGAACAAATCCCTGTCGTGTGATTGATTTGTCGTTGATCATGTGTCATTGAATAATTTGTCCCAGTGCACAGTCTGGCCGCACCGCAAAAATAGAAGTTATTTTCCATGGTGAATTTCCATTGCAGGATCACACTATCGGTGGCTCTGACCAACCAGCTAGATGAGGATTTATTCCAGTGTTGTGTAAAACAAACAATAAATGTTTTACATTCCTGGAATAGAAGAATCATTTCATTTGGTGACAGATGGAATGTTCCATTCCACTCGGCTTCGCCTTGTGGAATTTCCTAGCTAGGTCTACAACTTTGCCAGCATCATGACTTTGGGCAAAGTTTTTTGTCAAAGAAGAATTTTTTTTGTCAAAGAAGTTGACAAATTAGGGAACCGCCAACATAGGGCTGGATAGCTCAGAAGTCGCAGGTTCAAGCCCAACTCCGGTCAATTTCTTTATTCAACTTCAACATAAACCAAAAATCACTGACGGTTGTCGTTTATTTTCCCCATTGTTTTACAGAGGTCATTTGTGAGTATCGCAATGGCCTGCCGGTCCTGCTGGTTCCTCTACCGTCCATGAGAGAACACTGTCAGTTCACCTTGAAGCCGGTCACGGAAACGGTGGGAGACTTCCTCAACCATCTCAAGCGAGAAGACGGAGGGGTAGAGAGGGCCGGAATCTACAACCGAGGTGGCTGTTGAAATTGTTTTTTACAACAAAATATTCAGGAAAAGATCCACTAGGCATTGAGACATAATGACGTCACACTTTGTTTTTGATATGTGCACTTTCTTATGGGAGCCGCAGCACCCATTATGTTTACTGTATTTTATAAATATTGATAAAAATGTAACAAGTCTTTTACATGTGTAATGTACATGTACATCCCTAACAGTCCTCAATCCTCCAATTTCAATATGATTTTGCATACCCCCTAGGGAGTTAGGGTTAACACATTTTTATGCCAAATGCTTTTGCTAAGTGTTGTATTAATGTGTTCATGAAATGTAGCCATAGGCTTACACTTACAGTGCATTTGGTCAAACAAATATCGGTATTCTTGATGTCAGATTGCATGCTGAGAAATGTGTGTGACCCAAACAGGACCAAATATTGCAGTTACCGTTACACTATACATGTGCATGTACCTGTATACTTGCAGTACAAAAAGTGAAATGTTGAATTTTATTTGAGTTATATCTTCATTTTATAATTACTTTTTTTTCTTCCCATTTATTGACTTGGCAATCAATCCAACTACCTGTACATGTATATAAAACTGCCTAGATCAAAACCATATGTGTACAATTCATTGTGCTGGTTGATCACGACACATACTGCAGTGCAGCCTTCTGTCAAAGCGGAAAATACATACATGTTAAGGTCATAAAGTTTACGAGCTTGGGAAGGCCAAGTACTGTTTGCATGGATAACCTGAAGGGAAAAAAATGGAAGAAATCCACTGCAGCATTACTTACAGAACATGTGCATGTTAAACTTAAAGAGGTTGTGGAATGCTGAAAGTCGTTTTGTTTTTTATATTTTTTTATTGTAGAGTAGACCCATATATTGACAAAGTCCCATTCGTTTGTAATGTGCGTTTATATGTTTATAAAACTGAAATTCATCGAGTAATTTGTTGGTCGGCGAGCGCATAATTGAAATCAACAGTCGTCGGGTTCTTCGTAAAATGAGAAAAATCATGGCGTAATAAACAGGACTCGTTTATACTACGCTGCATCGGGAGTCCTGTTTATTACGTCACGATTTACTATGTTTTGTTTGCTGCCCCCAACGACGACTTTTACACATATTGCACGTTCGGATCGAAACAGGACCTGAAAAACAGCTCTCAAAAGTACCTTTTGTACTCATTTCATGACAGACAAAATAGTCGTTTTTATTTCATCACACCTTAGGCTACATAAACCCGAAAAATGACGGAAATGTCTTCAAGCATTCCACAACCTCTTTAATACAACGTGCATTGTTTAAACCTGAAATCCATATATTCTGGTTAAATACAATGACATGCAGTGTAGATGACTTTGTGCAGAGCTCATGTACAAATATATTAGTCTAAGCAGCAATTTAAAAAGAACATGGCAAAATTTTTCATGTCTTAATTTGGAAAATGTCACAATGGTATCAGAGCATTGGGATTTAATACTAATGAAATATCTCTGTTTTTTTTAGGACAACTAAATTTTCTGACTTACGCACTGAAGAAATCTATGTAAAATTGACTATTAACCAACATTTTTGAAATTGTAAAATTTCTTCATTTTCGCTATTCACACAAATACATGTAGGTAAAAATGTACACTTACGGTTTACACATGTACATGTACACGTATGTACAAATGTACATGTATGCATTTTTGAAAAATAGGTTGGGTAAAAACTGCGAGTAAAATGTCGTGATACCCACATCTTAAGAGAAAAATGCCGCTGTACATGTACATGTAAAAATTTTGTTTTGTTTTTGATGAACAGCAAGACAGCAAATTTGTGGTCAATCGTGCCCATCAGACAGGTTTTTAATTTTTTTTTTTGTCCCAGTGGTGGCATTTAAAAAAGTGCATTTGCAACACTTGTTAACACTTCATGTACACTGCACCAGCATACGCTTGTAACGTGACGGGACGTGATCCCCTTGAAATTGCATCTCCCTGCAATTAATGCTGACATGCGTGTTTGCGCATGATTGACAAAGTGTGAAACAAGATGGCTGTAGCAACTCAAATACATTCCATAATCAAATATGTGTATTTTGCACAGAGTGGAAAAACGCACAGTTGGGTTTGGGTTGGGTTTACATGTTTTTCATCAGATTACAAGATTAAAAAGGATTAAGATTGAAATCAGAATAAAAATGTCATTATTAAATAATTAAAGGCACGATACTCTTTTGTTTTTGTTCTCAAGTAACATTTACAATGGCTTAATTTTTTTTAATGTGAATGATAATTTTTTAAATAGTCATATGAGTAAAATTAAATAAAATATATAAAAAAAAAAAAAAAAACCCAACTGTCCAAGTTTATTAAGAATTTGACCGATTTTAATTTTTTTCCTGCGCAGATGGTGTGAAAATCGCCAAGTCGACGAGCATCGACGTTCTCATGAGGAATCCCTTCACGTTAAAAATCAACGACGATGCATTCAGGGTCGACCCACCCGAACTAGGTAAGAATTGTTCAAAAATTATGAAAATTATTAAACAAAAGTATTGCTTGTGTTAAATTCAATGTGGCAGGCTTCACGTTGACATTTGATGCCCTGCTTTTGTCAATAAACATGGAAATTCTTGATTTGTGATTTTGCATTTGCATTTGCAAAATTTGCATTTGATATGTACACCGGTGTATGTACAATGAACATTGTACATACCAAGCAGTCAGTTGTATGCATTGTGCATGTACACTTTTTTTTGTACAGGGTGGTGCAAAAAGAAGTTATGTAATAAACAAATATTAAAAAAATCGCAAGAATAGTTTTAGTATGCTATTTGAATACAAGTCACCAAAATCACTGTTGTCCACGTGTAAGTCTAGTGTAGTGTTTATTTTGTCTTCAAATCAAGCTCCTGAGCTCAGTTAAGCGGATGGAATAAAGCCATCCGTGGACAAACAGGTTTGGCTCATGAAATTTTTAAACTACCATATCTCAGAGACAAATATGCAAACATGTATTTTGCAATCATTTTTTCGTCACTTATATTGTAATACCATTAAATTGATTTTTTTGAAATAATGCATGCTCAACAAGTAGGTGAAAATTGCTGTCAAAAGTGGGGTTCCTTCTTTTTGCACCATATCTCAATGACTGCGCGCAGTTCATTGTTCCCAGTCTTTTTCCCCCGCACATGAGCTTGCCTCGGGCTGACGGTCGGATAGTTTTCAAGTTATTTTTTTTCTCTCTTCTCTTCAAGCCTGCGAGGCCGTCATTGCATTTTTTTCTTCACAAATCTGCGGCCTGAAAATGGACTCTTTCTGGCACAAATTAAAGGCCAGACATATCTCTAAACTACCATATCTCAGAGACAAATATGCATACATGTATTTTACAATTATTTTCTTGTCACTTATATTGTAATACCATTAAATTGATTTTTTAAAATAATGCATGCTCAACAAGTAGGTGAAAATTGCTGTCAAGAGTGGCTTTCCTTCTTTTCGCACCACCCTCTACAACAAATTCACTTTAATTTGAATAATTTACACTCATCTCATTGAGAATGCTGACATTCAACACTGTTTGCATTGCTGTCAGCTACGAAGAGGCACATCATAAAGTGGGCCGGGGACTGCCTTCCTTTCAGTGCAAACACGTTCATTATAGCCGCGGTGCTTTTCCTGCAATCAATTTCCTTATTTCAGGTGCCATAATGTCAATAATGCGGCTGTCTGTCTCCTCGCATGAGGAAATCACCTCGAAGTGAAATTGATTTTTTTGTCAGCAATGTTTTCATCACTCGATGATTATTTTTTTTGTTTCATGGCAGAAGATAGGACAAACCAGTTTATTTATGGTGTCCAATGCATGTGTACTTAACAATTATAGGAAATAATATTGCTACCTTTTGGTTGTTTCTTGAGTACACCAAAACAATATATTCAGGAAAGAAATATAGCTGCTTAAACTTTCAGTGGGAAGTGTGGCCTAGCGGTAAGGGTTCGTGACTCATGATCAGAGGGTCAGGGGTTCGAATCCAGCTGCCGGCCATACGTTGTGTCCTTGGGCAAGGCACTTAATCCCCACTTGCCTCTCTCCACCCAGGAGTATAAATGGGTACCAGCATTAGCTGGGGAGTAACCTACGATGGACTGGCATCCTGTCCAAGGGGAATAGAAATATTCTCAGTCGTTTCATGCCAAGGAAACCGGAGATAAACGCCGGCCTGATGGGCCATATAGGCCATATAGGTTTTAAATTTTCACAATTTGTAGACAACTTTAAATTGAGCAAACAAGCTGAAGTTCTCAACAGCAAGATTAAAACCCTAACCACCTAGTACTGGTACCGGTAGTTCCCCTGGACTACCCTGCTAACTCCAACAGAGTCTGACGGTTATTCATATGAGTTTCCTGCTCAATCCAACATGTCCAACACAACCCAACTTGTCAAGTTGTTGGGTACCTGAACATATAAGATGACTGGCGTGCTCAATCCAACAGAATCCAACCGTGCTTATTTTTCTGTTTGCTGCTGGATCCAACAGAGTCCAACTTGTATGGCAACTTGTGATTTTGGCATTCCTCATAACATGAAAAAAGGGAGGTACATGTACATGTAATGTGTAAAAACCCTTTGACTTCTCATGCATGCAAAAATGGTAAAGATTAAAAAAGAAGTCACATTTATCATTTATAATCAGTAGACTGGTGAGAAGATTATCTGAATTTAAACAGACTTTTGTTCTCAACATTTAAAAAAATATTCGCGTACATCAATTCTACGAAAAACCTACTTAAATTCCCTTGCGTGTACATGAAAGGGAACGCCAAGCTTCCAGTACGCTTTGCCGTACGCGTATTGCAAAATGCATACCTCTTTAAAGGTCATCAGGGACATCTTCCTTTAATTGTCACCTCATAAGACGGCACTGAGGCCTTGGTACAGTATCAATGCTAATTTGAAATTCACCTGTACCGTGATTGGGGTTTAGTGTTACTTGCGGAAAAGACACATGAGTGCGTTGTCAATGTGGACTCCGTGATGTTACATATGGTTACCAGAGAAGTTGCATAGACTCTTGCCTTTTAAGGTGAGAAAATTGTGCCATCACTTAAGGAACTGTGCCGTTAAAAGCATCAACTAGAAAATTTCTGGGTCAGTTGCTTAGTCACCCGTGGCAATATCGTAATATACTACTTATATTGAGGGGGCATTTCTAAGTGCATGCTCCAGTTTTAATCATAAATTATTGCATGTCTTCTTGATGTAACCATGGCAATACACGATGGATAAAAAAAAAAAAAAGAATCCAAGTCATGCATAAATGATCCACTCATCAATTGTTTATGATACATAGCCATGATTCAACTGAACGGATTGCAAGTTGCTTATGGATGCAGCTAGTCTATTGTACCAGTATACATGTATGCACAAAGTAAAAAAAAATGTAAACCAAAATTCATGTATGCTGTGCCTTTAGAAACTAGTGGGTTTTTTAACTGCAATTTACATTTTGTTATTAATTGCATATGTGCATGTTCAATGTACATTGTAAGTAAAAAAATTACATGCATGTACTGGTAGTGGTACATGTAAGAACACAACTCCACATGATGTACATGTATGTGTACCAGCGTAACGTTAGTAGACAAATCAAGTATTCAAATTATTTTCTTAATGAATTACTAATAAATTAATGACTAATTAATGAAATGGCAGGTTTAAAGATTGGCAGTGACACAATATATCTAAATAATCTTTAAAACTATAACTACGATATTACTATAAAGTAAATGTATGTACAGTAAACTACCGGTACATTACCCTATAATGTGTTTTCCCTTGTACGGTTCTTTCATATTACAAAAAAAATCATGCTACGTGTACATTCTTAATCAGATACATTTTTTTATGGGGTTGTTTATAATTCATTTTAATTTTGCAGAAGTTGATATGGGCACTGACTCTATATTTGTACCAAATTTAATCAAATTAATGTTTTTCTTTCCAGTTCAAACTCGTCTTGTCTTGAATTTCTTTCCCCAAAGACGAACTCAATATCATTGTCAGTCAATTCAATATCGGATTTCAAATATCCTTAGGTACAAGAACACCAAGCCTTAACAACACTAAGTAATTATCCTTATTGCTTGTGTCTAGCCAGGTATGTTTACAGTGTAGTCTCCCCTCCAGCAGCATTGCTATGGTACATGTACAGTACCATGCTGGATGTGTACAAGTGGCAAACTTTGCTTTAAAGTTATAGTGCATCATTTGTAATTTGTGCATTTTGTTCGTTTGAAGCAACAAAAGTGCTCAAAATCTAAAGAAGGGTACTGAACAACTAACCTGATAAAGTTTCAGCTCAGCTACAGCTGTATATTCTGAGAAAAACAGCATTCTAGGATCTCAATTTCAAATCAAAAGTTGCTGAATCATGTTTTGAATTGCACCTGAATTCAGCGTCCGAGACACATTCTCGCTGAGCCGAATGCAGCTACGCGATGTCGCGCACTGATCCGACGAGTTATAGCAACCGGGTGTGCGTCGTGCCAATGCTTGCGCGCTTCGCCGAATAACAAAACGAACTACTAATTTAAATTCAAAATGACAGCTTCCCAGAAAGAATAATTTCACAGGGAGTTTAGTTCCCTTACTATCTTTCAACCAAGGTTGTTTTTTCAGCAATAATTACGCCAGTTACTTTTTGGATGGCTGCAAATGATGGACTCTAGCTTTAAAGCTGATTTCAGCTTTTTTGGTTTTGGATTTCAGCTTTTTTTCAGCTTTTTCCCTCACTTGCTGTGTACAAAAGTATAGGAGATCTCCAAAATTTAGCATTTTTACACCATTTTCAGCTGTTTTCAGCCTTTTTTTTTATCAGTGATCACTCACGTCACTCAAATCCAAAAACTACATTGTGAAACTTGCTGTATTATCCATAAACAAGCCCACTAGCCCAATAGCCAAACTCAGATAAGCTCTTTTGCCTCAGGGAGATTTTCTTGACTGTGTACATGTACTGGTACATAGTGCAGCATTTAATGAGGCCAAGGCTGTCACTACAAATGAAGTTCTGATGAGAGAGCATTTTTATTCGAACTCCGGTACTACGTGCATTGCATACCGGTACATGTGTGTGATGTATCTAAATGTATCATGTATGGATGTAGACATACATTAATATCATTTGCTTTTTGCCTCGTGCTGTCTTGTATAGCCTACATCGTGCATAATTTAGCTGTCTCACATACTGACTGTGACAACAAATATGTAGATTATAAATGGGAACTTATAAAATATTCAAAATTCAAGCACATTTCAAGGCTCATGGCTTTGCAGTCTGAGACATTGTCCTACATGTCCATATATGATTAACTTGTTTGTAACCATGAACCGATCCATACCGGTACCCGGTACATTTGGCTGAAAATGGTTCCCTACACTTATGTTGTTTTAATGTTTTATACAAATTGTTTTACACATGTAAGGCCAAAAAAAAAAATGTTCGGTCTCTGGTCAGACCAAAGTTCCGGAATTGACGCCGCCACGCGTTTTTTTTTTTTTTTTTTGCTTTTTTTTCTTTTTCTTCAAGCTTGGATTGTACAGACAAGGTGGGGTACTATTTTGCTTTTTGAGTGTCCTCATGTACATTGGTGTCCTCCATAATTTGCCTTGGTGCTTTCGATCATTTGCCTTGGTGCAATTTCCCATTCCTTGGTGCTCTTTGGTAAAAAAAATTGAAGAGGTGCGGAAATAGAGGGCGCTGTTGGAGCTACCGCAGAACATTTTGGAAAAAAAAAATCGACACGCATGATTGAAATCGACGCGCGCGCTGACCAGAGACAGACTTTTTTTTTTTGGCCTAAGTCTGGCTAATTACATGTAAAGTAATTGTTTCCATAGGTAAAGCATTAGAAAGAGAAAACAAAAAATCTGCAACAATATCAGAATGATAATAACAGTTTTATTACATTAGTACGTTTTGGATGTGGGCAAGTCCAGCATTATGAAAGGTAGTGTAATGTCCATGATAGAGCCAATTAACCATGATATCATTCAAATTAGTGACTCAGAAAAATGATCCAGATCTCCTAGTGTGTAATCTCCTGGACCATTACCAGATGATGGATGTATAAGATTTGAGAAATGGGCATTTCCACGGTAATGAGGTACTCAAGCGTGATATGGGAGGAAAATAATGTTTTTTTAAACATTTTCAGGTTTACTTTAAAGGGAATATACTGTACATCATTTGCTTTTGCTGAAATTTTCAGAAATGGATGGAATTGGGGGGTTGGAAATATACAGCAAATATAGTTACACTGACTTTTATTAGGTTTTGGGTTCGAAAATGCTATAAAAACCAAGAAAAACAATCATTTTCCTGTAGTCTGGTTCCCTGACTCCATATAAGAAGAAACAAAGCAGTTTACATACTTTGGGGAGTTGTAAGGTCAGGGAACCAGTCTAGCTGGCTTGTACCCGTTCATAGGTGTGTAATCGATTGCAAACAAGTGCGATGGTCAACTGGGGCCAGACTAAAAAGCCAGTTTTTTCCAACGCTGATCGGCTGATCAGCGTTGGAAATTGATACAAAAATACCACTTTTCTTGAAAATGACAGTAGGGGCCTATAGTATACCAGGTGCCATGATTTTACAGGATGCTTTACACTGTCATTCACTAACAGTCCAGCAAGGTATTTCAAAATGATTTGGTAGTTTTATTTTTTGATGTTTGCAAATGTTGTATTTTCCCTTTAATCACTGAGCTCTTAAAAGCTGTGTCACGGACATTACATAACGCTGGAATTGCCCATGTATGTCTAAATATTTGGCCGCACAGTACTGTTTCATAAATTTGTACACTTTAGAAGGTTTATTGCATATATTTCCCAAGCCTAAACAGTAATGAATTCAATCGAGCCGAATATTGGATTTGGGAGTAGAGCAACCGTGACAAATGGGATGTCTGTGGAGGTGACGGGCGCAGCTCAGGGACTATATGAGAAAGAAAATAGAAAATATCCGGAAGGCTTATAAGTTATATGGGACACGCGACATTTATAAACGGCTCAGTACGTCTGGGCTGCGATTTGCAGTCTCTTGCTCCTCGCACCCCAGTGGGCTTGGAAAATAGTGATTACCAACATAGCTAATGTGGATTGGGATCATCCTGTTATGAGGAAATATTCTTGCAGGCTTGCTTGTCCATGTCAAGACTGTCCCAATTTTTGAGTTGATTAGATGAAATATGTGAGGAAATGCACCATGAATAAAATCAAGATTTAATGAATTAGAAATCTAACCTCGCTCCAGACAATTTCCCCTGATCAACCTAAATTGTGCAACATGAACCAGAAGGTTTTAAGATGTTTCATAATTTTACAATTTTACAATTTTTCTTTAATGTTTAACAAAATAAATAGCAACCACGATCTCCATTAGTGCAAAATTATTCAATTAAAGTAAACAACGATTGTTTGCTTGTTTTAAGCAGAGTTACAAATTTTGGGCCGAGATAGTAAGCTGTTTTCTTCCTTTTTTTTCTGAATCAGAGAAACTTGTCAGCGAGGATGCGAGAACCATGGCGGACGTGAAGTCCATGATCTACCAGCTGTACTCAACACTACACGTGGAGCAACACCAGCTGGAGAAGGAGAAAGATCTCAGGGGACAACTGGAGAACCTCAAAGTGGAGATTGAGCCACTGGAAAAGGTCAGTACAACCTGCAGCTAACTTTACCAAAACTTTAAGCAATTACGCAGTTACAAAACTTAACGCAGCTGCTCAACATTTTCAGTAATATGCGTACATTGCCGGATGTTTGCACCATTTTAAAAATCAGTTTCATGTCAGTACATGTACATGTAGGTTCATTAAGTTCACAATTTGCACAACAAATGTGATGCGATCAAGCTAAATGAGTCGTTTGTCGGGAACTTTCATTTGGAGATTCAGGCCAAAATAGGGCCACTTCATCACATCACTTCATCACATCTCTTGGTGTTCCGACTTCCATAATTTTTGAACTAAAGATGGTATCAGCATGCGGTTTTCACATCAGTAATGCTGAGATTGTGCTCTTTTCAAAACTGTAAAAAAAAAAAACGCCAAATTGACCAGGGTCGACAAATGACTCATTTAGCTTGATCACATCACAAATAATGGCAGTCATTTAGGTGAGGCAGTCATTTAGGTGACGTGCATGTTAGTTGCTGTTCACAAATCCTGAAAGAGAAATTTTAGTAGATAATTGTGACCCTGGCCTGTACAACCCGTAGAACAAACAATACACACCGATTCCTAAACCAGTCACGTACTTGCCATTCTAAATGTCATTTGCCCACTATGGAACAAGTTGCCTTCAGCACCATTTAACCCTAACAGTCCTCCACCGTCCAATTTCATATAATTTTTTCACACACCCTAGGGGGTTAGGGTTTAATAACATGTATCTCGTCCACAAAAGACCTTTGTGTAAAAATGTGAATTATGTGAATGAAGGGAGAGAACGAAAAGCATAATTATGCACTTGGGTCCTATTCAGTCCAGTGGTTTCAGTCCAGTGGTTTCAGTCCAGTTCAGTCCATTAGTGTCTGCACTACATATTGTATTCCTTGATAAATCCATGAAACTACAGAGTACTGAAATTTTGTTATCTGTTAGCTTCTTTATAAATGCCTGGTGTGGCTATCGCGTACAGCCTCATGGTGTATGTATGAGGATAACTGCCAGAAACACCAGGGCGAACCCCTTCTCTCAGCGATAAGTGTTTGCTGGGTTCTGTTACGTGCATTTATACAACACACGGGACCTACATGTACAGCTTTACGTCCCATCCGAAGGACGAAGCAATAATGGTTAAGTGCCTTGCTCAAGGGCACAAGTGTCCGGGCCTGGGCTTGATCCCACGTCACTGTTGCCTCTGAAACACCAGAGCATGAGTCCAGTGTTTTTAACCGCCCGGCCATCTCTGGATAGTTTGGGATGGTACAGGGAGTAATTAATAGGCAAGGCAAATTCAGGCCTAAAGTTTGGATTAATAGACCTTATTCATTAGGAATCCATTTTGGTCGTTTTCCCTGAATACATTTGATAAATTGTAAACTGTTAAATGGGATGGTGCCAGACTATTTACCGTATGCGTTCCAAGCCTCACTTTCAATTTTTTTGTTATGTAGCTGAAAACATTACGGTATGTTTAATCACAAATTTAAATTTATTCATCAGAGCAAACTGGTATTAATTTATAATTAACCTTATTTCATTGCTTTCATTTCTATAATCGTAAGTTCCAAAAATGACGATTTTACCTCGCTTTCAATATAATATGGCCGACTCGTGCATAAAGACTGTATGCCATTGTCGGTGTATGTAGATCTGTTAATCTGATCTGGGGCCAATTTCACGGCGCTGCTAAGCACAATAATTTGCTTAGCACAAAAAAAGTCTGGCTTATAAAAGCAGATTACCAGCCAAAACTCCATGTGATTTTAATGCTAAGCAAGCAACAGCTGGATACTAATCACGAGCAATATACATCACGTGGAGTTTTGGCTGGTAACCTGTTTTCATAAGCCAGAATGTTTTTGTGCTAAGCAAATTTTTGTGCTTAACAGCGCCGTGAAATTGGCCCCACTGGACTGTTTCCTGACCCATTCTTCACCATTGTGTCCATACAGTTAAGACTGGATCTGGATCAGAAAGCCGCCCGCAATGCTAACTGGTGGGTGTGGGGTGGTCTGGGCTACATGGGACTGCAGTTCGGGCTGCTGGCGCGGCTGACCTGGTGGGAGTACTCGTGGGATATCGTGGAACCCATCACGTACTTTGTGACGTACGGCGGGCTGATCGTACTGTACGGCTACTTTGTACTGACAAGACAGGTAAGCACTTTTACATAGACGAGATGCAGTAGAATTTATGTATTTGCAAACAGAACATTTTACATGTGCACACATTAGTTTTCCCTGAGAGTTGTTGGGACCGCACATCAGGTTTATGCAAAGCAAATATTTGGACATTGAAAATTGCCCATAGCTAGGTTGCAATTTTTCTAACAACAAGAACGTCCTACAACAATCTCCACAGCTGGGCATGTAGACAGAGTGTCTCATAAAGAGGTGAAATTTAAGTTTGAAACCTATACACAATCTTTAATAGATAAGTGGAATCATGTAATTTCCCAACTCCCCAAATCAGTTCAAAGTTCTCTGCCCCTGTTGTATTTATGGCAATCCGCCCCTTTGAAGCACCGAACAATTCTTAACGTAACATTAACAGCTGTGTCTGATAGACCATTCATTCCAATCAATAGGTATAATGAATAGAGATGTTGAATGTCGCAGTATGAATAGATAAATAATGATATGACAATAACCAACAGCTGCTTGCAATGTATGCATTGATCAAATCACAGTGTTTGGTGTTCACAGATATTCCCCTTTTTTATTTCATGTCTAGACATTTTAGAAACCTGCTGCTGTACAATAAAACCAGCTTACATGTCAGTCACAGTGAATGCGGTGAAACTGAATAAACTCTTATTAATTTTCTCCCCATTTTCTGTCATTTCTGTCTGGCTGTGAACAGGATTACACCAATCTTGATGCCAGGGACAGGCAGTACCTCGTCAATTTCCACAAGAACGCCAAGAAGAAGAAAATGGACATCGAGAAGTACAACGACCTCCGCGATCAAATTGCGCAGGTGAGCCGTTCATCCTAACGTGACGTACCAAAGGAGCGTGCTCAAACACTGCGCTCACCTCCAGTTTGTTTAGTTGTCAACCCCCTCGCAACCCTACTCCAACCTCCTCCTTCCGCCATTGTATGACAAGCCCATTGTATGACCAATTTTCAAGGCAGTGCTTACCTCTAACCCTTACTGCATTGGGCCATCAACACTCATGCATGAACGGCAGATTCTGAGACAATGCAAGCTACTCTCAGTAAACAACGTAATCGGTGTTTCAATGCATTTGACAACCAAGGTCTCTAAGGCAGTTTCGTCCTGAAAATTAATACCAGTTGGATCTTGTTGCATTGGGCAGGCTTCTAACTCTAACAACTGTTGCGTTGCCTGTTGTTGCGTGTTGTTGCTCTGAGCAATGTTTTCGTTGAAAATACCCTGAAAGGTTACGGTTGATGTAAAATTACGGACTTGAGGTTAATAATGCACCTCAATAGCCTTTTTTAGCCTTAGGTAGCCTTAGGTTGTCGTTAGTAACCATGATGATTTTTCCATGTGATGAATGAGAAAGTTATAATCCCCGCTGGCCTTGCCACACAGTCCTTGCCTTGTTCCATATGTGTTAAACTTTTTCAGTCCTAGTCCTGGATTTTATGAACTGACGTCAAATCAACTTCAGACTATACATTTCATATCAATCTCAGACTATACATTTCACTTCACAGTTTCTTTAACAAATTGCTTTCATTTTCTTTACTGATTTTATCTCTCTTTCAGCTGGAGCAGGATCTACGACGGCTACGTGACCCCTTGACCCTTCACCTCCCCATCACCCCGCCCCCTGCTCAGGCTTCCAAAGAAGAAGAAGAATAGCTCATCTGTCCCTTCACATTGTCTTTGGCCCAAGAGAAAGAAAGCTCACTGCAGCAGCTTAAGTAAGAAATGGGGACGTTAGATTCTACCTATGCGGGTACATTATAAAATATGCTGTATAGGGGTGGTTCTATAAAATTGGGGTCCAATTTTTTCCTGTCGCTGTTACATCTGTTATCTATGTTTTTGTAATTCTGATGCACTCCTTAATGCAGTCATTCTAGAGTGATTATGAATAGCTAACTGAGCACCCAACTAACAAACAATTGTTTAAAGTCATTCTTAATGATACTTGAATGGCAAAGTACAAAGGTCCAAGGTAACAGGGACAGGAAAAATGTCACTTTTTGGACCCTAAATTCATAGAATGACCCACCGGCATTTGGCCATGTGCCAGCCAACAGTTTTAGGAGCACATATCTGCCAGTATTTTGTGACCACAACCGGTTGTGTTGAATATGATAACAGTAAACGACAAAGGATTGTGTGCATGGTACATGCATGCTGTTCAAAATGCAGTCCTTAAAGTTACGTTCCCCCTACCGTGCTCTTCAACAAGTTGCATTTTTTTCTAGTAACAAAGTTCCATCTTGTGTGTTTTGTTCTAACCAAAAGCCCTCCTTATTTTTTTTGGGGGGGGGTGTCTGCAACCCTCTTGTTTTTAATTGTGTTTGGGGCACAAACAGATCTGTTTTGCAGCAGACTCGCTCCCTGTCCGTACATTACCATGGGTGGCATGGGTGGCTTGTGGTAAAGCGTTCACCTCTCACCAAGGTGACCACGGTTCGAATCCTGGCCACGGATCGCATGTGAGTAGAGTTGTGCGTTGGTTCTCTCCTGTGCCACGAGGGTTTTTCTCCGGGCCCTCCGGTTTTCCTCCCTCCGGAAAAACACTTTCGATCTCAGGCTGTGCTCCGTGGTCATTTATGGGTCGATGTGGCCGGCAGCCATAGGCGCCTTTACGTGCCGGCGGCCCGACCATGTTGTAGCCGCGTCCTTCGCAATTCAGCATACCAGCTGCAAGTAAGGATGATTAGCCGCCCAAATTATTATTATATTATTATTATTACCTAATTGTGGGGCGGGTACCAGCCTATCCCACGAGGACAGATTTATTGTCTGGCAGCCAATAATTCAAAAAAAAAAATTCGGTCGATGTCTCAAAGTGAATAACTTTTGCATTGCTAGAAAAATAGCAATTATAAGAGGAATCTTTTTCCAAGATGAAATTTGAAAATACTGCAGGGAATGCTACGTTAATTGTTGCACGGGAGAACTGGTTGGCATGCAGTCAATGCACGAAGCCAATGACATCTACTCCAATAGCAGTTTGCATGGCATGTTGGTATGCTGTATGATTAATGCATATATAAGCATGTGCATGTGGTTACCAGTTCAGCAAGCGTCTATGACATGCGTGCAGATTATTCAAAACAACACTGCCACTTGACCTCAAGCTGTTGATTGGTCAATTTTGACCACTCAACGGCTGAGGCCGAATTTCTGCTCGCAATCACGTCACGATTTCTAAAGTCGACTCGGATTGGCTGGCGTAGGGGTCCCATAAAATTTGCATGCACACATATGTTAGACATTGTTGCGGAGCGTGCGGGTCCGTTGAACAATGGATGATACTCGGACTATTAACTTGGCGACGGCTGGAAATTATACTCACTTCTATGGGAAATGGCATCAGCCACTTCCAGAGGTGGTGTGTAATTGCAAGCCACGCCAAATAATAAAAATGCTGCAAAAAATAGGACAAGCTCAAGACATGAATATGGCTGGCGCTGTACTTAATAATTGCGGCCTGTGTATATTTGACATATTTTGGGGTTCACATCAGGTTTAGTGATTGTTGGGGCTTACATAGGCCTACCTGCTAGCAGTATTCACTTTATTTTCTAAACAGTTTCAATCCTTACCCCTTCCCCATTAATCAACATTACGAAAAAAAAATACCAAATAAAATGCATCCTTTAAAATGCATCCTAAGAAATTAACTACATTTTGCTCTCTGTTTCAAAATTATAGAATTGTATACTTATGTATAACATCCCTTAATCCTTTTACATTACGCAAAAAATACCAAATAAAATGCATCCTAAGAAATTTTCTTGTATATACATACATGTACTACATTTTGCTCTCTGTTTTAAAATTATAGAATTGTATACTTATGTATAACATCCCTTAATCCTTTTGTATTTTCTGATACTATTAAAAATCCACGCTTTGGATTAAAACTTTACGATAGAGGACAGACACTAAAAAAGGGAGAACAAAAGATCCTTTCAGTCCTCGAACGTTGGGTCTTTTGTTGAAAACGGTCCTCAGTCGTATGGTCATGTGCTTAGTCTATGGGAGAGTGTTACATTTTAGGGACAAAGGGAAACACAAAGCATTGTCCTCGGGTGTATAGAAATTCACGACTGTGTGAACATGTACAAAATGTACGTCTTAAAAATGGCGACATCAATACCCATGTGCATGGATGCTGCCGTGGCTGTGCAGTGTCAGAATTTGGTGACATTATAAAGCCGAACATATAATAGGGAAATTCCTTCCCATTTGGTAGAAAACAGTACATTAGAGAGAGAAAAAAGAATAATAATTTAGCATGGAGGATTTTCTACTTGAGTGCATACATGCAAGTTATGGCAGTTGGTAACAAGTTACTAAATTAATGCCAGTCAACCGCCAAAGAAATGTTCTGGTGACGAAACTGGACATTTTGTTTTAGTAAAGAATCTATCGAATTGTAAGATTTTGATGTTTAGGTTCCAGGGTGTTGTTACTATCTTAAAAAGGATTTAAAAATAGAACTGATTGCAATAGAAAACTTGCACAAAATTGATTGACAGAAAAATATGTAAATAGTTAACAATATTAAACATCTTGGTGCATCTTGAGTAAAATTAAAGTTCTCAGAGTTTTTTTCTTGAAATTTAGTAAAAGACAATGCACAAATTCTTAACTATTAATAGGTTATGATTATTTATACAATGAATTCTTTCATCCTAGTATGCAGCATGTATGACTTGGCACTTTTTTTGTTTAAATATTTAAACTAACTTTAGGATGTGTCTTTTTGTGTGAATTTTGTTAGATCTTGTACCAACCCTGCCTTGCATTTTTCTTTCGAATCTGCATGAATCTAAAGCCATCAAATGGATTGTAGTGATGTGTTCCCCCAAGAAATTAATTTGTTAATTTGTAAGTTTTTCTAATTTATCCAGTCTACAGGGTGTATAGAAAAATGGAAACCCAGATGTAAATGTTAATTATAAAAATTCTAATAAACAGTTTTAAACAAGTTAACATATCATGAGAAATGCCAATGTGTCCCCTTTCCAATCATACTTTGATTGTGTGTCTGTGGCCACGGATGACTGAGCATTCATTGTTTTTCTGTCAGGGTCAAAAACCTGTCCTGGGCCAAGTTATTACCTGGCGAAGATTGCTGACTGGTTTGTTATGCAAAGGTTGAAATGGACTAGACTTCGTGCAGAGCTAGATTTATGTGGAAAAAGGTGGTAGCCACGTTGAAAGCATTGGGCCATGATGAGGGGTTAACTTCAACAATGAGAGTGGTTAAATCACTGTGTCAAAATTGAAGAAATTGTTCTAAAGAAACTGACGTCTTCTTTTTTTGAATTAAGCTGTTCAACATGCCCAGAATAGCAGTTACCCTTTTGCACAAACTTGGCCCAGTGCAGGTTTTGACCCTTCACAAAATAACAATGAATGCTCAGTCATCCGTGGCCTCAGACACACAATCAAGGTATCATTGGAAAGAGGACACATTGGCGTTTCACATGATCTTCATTTTATTTGAAAATATTGATTAGATTTCTTTTAATTTATATTTTCATTTGGATTTCCTTTTTTTTTTATACACCCTGTATATTCTAATATATGTATTGCTCTGTCAAATTCTTTTGTTGCATGGGTAAAAATCTCAGAAATAATTTGGTAATGGGTCATTGCAATAACTTGTTTGTATACAAAAGTTATGGGAAAATTTATCCGAGAATGAGGAAGTGTAGACTGTAATATCGTATTATGAATCAAAACTATGAAAACTTTATTATCAGGAGTGATTTAATCTCTTTTTTTTTCAAATAAAACTGTGGATAATTTATACAAAAATGTGGATGTATACATTTTGTTTCGTCAGTCTGTTGGTCTGTTGTTGTGGTACTATTTGTGTCTTTGTGTGTTCCTCCCAAAACAAAAAAGTTTTTGGACGAGTGTGTTTTGGTTTAAATGCTATAGATTCTGACAATATCGGTAAACTGAGATGTCCGGTGAGGCATGCATGGGCTGGGAAGGGTGAGGATGTTCTGGGGTAGGATAGGGCGGGGATGTTGTGGGGCAGGATTGGGGGGGGGGGTTCATTTGGAAAGGGGTTTGTAGATGTTAATTTCCTCTTATTTGTGATGCTTTAATGAGAGTATAAATAACGGGTATGCAACTTTTCCTCGGATCCGCTGATTTCTTCGTTTTTTATTTCACAGGAATGCCATTACAAATTGAAAAACACTGTACAAAGTCTTGTGTGGTTTGGAGTTTCCTCATTTTTTCACCAAGCCTCACCATCCCGCTTTGAACCAATTGAGTTTTTAGAAAGAAGAGGGAATGGTTTTTGATATGTTCATTGATGTGTTCACATTAAAACTACAGAAAATTATTGTTTGTTGCAATCAGTAAACAAGCACAACATAAAGAGCATGACAATTTTTAAAGAAACTATTTAGAAATATTGTGAAGAGGCACAAAATTAGTGTAACGTTTAATTATTGGTTTTTTTTTATAAGTTTAAACTGTACAGTTTTGTAAAATAGGGTTTAATGTGTTGAGTACTAATGTGATAAAAACAAATGAATAATGGAAATATACAGGCATTAGAGCTGTAAAAATGCTGCATGTTGTTGACATATTTCATGATGAAACAATGGACCGATCCAGTTAGCTCCTCCCACTGCGCACTTGGCAAAGTAACACGTGCTCCTCTCCAATGCCACACTGCATTTTTCTGCCGCGCGCATCATACGCGCGTGCACGCATGTCGGACTTTTGTGCACGCATGTCGGACATAAATCACAGCTGTGATTGGTCAGAATATCATGGGGCGGTGCTTACTGGATCGGTCCATTATATCTTGTAGCCCTTACCTTTTCTTTTACAGTAACTGTTTTGCCATATATGCTCAATCAGTTTGTTACGGTAAATCAATAATTTTTTATAGATAATCCATAAAGTGTTTCACTTTCAAGCTGGTACTACATAGCTGTTTATTGTTCCGATTTTATACTTCTTGAATTTTCATCTGCAAAGAGCAGTGTGGTTCCAAACAATCTGGAGACATTTTAAACAAAATTGATCGTCTTGTAATCCTGTGTGTTCATTCACTTTTTCAAGTTACTAAATTATATTTGCCTTAAAAGCTTTCTGGTATTGATATTATATTGCCTACGTATTTAAATAACTATGTGTTAATAGTTTGAAATTGCCAGAGTCAGCTTGGGTATTGTAGAAATCATATTCTGGACAACAAATCAGGAGTCTTAAACACATATTAGTAGGTGTATAAACACTTCATTTTGCTAGTAAGGCTGGTTCCTGCCCAAGCAGTGACCAGAGGTTTTAGAAGCAAACAACTGTTTCCTTTCCCATATCTAGCTACCCTGAGATTCAAGTTGATCTCCTTCACGCAATTTTTGAAGTTGTAAATTGTAAATAAAATGTTTGCCTTTCCAATTTTGAGTCCCTATGTGCTAATTCCATCCTTGGACAAGTCAACACAGTTTGTTATATCGTGTGCTTGGATAAATGTCATTTCATTGGTCTAGAACGGCCACGTGTCTGGTTTATATAAAAAAAAGGCGCGCATGTCACACACTCAGCATGCTCAGCATGCTCAGCATGCTCACTCCTTTGATTGTGCGCGTACGTTCATTGTGCGCGTACGTTCATTGCCGCAGCGCTAACTACCGGGTAACTTTGCGCAAAACTGCAACATCAAACGCTCATGCAGTCTCACTCTCATGTCCGGCAGGAAAACCTTGCTGTTTCAAAACCCAGTTGTGAAAAGTTACTATCGCAGTGATTTAATTGATTTCTCACAGAGTAAGTTACAACCCTTTATTTTTTGAGTTATTGGCACGGTATTAAAAAGAAACAATTGTTGACTGCTCGTCTGCTCTGCATTTTATGTGGGATGACGTTTTTGAACGCCCTCGGGGCGCATAGCGCTAGTGCGCCCTTCGGCTCGGGTGTTAAAAACGTCATATCTATCACACATCACAGCAGTGAACAATTGTCCTCCCCTCATTTCACTAGAATCAATCTTTAAACTTTATAGCGACTGTAAAAGAATAGGAACCACTTCTAAAAACTTGAAACGTTTCAGTTTCAAAGTTGGAACAACATCGGTTAAAATCCAGACACTTACTGACTTAGCCGATTTTCAAAGGAATATTATGTCCGAGATAGCCTGGTGCTTCCATATTTTATTTTTTGCTGTGTTAACAACACATATGGAAGACGGGGAACATTTCCATCGGGATAGAAACCTGGTTCTAAAGTTTGAAGGCATCATCATGTCATCCGAATGAAACAAAATAGTTTTGAGGTTTTGAAGTGCTTCGTATTTAATAAAGATTTGAAAATAATTAACCTGTTACTATAAATAAATAAAAACACAAACTGTGAGATTTTCCCCCCTTAAGTTGTGAGTTCGTACAAGCAGGGCAGGGCTTAAGTTTAATTGTGGGGAATGATGATAGATTTCCATGAAGGTTATTATGGGTAATTTCCGGGAGTTCGTCACTCAAAGGTCACTTTGAATGGTCACTTTTCACTGTAGGCCGTGCCCATATGTATACAACGCGATTGTCAAATAAGTAACTGTTACTTATTCAACGTTGAATGTCCAACGAGGAATAAGTAACCAACTTTACATCGGTTTACGATGGGAATGATTCAGAAAAAGGAATGAGGGTCGAAGACACTAAAAACTAAACAAACACACGAGGCGTTTGGGCTCATTTTTATAAACTTATTCTTTCTTCTTTTTATTTTAATTATAACGCACAAAATGTGAAAAATACTGATAAAGAACTTTTATACATTGTATACAAATAATACATAGAAAAAAAGTAACATTCATTATGAATACACATGCAAGTTTTAGGGGCTAGATGCTTAAAAGAAACAATGTTTTTCAATTTTGTTTACCAATTTTCCCTTCCCCTTCTCTGAAAGTAGACAAATTTGGCAGCATTTTCCCCCCGCTTTAACTGACCCTCCAACACACTTCAATTGTTGCCATAATGGATCGCCTAATGTTTATCGCACACTCATAAATACCTAAGACAGTTTACCCATTCCTATTGGTCGAGAGCCCATCATGTGTGTGGTTTTCAACGGTTGATAAAACAATGACTGATTTTAAATAGTTCTTTCTGGTGTTGCATGAAATATTGACTCTTATGGAATCTGATCCCTTTTACTGGTTGAACCCTCGCACGTGACAAGTCACTCTCCTAGTTATCTTCACTTGGGAATACAACTATTGAGGTGGAGTTTAAACAATCATGTCAAAAATACTAAATAATCGTCTTTGACATTTTCTGTTAATTACATGAGTTGGTGTCCAAGATAGGGGAAGGGTTCCAGTCAAAACCAGCCTTTTACGAACCATGAAAACCAATTTTATTTCGAATGCTTTCTTGCATAGTCAATTGAAAATAAAATACAGGTTTATATTTCTCCCCTGCAGACTTATAATTGGTCCTTTTTTTGTAAAATAACAGAAGTGGATCAGAAACTTGACTGAATCCAAATAAAAAAAACGGAATGAAAAATCCATGGATTTCTGAAGTGTCATGGAACATCTACCGTATGGGAATATCTTGCCTATGTGACCAACTGCAGTAAGTTAAAATAAATAAAAATCAGTTAGATTCAGTATTTTTGCAGATGGCTATCCAATATAACTTACAGAATTATTTTTTTTGACAAATTTGCAAGAAATTTTGCAACAAAATGCTGCTGATCTATTTTGGACAAATTGTATTCTTAAATTTTCTCAGAAATACCCTGGTAGGCAATTGTAACGACTCTGTAACAAAGTGTTTGAACACACCAGCAAATTCTCTCTAGTCTCCCTGCAAAATCCAACAGACACGGGTCAATGCTGGGTTTTGTTGGATTTCGGTGGGTTTAGGGTTGAAGTTACTGATACAGTGAGCCTACGTCACTGTGCCGTCAAAATGCCCACAATATCTTGTCTGATTTGGCACTGCGTACACAACGGGTTGTACTGTCTCCCGTTAAAAAAATCCCTGGCCAAATTAAGGTTGCCATGGTAACTCAGACTTGACCAATGTCCATCAACTTCAAAAAGAAAGTTTCTTAGGCAAATAGACTACTTCAAAAACACTTTTTGGCTTAAAAAAAGAACAAGAATGTCAATGTTGAACACAGGCAGACTTATGCCTCCTAAAAAACACAAATACAAATGTTAAAAGAAACAGAATAAGGAATAAAAACAAGAAATACAAACTGTACACTTTTCTCAACAACTGCTTGAGGCTTTGGACACCTTACTTAATTGACTTTGCCCGATTACCCAAGATTTCTGTGAGTTGGCATTTGTACTGGTGGCCTATACAGGGCGAGTACAAAAAAACCCGACACCCAAATGTCGGGACTATTGTTTGAGTGAAGTTCTGCATGTAGCACTTTCAAAATCTAGGATATTAAAGCCCAATTCGTAAGCTTTCTTTTAGTACAGGAATCATTAAAACACTCATGTACTTTTCAAGTTATGGAATTTTAAACACAACCACCGTTTGAAAGTTTTCAGAGATGAAACTGGTATATGGCAAAAAAATCGGTAAATAGGCCGAAAAATATGTGTCCAAAATATCTGGGCCGCGCTGCCATTACACACATTTACATGCATGTACAATACACTTCATGCCCAATTTCCGGACACCAACACCTGCTTTATTTTCGATTCAAACAAAATTTTACAATGAAAAAAAGTGTTATGCCCTGTGTTTCTACCGTTGAAACACTCCAATAACGACTGGTGAAAGAGATTAACACTACGTTCGCGATGATTTTAACGTGCCATTTCCATCGACTTTTCTTCGAAATTATGATTGAAATAAAATGACATTTTGTGAAAAAAATCGTTAGAAAATCAAATTTTGTGGGACACACTGTGAAAAAATCGGAAACTTCATTGGAAAATGTAAAAAATCGGATTTCTGATTAAAATGGGAAAAGTTTCATCTCTGAGTTCTGTCCACGGATCACTAAAAGGGGAGTGTTCTTTCAGCAAAATCACATAGGGATGTGTGTAAATTGTTCTCGTTTTGCTGAAAGAACGCACATACATACGGGAATAGGGATGTTCCAGCAGATGGGAGTTTTGGGTGGGAGCATTGTTGTCCTTTTATCCCTTTTTCTAAAGATTTCACTTGTGGGTACCATTCTCTTTGTTCGAGTACCCCACAAGTACCCCTTATGTGTACGGTTATTCGGGGATACGGTCATGATACACAATTTAAGACCGGTAAGTGTCCCCAAAATTTTTATTTAGGCGGTACAAAAGTGGTTGGTAAATGTCGAAATGTCGGACCATAATTTCATCCTGAATCCATAAATTAAATTTAAAAAAAAAAAAAAAAAAGAACCACCAACCATTTTGCAATGCGCACCACAATTCTCATAATATGAATCATACAAGGGGAAGGCAGTCAAATGGGTATTTGCCCCCAAAATTTAGATTTTGACCTTAATCAATTGGTCTACTTGTCGTTCGAGAAAAAAATATTTCTGTTTTGGCAAACTGTTTTAAAAATTCAAACTTAATAAAATAAATAGCTGATCACGTCTGATTTGTACACAGCTTCTTTCTGACTTGGAACTAATCAAATGAAAGCTTTTAAAAAAGGGTCGATTTTCCCCGAGTTAAAAAAAGGCACAAACGGATAAAGATAAAGTTAATACACATATTAACACATCTAAAAACTACTCAACAAGAGAAACAAAGCTGGAAAGTTTTTGGGAATGATACGCTTGGCACGGTGGACTTTTAACCTCGACCTCTTGACCTGCGAGCTTTTGACCTGACTGGGTGGTAGGTTTTTACAGGAAGAAGAGTCTGTCCGATAGCTCCAGGGAGGGTTCCTTCTTGAGGTTTTCTCCCACCTGGTAGGCCAGCTTGTGGGCGTATTGGCAGGGGGCCGGCACCCGCACCGTCCCTGGCCAGTTGTAGTACAGGTGGGTCAGTTTGTAGGCCAGTCTGGGGACAAACCAAAAAGTACAAAGTTAAAGTTGCAAGTTGGGATTAGGAAATCAAACCCCTCAAAGGCTTCTGATGGTCAATCCGTGTCAAAACATCATGTGGTTTCGATATTTTGTAAAGCGTTGAGATTTTGAAGTAAAGCGCTATATTAAGAATTATTATTATTATTATTATTATTATTATCACCATCTCACAGGTTTCTTGAACAATTTACCCAAATTGTTCGCTTATAAAGCAACGTTCCAAAACACAAATTTATTTTGGATCATATGGATTTGTTTTTTAGGTGGTTCAAGTTTTTGACCTTGGGTATTTTTGCTAGAAATTGTGGACGTCTGAACTGCTGGTTAAGAATGTTGAAGATGATACTCATCGGGATGAAAGCACTGGCCATGAAAAATAATCTACTTTGGATACAAAAAGCTACATTTAAAAATTTCAAGCAAAAAATAGAGTGTGCGGACAGGATGGGCCGACATCCATATCGTACCTCTGCATTTTGTCGGCGTTCAACTTGCTGGTGTCGTACACGACGACGTAGTGCGTTGGCGTGACGGTGCCTTGTCTGACATGCTGGCTGACTAGGAAGAAGTCGTACCAGTTGGGTCTGGTGATGGTGTGGTCCACCACGCATCCTGGGGCAGGGTTCTGAAGCTGGTTGCCATTCTGCAAAGGGACAGAGAAAGTAGGGGAGTAACGATACACTGCAATTTGTGAATAATCAAGATACGTCAATGATTATTGCGTTACAAAACTGCCAAGATTTGGAATCGTGATACGAAAATCTGCACATGTATTGCAGTACTTGGCTGTAAGTTAACTTAAGAGACAAAAGACAGATTATTCAGGTATACTCTGTTCAAACACATCTTGTAACTGTGAACAAATCTTTAATGATTTAAAACTATGCTTCCAAAATTGAAAGTTGAAAACAAAAAGGCAGCTGTAGCAGTGACGCAGTGTTGCAAAACTTCAGAAAGATACACCATAATACACATCATGTGGAGATTTATAAATGAACAAGAGGATTGGAATAGCTGAAATAACATGATACGTGTGGTTATATTTTGTTCCATTGTGACCTCAGTATCGTCATATGTATGGTATTGCAAAAATTTGTATTGTTTCACTGCTAGGATTAACACTTGTGTCAGGTTTGGCAAAGTTCATATTGTAAATGATGGTCCAGTTCATGGAGTTTAAATACAAAGACTGTAGATGGCCCAATGTGGGCTACTCACAAGAGCTGATGAAGGATATGCACGTATGCACGTGGGCATTTGTGCATTACAAATGTTCCACATTTTTTTTACCACTGACAGCGCACTGAGTAAGGTCGCGTCTGAATTATATGGCTACGGCTAGAAATAACACACAGGTCTATGGTAAGTGGCTGCAGCCGCTTCCATAGGCACGTGTGCAATTTCTAGCCGTAGCCATATAATTCGGAAACAGCCCAAGAACTAACAGTGCAAGTCATAATGGTTGACAGGAGGTGCATTTTACATTAACCCTAACCGAACTCAACCCATCAAAGTTCAACAGCAGGTTTTGTTAAAATCTGTTGGGATAGGTACAGTACCCCTAAACTGATTGGGTTTGGCATACCTCCAGAAACTAAGTCCAACAGTGTGGGTGTACAATTTTCCTTGTGGGTCTTGGAATTTGCCTGAATGGGTATGGTTCCTAGTATATTATGCCGGGGAGTTATGGTTAACCCTTCGAGCTTCAAGCCCCCAAAAATTGACGCGGTGGAACCACCATGAGAATTTTATCACATTACCTGTTTTTAGGTCGATAACCCTGGCATGCCTGTACATGCACAAGATATAGGTCATTCACATGGCCAGGGATTGTTTACAACCTGTCTGGGCTCTGGGCGGCACGAGGGGTTGACACAAAGGGATCGGCGGCACTTAGGGGTTGGCCACTAAGATCTCCAATTACTGCACAGAGGCATTAGCCGCCATCTTGGCTACTATCTTTCAACACTCCTTACTCTGCAGTGGGTAGGGTCTGGCCAATGGGAGTCTACGGGCTTGTGGTGTATAGTAGGGGTGAGGATTACATGGAAGCTTGGCCTTATTGGCCCATTGAAAAAAAAAAAATATGACCATATTTGGAAAACAATGAGATTTTTTTTTTCACGGCGCCCCTGCTCGAAGGGTTAAGGCATTCCAACAATTTTGGTCAGTGTCTTGCTTACCAAGACACTGAATATTCTGGTGTTGATGCGCTTCTGAACGATGACGATGGTGAGGGACGGCTTGTAGGTCTCGCCGAACATCTCAAAGCAAGAGGTCAGCTGCTCCTGCTCGTAGGTGGCAACGATGTTCAGTTGACCGTCGCCGACGCCGTCACGGAAGATGACGATCTTCTGCGGCATCTTGTGGTTGACCTGTGTAAACGTGACAAAGTTGTGAAAAATGTGACAAAGTAATGACAATGGTTGGCAAGACGATTCAACATCCTTTTGCAAGCTCGTCACATGGCTGGTTTGGGTACAACTTTGAAATTTTGGGATACTAAAGCTGAGACTTTTGAGACTAAGAAATGTTTACAATTACAAATTCACAAAATTTTATAAACGGACTAAACATTTTTAGTCATTATCTGAGGATTTAGTGCCCGTTATCATCAAAGTATACTAAGGTTTAAGGTAATAGTATGACTACAGTAAGTGTTAAGTCATAATGCCAAACATGGTGTCATTTAGACAAAACACTTTGCGTTTAAGTCGGTACAATTCCCTTTCAACAAAATAAATTAAGGGGTCTATGTTTAAGGTTCCCGATGATTCAAGAATGAAGTTATTAGAGATGACATTTAGTTTTTGGTGATTAACTTTCAGTTTATAGAGGCCGATTAGGTACACAAGTAAGGTTTACCTCGTGGTATTTCTTGATGGAAGCGACAAGGCAGAGTTTCAGTCCGTCGATCAGTTCCTGCTGGGGAGTCTGGAAACAGACTCGGGAGTACCAGCGAGTGAACAACCTGAAATCATAGGAACGGGGAAAACAGGGTATTGTTATAGCTTACAAGGCGATTCTAGTCCCGATTAAACCATGGTTTTATACTGTAGCTTTTTTGATTGTTAATCATTTACCTACCCAGAATTCATAAAAGTCCACACAGCCAAGTTTTGCATAACTTAATAAATTCAGTACATGTATCGCAGAGTATTCATTTACATGGGGCTTGTAGTAGGAATACTTTGTGCGTTTATTTTTGCGTTTTTAAATTCAATGATGGTCCTTAAAAAATGTATAAGGAGACAATATATAACATTCTCATTTGTATACAAACAGGAAAACGTTTCTAAAATTTTGTATAAGATACAAATTAGAGTGCAACAAAAATATGACAATTTGCATTAAATGTTACGGTACAACAAAATGTACAAAGACCGCTCACTTGTTGGTGCTTGCCACGAAGGCACCGATGGATCTACCTCCCTTGGCAGGATCGTGGTAGACGTCTATGCCAACGACCATCATGTCGGACTGAAGGAAGAACCACAGATAATACAAAGTCATTCAGTATTGCTCTCACTAAACAATCTGTGAAATCTGTATTGCCTTTCAACCCTTGCATTCGTAGCAGGGACGAAACTCCAGATTCGTAAACTTTAAATTTCACGAACTCAGGATGCACCATAGAGCTATATTAAATTACTAGAGCGCTAACTCCTTATTCTTGCGCGCGGAGACGCTTTGAAGCCGTCTTGGGCGCAGACATTTGGAATTCATGTGCGTGTTTGTAAAACATAATGAAATTGGATGGATTGAGTTTTGAAAGTGTACTCTACATGCAACGCGCAAGTAGAACATACGCAAACAACTTTAAGCGCGTCATGACAGTTTAAAAAACGTCACGGCAGAAAGCATCTGCAGCCAATACGCGCACGCGTTGCGCTGTTTGAGTAGAGCAAAATGACACGCTCATTTGCTGATCGTGCGTTTCGGTTTTGGGCGTATCGGCTTCGATAATGCACCGGTATGGAATACAAATGCAGATATGCAAATAGACGTACAAAATACGTACACAATTTCTAGTTCTCAATAGGTTTAAGTACAAACATGGATGCGCCCATCAGGCATCACTTTGTACATGGAGTTAGCGCTCTAGTAATTTAATATACTTCTATGGGATGCACTCACAGTACAACATTTGACTGAGCGTAGTCATTTTTGTTAAAGACAAATATGGTTAATGGTGAAAATGTCTGATTTCTTATCACAGTTTCGTCCCCTGAAGACAAAAGTTCTAGTACAAGCACTGTGAGGTAAGTTTGATTAACTACAAGTATGATATCAGGTTGATACAATCATTGTTAAGAAAGGTCGGGAATACTGCATAAATAAGAGTTTTAAGTACTAAGACATGAGTACCATTTTAAGCACTTAGCAGTGAGTACACACAAGTGTGATTACGATCAACGTACCACAGGGATTTCGACAGCCCAGAGCTCACCGCCCAGCTTACAGTTGATCTGTAGGGCAATCTTCTGGGTCACGCTACGCAGTTTCTGCTGCTGGCTGATGGTCCTCGAGATGATGACCTGGTATAATAAACAGTCAAATCAACATGTGGAAAAACCCCAGCAAAACGCAGATTGATGCAATGACAGCAAGGCTGCTGCGGATGTACTTTCATTACCTGAGGCTAAGTTTTTGCTTACTTTGTTCGGCAATTACAGGTCACCAGCCAAAATGTTGGATAATATTTACTGAAACCAACTGGTTACCAGCTAATTTTTACTTGACACTTACATTGGCTAAGCAAGAAGTCATGCTTAAAAGCTGTATTAAATTGGGCCTAGGCTAGCATGTAGGTTTTTTTTTCGCAATAACAACCTGATTTAAGGTTTAAAAAAATTTGACTTTGACATTTCATGCCTCCAATAAAAGTTAATACTATTTCTTAATAATCTTGTTTTTCCACTTTTTTTTGCCCAGTCTTCTGAGCTATAGGGTCACACATGCTATTGAAGAATATTTGGTGTCATTATCAGAATGAAATAACATTCAAACCAGGCAAAAGAAAATGAAGGTTAGCCCGACATGAACTTGATTCCTTTGTTTTATTTTTGAAAAAGCAACCTAATTACACAGAATTTGACACAACAAATAGGAAAAACTGATAGGCACCTGTGATGGGATAGCTTTCTCAATGCAGCAGAGCTTCTTGACGGCGCTGTAGCGGTCATCTCGGGACGTTGGGAAAATGATGACTACCAGTTGCAGCTGCGGGTTAATGGCGTCGCGGATGGTGCTGAGATAGGTCTGGGTCTTGTCGTCCTGCAGCTGAAAGCGCATGGGCGGCTGGTAGCGGATGCCCAACTGAGGACAGCATCGCTCCATCATCTGCAGGAAGTCGCCGGCGCGGATGGCGTCCCGCTTGCAGAACACCAACAGCCAGTGGTTCAAGTCAACCTGAGCAAATGAAAAGTGGCGATGGCAAATTTTTTTTGGAGAGTGTACTGGTTTCAATAGCCAGTTTACACTGAACTCATACAGTCTGCATGATATAGAGCGATAAACTGCCGAGCTTAGAAACGTGAACAAAATTTCCAAACTAACACCTGATGAATCTGCATTCTGACCAATCACTGTAGTGTACTGATGGTTATGACATTACAGAGCTGGCCATGACTTCACCTATTGAAACGTTAATTAACCATAACTCCCTAGGCATTTTTTGCTAGGATGTAACCTCAATCCTGCAAAATCCTCCAACTGACTCTGTGTAAAAACTTGCATATTGCCTCAATCCTCAAAAAACCAGAGCCAGTGACCAGAGCCAGTGACATACTGGAGCAGTGCGGAGGATTTGAACTATAATCCAGGCCTAAATTTATGCATGGCCGCTTTTCGTTTCCACTTTCCTTTATCCTGCTTCTGTGTGGGCCAAAAGTCTACTCTGAATACGATAACCGTAAATCTTTGCTGAAGTCTTACCGGCACAATGACTTTGTCTTTGGTCATGTCTCTGCCCCAGTCGGCCTCAGGGTTGGCCTGGTAGGTGTTATGTCGCATCTTGATCCTTTCACGAGGCAGCTGTCTGCCATCCAACTACACACACATAAAGAGAACAAGATTATCTTTAAATCATGGCAAACAATGTAAAGAAACACATACGGGAAAAACATTTACAAGTCTACAGATTGGTTTGAATATTAACTTGCTTAGACAAACAAAATCCTCACAGAAACTCATAGCATGGGTGAGATGGGAAGAAAATGAAAAATACATGAAATAATGGGTAGAGGGTGTGACAGGTCACCGAGGACCCAAGAGCAACATTTAAAACCTGATTGGCCGAGAGCTATCATGTGACAACCAGATGAGGCATGTGATTGGTCCCTTCCTCCCCAAAACCTACCTCCAGGATGTCTCTGTCCACATTCATGCCCCAGTTGGTCAGCTCTCTCAGGGCGTCGGGGTTCTTGTAGATGTTGTCGATGAACTTTCGCAGCGAGAGGTGACGTTGGGCGGGCGTGATGCGGGTATGGGATGCAAGATCCTGGAAAACAATGATGAAAATAACTAAAATGAAAATAATGAAAATAATAAGCTGATAGGATTGTTGGGAATGCAATTTCTTTCGACCATTCACAACTGTAACTGTGCAACCAAATGTTCGACAAAAGTCCGACATGCGTAAAAAACACGCTTGACGCATGTTGCTGGAGCATGCTCTTTGGCTCCCTACTACTGTCTTTTTACGAAGTTCTGGACCAAGTCCGCCAAAATCCATCAATCACACTGCTTCTGATGCATGCTTTGCTTTAGGCCTCCAGGCCCAAGTCCATCATACTCCATCAATATTTAGTCACACCAGGCCTACAGGACCAAGTCCCCAAAATCCACCAAATGGGGGGGATTTTGATTGAGTTGGGAAGGTTAGGGTTAATGATTGGTCTATTCTTCAGAGCTTATCAATTAGGACAACCAAAACTTGACTTAAGGCACTCAGGGGCAAAAATCATTTCCATTTTGCAACCTGGACAAATCTTACATACATCTAAAGAACTTGTTCTATATCTCAGTTAGCTAGCCACAATCTCCCCAAAAAGTTCATGAAAATGGGCTTCTTGGGAACCCAGGAATGGATTAAAAAACATGGTGCACTGCACCTACATACTCTATTTTTGCATGACAGAGTGTATGGTTCTTGGGCTTATTTGAAGCAGGAGTAAGCAAACTGGAAACAATCCACACACCTTCATGACCCTGAAATCACTGCGCATCTCGTCTGTCAGTCCTGTGCGACAGGCTAGCTCCGGCACCAAGCAAATCACTGACGGCTTGCCCTTAAAATGAGATGATACAAATAAATTACATTAATGCTTTATGATCACCATTGAAAACAGGCAATACATGACAGTTTGGCTGTAACCCATTTTTGCTATGCCAACGATTTATGCGCTCAGCATATCCATAGCTGCCAACATTTCAAAATCCCAATTAGTAATCAACCCGCGCGGTCATTTTCAACTTCTCGTTTTATCAAAAGCTTTACCAACATCGAGTGCAGGTACATGGTTTACATGTACACATACATGTGCATACCCTTCTTGTTGTGAATAATAATGTACTGTAGGCCAAAAGATAATTTAAAAAAAAAAAACGTCTGTATTTGTTTGTTGAAGTCAAATAAATAATAACATCAATAACATGTGCGCATATTTTTTTGGAGATGCATGCTATCGATGTTGAGTTTCGAGTTCGTATCATGTTTTTATACACAATGAGTATGGCCACCGTATGCAATAGAAATATCCCGCCAACATACCTTGCAAACGCATGCTGATTTATCTTTTCTGTCCGTTGTGACAAACTCAAACTCTATTACCAATTATTCCAACCATACTCTTATTAAATTCCATGATTTAAATCTCGCACTGATGGGTCTCATCCCGGCAATAAGCGACTAAATGTGCTCACGATCGTCACTGAAAAGTACTCACATACAGTACACACAACCACACATCCACGAGATGCACACAAATGACACACCATTGAAAAATAGTTTTAGTCTGGTCCTCAAGTACTCCACTGCGCACACTGCATTGATGTCTATCAGGTGCTTGACTGCATTCTTATTAGACTTGTCACCAGTCCATCCATTATCGCGACATTTCGCCAGAAGTTTTCGGTCAAAAACGATACTTTACATTTTTTTTTTTTCGTTAGGTAGAAAATGGGAAATTCGTAATGTTTTAGTGGCAAATCGTATTTTCGTAATTTAACAAACAATTCGTAATAATTACGAAAAAATCGTACTAGTTGGCAGCTATGCATATCTGTGACTGGCACCTCCATGGAATAGGCCTCCGGTCTCTGAATCTGTATCTCAGAGATAGAGGCAGCATTCGGACCAGCTAAGAGGAGGATTTATGATACCTACCTCACTCCGTTGCTGTTCCTTCTTCTTCGGCTTGCTGATCAGGAGAGGCTGTCCAGTGTCAGTAATGTCCTTGTCGTAATGTTTCCTGTGTGGAGAAGGATTTCGGGTTACCAAAACTGGGAAGCAGTGCTCAAATTGCACAAATTAACCTTAACCCTGACGAAAGTGGGGAGTGTAGCCTGGTGGTTAGGGTTGGTGACTCATGATCAGAGGGTCAGGGGTTCGATTCCAGCTGCTGGTCATATGTTGTGTCCTTGGGCAAGCCACTTCACCCCACTTGCCTCTCTCCACCCAGAACCTGTCGCTTTCAGAACACAGGGGGGAGGACAATGATACTGTATCTGTATCTGTTCAGCCACATACAAACACCATCTTCTGGTTGTTGCAAACGTTGCTCGGGTCGTGTGGGATGAACCTTGCGGTGAGGTTTCTTATGTTGATGGCATCCACCCTAGTTTTGAATGTATTGACATCCGGTGCACTTCTTGTGTCAAGATCAAGGAGGTTCCATTCTGGGATTGTCTTTGGGTGAAGAGAGCGATGGTAGAAGTGCTTTTTTGAAGTGATGACATTTTATACATGAAAGCGCCTGTTTGTCTGGTTTGATGGCGATTTGTAGAATTTTCGGATAACTAATGGTAATATGATAGGGATTTGATTTTAAAAAAAAGCTTACTTGTAGTAGTCCACAAACGTCATCTCTTCCTTGTTGTGGTACAAGAACTTGCTGAGGGGGTTCTTGTCCCAGGCGATGTCGTCCACACGGTAGGTCTGATTATTGTAGCGTGTCAGTACTATGGTGCCGACTATGTGACGTACGCACTCGTCTTGGAAATTGTTTGGATTTCTTCGGTATATTTCAGTCCTGGAAAAGGAAAACAATGTATTGGTTTCCAAAACAAAAACCACATAGCTCTATTTCTTTCTTTTTTGCAGCAAAGCCACTAATTTTGGAAAGATAATTAAAACACTATTAGTACGGCAGAAAGGTGATGGGATTGTGCCTTTGATGATTCAAGCATGGCATTTGGCACACAGTCAGAGTATGTCATGAGAAATATATATCTGGCTATAGGGCCATCGCAGATTTGTCCTTTGAACAAATACAGGTAGAATAACAAGCAATGGCAGCTACTTTGAACATTTCCAAAATTGTTTGTTTAATCTACCTATATTTTTTCAAAGCAGAAATCTGCGATGGCCCTATAGCCGTACCCTGACTGTGTGCCACATGCCATGTTTGTATCATCAGAGGCACAATTCCCCCAAATATTTCCCTTATCTGCCCAAGTATATACTATGATTTATGGGCCTACAATACCAATTTTGATCCAACTTGCACTATGAGTACAAGTATAAGCTATACTTGTGTTCATAAGTATAGAAAGTACAAGAATTCCGGACTACATGTTTCAATACTACAGCATGAGCCATTCCGGGGAAACATGGGGGAAAAGTATACACATGGTGGGCTTGTGATGGTACAACAACACTTACATGGTATCAAGGATGGTTTCGTAGCATAGAACCTTGTGGGATACATCCAGCTGCAGCATTAGTCCAGAGCTGTACTCGTGGATGGCCGTGACATAGCCGGGCCAAATCTCCAGCCTGAAGAAAAAAACCACCAGAATGTCCGGTTTTATATTTCTAGTTATGGACTCTACGGGGAGTGTGGCCTATTGGTTCAGGTTTGTCACTTATGATCAGAGGGTCAGGGGTTCGAATCCAGCTGCTGGTCATATGTTGTGTCCTTGGGCAAGCCACTTCACCCCACTTGCCTCTCTCCACTCAGGAGTTTAAATGGGTATTGGCATTAGCTGGGGAGTAACCTGCGATGGACTAGCATCCCATCCAGGGGAATATTCTCAGTTATATCATGCTGAAACCGGAGTTAAACGCCAGCCTGATGGGCCACATTCACTCGTGGCAGACTTTACTATGGACTCTATGCACAGGTTATCCCTCTACGGAATATTGAAGGACCACTGGACACCATCTTGTCTTGTGTTCACTGGTATGCATAGATTATATCAACAGTGAACAGTGCTTGTGAACCAGTGAAGTGTCCTTTACTCAGTGTACTCTTTTGTTAATACGCAAGGAGTAAACATGGAATTATTCTTATGGTTGAGTTTCCATTTCCATTATCATCATACAAAACTGAATTCACTCAGTTTGTGAAGGACTTTCTTCAGGGAAGTCAATCTATTCTTTAGATATCAATAACTTGCCAACTTATATTTGTCCCATTTGATTTTCCTATTTGTTTGTTCATTTTGCTTGTAACGTTTGATTTTTCTTTTCTCCTTTTTTATAACCAATTTTTGTGCTCTGCTGTTGGGTAGAGATGCTCTTGCATATTTATAAAAGCAACTTTGCCCATTTTTCTCCCCTCGGGAATGCATGATACCATAAAATTTAGCTAACAAAAAAAACTACAACCTATTTCACAACAGTTTCAAATTACTAAACACAGTTTTGATTGCGATGACTTTGAGATTCTCTCGATGGTTATTTGGTTCAAATAGACTATGTGTTGTCTTACTTGTGTTGTGGTATCATAGTGGCAAGGTCTGGACTGTAGTAGTGGCGGCCCACCTGACTCATGGACAGAATTCTCATGATCCTGCAAAACAAGACAAACAAAAACATTAGAACAAGTATCGTGCTTCTTTAATTTCTCGACTATTTTGCTGATGCAAAATTGTGTCCATTGGAGCCATAATCCTTTTTACATACAAGTAGCTACAATTTTGTTGAGAACAAATAATAAGACAATATTTATTGACAATATATGTGCACAATATATTGCAAACGTATGAAAGTAAGAAGAAATTTTTTTTAAAAGAGGCAGTCGGGAAAAAAAGGAGGTAAGTGGGGATAAGAAATTGGTGTAATTTTCTACATGGCCTTAACCTTAACAGCCCTGAAGCCTTCAAAATCCTCTTTGCCAAATTGGAGAAATCTGGAGGATTGAGGTCACATGGCAAAAGTGTGTTACTGATTTCGTAAGATGCACTTTGTCAAGGTCTTGGGCCGGATCGTATGTTGTTTTTGCTTAGCCAAGCATAAATATAGGCCTGGATTATGCTTGAAATCCTCTGTACTGCTCCAGGACGTCACTGGCCAAGCCTCAACAAATTGACAGTCATTTTGCAGGATTTTGCAGGATTCAGGCAGTGGTCACCCTTCCACGGACCATATTCAAGAAATAATGGAGGAATTTGCAGGATTGAGGCTATATGCTATTTTTCCATGAGGCCAATTGGAGGATTTTGCAGGATTGAGGCTACATCCTAGCAAAAAGGCCTAGGGAAATAGGGTTAATTAATTAAACAATCGTGAATGCATAAAATCAAGTCCGGATAATTACTTTCTGAAGATGACATTATAGAGCTGGATGCAGTCCTTGGGCTGGAGTGCTTTCGCTAGCTGAATCTTCCCCTCATACTCAGTGTCATCTCGTAGCCCTCTGTTCTTGAATATAGTGACCTGAAAGGCAAAGACAGGTGAATTGAGGGTAGACAGAAAAATACAACTTAATTAAGTTTTGACTTTTGTTTTACCCAACCTGATGGATTTTGTGTAGGTTTTTAAAGGCAGGAAGAAACAGTGGTAATTATCAGGAAACGCCTATGCCCATTTATGGAGGGAAAAACCTAGTTCAAACTGAACATAGGGATGGTCTCTAGTACCGTGTGAAATCATTCCGATCTTACCTTCTCCCTGAGTTGGATAGGCAGAAACAGGATCATGCCGTCGAACGCTCGGACCTTGCAGATATCATCTAGGTATGTATAGAGCAGCTTCATTTTCATCTTCTTGCTCTCAATGTGTGGAGTGAAGGAGACAGCATACTGCCAGATGGATTCCGTCTTAAACCGGATCGGGAGGTAGTTGCTGGCCACCTTTATACTGCAAGGAAAAACAAAAACGAGAGATGTGAAAACAAGTTTGTTTATGCACAACTGAAAGAGGCTGCGTAGATTATTTAGGCACGACTGAAAGCAAGCATGATAGGATGTACCCCAATTACTTGACAAGGGCTAGCAGTAACTCATGCATCTATGGGGAGAAAACTCAGCCGCTTCCAAAGGCTAATGTGTATATTTCCACCATAGCCAGTTAACTCGGATGTAGCCATATATTACTGCTGTGCATCAGTGTCGAGGATCCCGAGTACCCAACTGTTAATGTCAGGAACTGGTTCTAGATTATGGGATCGGGTACCCGTAACCAACTTTACAAATTGCTGAGTTACTTCTCAGACAATGAAAAAGCAAGGTTTTGAAGTCATTTGTAGGGAATTTTCAAAATGAAAACCAGGCCACATGGGATCAGGTAACCGTAACCAACTTTACAAATTGCTGAGTTACTTCTCAGACAATGAAAAAGCAAGGTTTTGAAGTCATTTGTGGGGGAATTTTCAAAATGAAAACCAGGCCACATGGGAAAACAAAACATATTTCAAGTTTATGACGCTTGCGAAAGCTGCAGTTTACACCGTAAACCCATCAAGCTCACTGAACACACTTGTATCTTGCTGTATTGATGCGCCGATGCCGTAGCATCATCGTGCAGACCTTTGTAAACAATCTCTACGACTACGGCAAGTTTCGAGATTTGAATTTTGGCATGTTTGGCGTTGGCTTTCTTTAACAGGTAGCCGGGTACCTGTGTCTTTTCAATCGGGTACCCGGTTTCTATACTACCCGTAAATGCATATACCCCTACCACATATCCAGAGAAATTGGGATTATTTGCATAAAACTTTAGGAAATCCCATGCAAATCCAAATAAGAACACGAGCTGCAATTCTGCCGCAACTGTCCCTGTCACCGTAACTACAACTGCCATTTCGCCCTTCCACTTATAATGCTACACAACAGCTTGACCACAACAACTTGACCACAACAACTTGACCACAACAACTTGACCACAACAACTTGACCACAACAACTTGACCACAACAACTTGACCACTACAGGTGCTAAATGGGTTAATACATGTAAAACAAAAGATGAAAGAGTATCTTACACATTGCCTGCTGTTCCTGGTTCAGGTATAGTCACTTGTACTTCTGGCTTATCATCCCTGGCTGCTCTTGCCGCGGCAGGTTGCTCAGGCGGCGTCTGAGGCGTGGCGGTACCCGTATCCGCTGGGGACATGGGCGACTGGGCCGTGTGCGGGCTTTGGTGTGCTGGGCTCTGGGTTAGGGGGAAAGTCTTCTGCTTCAGGCCTGCAATCCCTCTGCCTAAAGCGGATGGGCTGCTACGGGAGGCCAGACCGGCAATACCCCGACCCAGTGGCGTACCGGTGCCCGAGGATGGGGGTGTGGGTGTGCCTGCTGGGGTGCCTGGATAACATGAGAAGACAAACGAAACAAATTTTGTTTGAACAGGTTCGTCACGTTAACTACATGTAGGGCTCTGAGCTGTTACCGTTGATGACATTTTGTGGCATGCTCATGAGAACTAAACAAAGACATCACCCTTACAACTACTGCTCATACATGTACACTATGCTTGCACAAGATATGTCTTATGTCAAGATATACGCAGACATACATTTGAATGCTCAGCAGCACAATGAACTTAAAGTCACCCATAGAGCCAGTGGTTTGTGGGGGGTGTTCGAAACATCAGCTTCGGCTTTTGATTCACCTTAAACTCCAGAACGTTTTCAGAGTTTTCAATAACCAAACCAAAAACACGTTTCCCATCATTTAATCTTGATTTGATTTTCAGTCACAGGAAATAGTACCTGAGCCTGAGCCTCCGTTTTCCACATCAGGGACCCAAAATCATACAAATGGAGACCAAGGGCGAATCACTTGGCTACGGCCGAGAATAGCATGTTCACCTATGGTGGCCACTGCTGGCTAGCGGCTGCAGCCACCTTCCATGTGTGATATTTCCACCTGTAGTATTGATTCGGAAATGGACTGAGGCTAAAGCTACAGGTAAAAAGGAGGTTTAGAAGACCCTCTTAGATTCAGTCAAAATGGAAGAAACTAGGACAAGTAATTGCCAACCACACCAGACTCACCAGTGCCTGATTTGGGTGAGGATGATCCTGACCCTATTGGTGAGTTGCCCCTGCTTATCTGCATTTGCTGGTACAAACCAGCCAGGCCCCTCCCAACGGATGGCTGTGGCTTGGCCGCAGCTGCCTCCCCATTCTTTAATGGGAGAGTCCCATTGTGTCCGTTCTGCGATGGGTGGGTGGTGGCACCCGGGACAGCCGACTGTGCAGCCGGGGGTGAAGGTGAGGATCTCTCGGGAGGGCCGTGGCCGTTTGTGCTCTGTGTTGCAGGGACCTGTCCTGGGCGCCTAACGGGATTCTCCAACAGAGCCTTGAGGGCAGCACCACGCCCCCCACGGCCAAAGCCCGGAGAGGCTGACATCTTCAAGGGCTTGTCTCAAGTAGGAATAATTCCAGACTCGCAGGTTTACATGTGAAAATGAAGCTGTCGAAGAAACATGGGAAAAAATAAACAAATTCAGCCTCTGCTCTAGAGAACACACATAATATCCCTAAACATGAGAACCACAAAATCAAGTTATCTGCTTGATATGCATTAACCCTAACTCCCTAGTGTCTTTTACTAGTGACTGTGTAAAACCATGGAGGTAGAATTGACCACATGTAGACAGTCGTGACAGTTTTGTAAGTAGGCTACAAATTAAAATGATACAAATTATTACGCAATGTAGTTAGTACTTTTTAGTAGTGAAGCTACAGTTTGAGTGAGTTAGTCAACAGGTGGTCAATGTTGTTTTAACTTGTGTAATATTTATGGTAGACGTCATGCTCATGACATGATGGTGCCGGTGCAAGACTGAGCTAGCTAGTAATAAAAAAGTATTAAAAAAATAGTATGCTGAGCATGCACTGTATGCGAATGTCGGACACTTCGCCCCATTTCCACGTCGCCCCATGTCACTTCGCCCCATCCCCACTTCGCCCCATCCCCACTTCGCCCCATCCCCACTTCGCCCCAGCTGTTACATGTTAAAAAAAAAAAAATCTCATCTATTTTATTGGCTTAAAAACAATTCCAACAGATTCACTAATTGCTAACCAACGGAAAGAATTAGCCCACCAAATGAACAATTCATAACCAACCTCTCAAGCTATCACTCTCCCCTACCGAGAAAAAAAGCTTGAAGTAAAAGATCCAACTTTGTTCCCAACCCGGCTACACCAACCCGTCTCCCACTTATCTGAGAACGACAATACCTTTGACATCCTAATTTCACTCTTGGAAGTTGGAGGAACCAATCTACATGGGGCGAAGTGGCGAGGTTGGGATGGGGCGAAGCGGGGATGGGGCGAAGCGGGGATGGGACGAAGCGGGGATGGGGCGATGTGGGGATGGGGCGAAGTGGGGATGGGGCGAAGTGGTTAGGGGCGAAGTGACATGGGGCGACGTGGAAATGGGGCGAAGCGTCCGACACCCCTGTATGCTGCGCCGCGCAAGCCTGTCAATGCAAGTGACACTGACAGTGCACTCCAAAAAGTTGCTGAAACATTATAAAAACTCCCAAATATTGCACATTTAATTCATTTTTGAATTGTACAGATACTGAACTTACTTTCTGGTCAATAAGAAGCATTGAGCAGGGTTCGATTTCAAATAAATCAGAATTTAGTACCCATCACGAACGCCAAACACAACTCATAATCGGATACGAACCCAGCGTAAGCGCAATGCATGTGATGTGAGAAATCAAATGTGCGCACTGGTGCACACGTCTAAATATTCAGTGTTATGTTGTTGTCTTGCGATGACGGGTTGGTAACCAGCGAAATTGTGTTCTCGCGTATTCTCGGAGACTCGGACACTCAGTCGTTAATTCTCGAGACTTTTCACATAACACACACGCAAGAACCTGTGGCTGCCTGGGATCGATGGGCCAGGGCCAGACCACGATGATGGGAACTTTCATGTTAAATGGATTTTATACCCCAAATCAAAACACACTGCGGAACTGAAACTGAAATACATACACCTGTCAACCATATTTTGACTTAAATAATGTCGCAAAAAGTCGGTTGCTTCTCCAAATTGTTCAAAGAACAGGGTATGGTGTTTGTCCCCCCAAAAATCCACCCACTTTGCCAGTGGCTTAATTCGTGACTTCGTGTATATTAAGCTCTGTGAATTGCATTTGGATGCGTACAGAAGAATTCTTGCAGGGGGGAGGGGGGGGGTTCGAGCTCGTCATACTGTTTTTGTATGTCCTATAGTTGTGGACAGGTGGACAGAAGTAATTGGTATTACCATGGAGGATTTAACAGTTCCTCCATGGTATTTACTAATTGTTATAAAAACACATTTGGTGTCAGAGCAGGGGGGGGGGTTCGACCCCCCCTTGATCCGCCCCTGATACAATCGGAAGGCAGGGGGACAGGAGGGGGATGCGGATAGCGCAGAGGGCCAGGGCCTAGGGGGATTGGGAGTGTACAGTGAAGCCCCATTATAACTTAACGGTATCCCCCTATTTCCAAGGTCATTATGGGAGGTCCAGCCGGGACAAAAGATACAGCAGTGGTCAGCTACCTAATCAGTACCAATAACCTTTTTCTCAGAGCGTCAGCATGTACGGTCTTGTCCTCAGTATACGTTGAGTCATGTGTTTACGTCACACGTACACACATACAGGGAACGAGAATGCACGCCACGACATGTGTCCACTCATTTGCAAGTCTAATCACCGATGGGGCGCGCTGTGACCAATCAGCAATCTTCCCGCGGTTTGACGATACTCGCGCGAAATATTTCGCGCAATATTTCAGTCGCCTTTGCAGCTTTGACCGGAGCGGACCTATGCTGGATCTTCTCTTCACTTCCTCTTCTTTTGTGCATCAAAATTATCTGAAAAAGCCAAATTATCCCCAACAGCAATCAGCTTTTGTCCTGAGAAACTCAGTTCTTTTATTGTGGTCCCTGTTTTATTCGAAATAACTAAAATCTTCAATATGTTTGAGGCAAAAATGTTGCAGAGCTCTGTGCTCAAAAAGATCATCGAGTCCCTGAAGGATTTGTTCGCAGATGCCAACTTCGACTGCTCATCATCAGGTAGGGGCCTAGAATGGAGTGAATTTAGAGTTTCTCAAAATAAAACTAAATCATTTTCCTAATTTTGCTTGGTAATGGTAGGCCTATTAAATGATTTGTTACAACATTTTAAAGCCAGAGTTTTAAGGACAGAATTGAACCCTAACGCGCGCTCATGCATGTCATGTGCTCATGCATGTCATTGTCACATGACTGAGTGAGTCTGACTGTGAAATGACAAATAACCGATGTGAGTTTTTGTGACGTGTGATGAGAGTTGAGACTGAGAACAGGCCCCCAAGCATGTGCCAAGATCTATTTCCTAACAAAATTGGAAATGTTTCTCAGTCCCGGATACATCATCACTGATCATGTCTTACATCATCTTGGGCCTACTTAAATACTTTCAGTCTTATCACTGCTTATCATCTTTTTTGCAAAGACTGACCTTTAACTTCATTGAGATGAGCCTATCTTATAATATGAAGAAAAAAAGCAGCGTCCAGTTGCAAAATTCTTTCTGTGTTTTCTAACAATAATGTTCCAGTAGGCCTATTCCCTAACCATGCTATTAACTCAGTAACTGAGCACTGAGTAAGTAGGCCTAATCCGCCTATGTTCTAACATAATAAATCGGCTTGATATAATGTCATAGGGCCTACCTTGTTAACAATTACATGAATTACAAGTGTGCTTTGTACGTTTAATGGGATATGGATCTGGACATGCATGACATGATGAGATGTTGATGAAGTGCTCGTTGGAGTGATTGCAGAATGAGGAAAGGCCTAGGCCGTCATGTGGCCATGGGGAGTAGGCCTACTCCGCCACACGAAAATCGCCACCTAAAACTTAAAAGCAATGGCTATGCAGTCGAAGGATCTAGTAAAGTAGTAGGAAACAGTCCAAGTCCAATCTGCCAATGTAGGTCCTTGGAGTGGCTGCGCCAATAGAGTGGGATTGATTTGGGGAGGGGCAAAAGAGGGCGCTATTTTACCATAAAATATATCCTCCAAGTCAGTTGGCCCTAGGCCTACTGCTACAGCATAAATTGAATGGGGGAGATGGAAAAAAAATCTATGTCTGTACCTATGTCCATTGTAGGCCCCCAGATTGGCTGCACTGATACATGGATACTGCATGGGATTGAGTCGGGGAGGGGCAAAAGAGGGCACTATTTTTCCTTTAAAAAAAATCCTCCATGGGGATAAATCCGTGGACTTTATTGTAGGCCCACAGCATGAATTGAATAGGGAGGATGAAAAAGTTTTAAGTCCAATATAGGTCCCCAGAGTGGCTACGCGGATATAATATGTCCCATTATGCATTGCATCCAAAGCGTGATGGGACTTATTTTCAATGAAATGCCCCAAAAATGATATGACATGATCACAAAGATGTCATAGGCCCTATCCGTGAAACGTTCTATGGTTAGAAGTTGCCTTGGGATACTGGATTCTACCCATTATACCCGTTCTACCAAACCTAACACATGTCAAATAGAATTGAAGTGATGTGACTGGTGTGTGTTGCATTTTCTTTTTTCTAGGAATCACATTGCAAGACATGGACTCCAGTCACGTCGCCTTGTGCTACCTGAAACTCAGAAGTGACGAGGAAGGTTTTGAAGATTACAGATGTGACAGAAACATCACACTGGGTGTTAACCTTGGGCTGTGAGTTGTTTCAGATGAAATCTTTTTCAAATGACTCTGAATAATTACGAATGTCTGGAGTAAATTGCCTAGTTACATCGTAGAGAAAGGCTTTGCATGCAGCAGGACCCACAACTGTTTATGTACTGTGCTTTGACATTACTGCCAGTAAAATGCTGTAATGTTCAAATACAAAAATTTCCGCCAGACTTATAATAAACTAAACAAATCACTTTTGTTTTTCAGCATGTCCAAAATTCTGAAGTGTGCTGGAAACGATGACGTGGTCACATTGAGGGCAGAAGACGAGCCGAACATCTTGACCTTCATCTTCGATTCGAAAAACAGCGAGAGAGTTTCAAAGTACGACATCAAACTTATGGAGATTGACTCGGAGCTTCTTGGAATTCCAGTAAGTGTTACATTACAATAAGTTTAACATGCCCCTCCCCCTGCCTCTCAACCTGCCCAACCCTGAGCATTGTGCTCATAAATCCTAAACTGGGGTCATTTTTGTCCGTTCAAAAGTGAAGCAGTACTTCTACATTTGCAGACATGCCCCTTGCAAATCAAAATCTGTGTGGAGTGCCAAGGCCTCGTGGTGTGGGGCGTTGAATTTGTGGTCTGCGGGTAATTCTGCAGGTTGTGGGTTCGAGCCCAGCATGGGCTATGTCCCTTGTACGCCTAATATGGGTAGAGGCATTAGGCGAAGTAAAAAAAAAAAACATGTTTAGCGTCCCCGCCCGCTTCCTTTTTAGAGGCCGCCTCCTTTTTTATTTTTATTTTATTTTTTTTTTAAAAGACAAAAATTGATAAATTTTAACGATCTCTTTTGGTCCAACGATCATTTTGGTCTCATTTTCTGTTGCATCTTGCCCATAAGAAGCCAATATGTCATTTCCTGAGTCCAAGTGGCGGCCATTTTTTAAAAAGCTGGTAACCATCTTGAAAAATAGCCCGGCCGCGTTGTCTTGAAAAATGTGTCGGGCGGCCATTTTGAAAAGAAAAAAAGGGCCTCCTCCTTCCTTTTTGTCAAAGAGGCAGGACGCTAAACATGTTTTTTTTTTATTTTGCCTTATTAATACCTTTCAGTGGACTATAGTTGTCCATCCCAACCCTGTTCATACTGGGAGTGTGAAGAATTTAGATCATCTTGTCTTGTTCCAGTGTGAGGGGTTGGTTTTTCCACACTTAAAAATAAAGCCCACACCTCGACTGGCCTTGTGATGGGCAATTTGCATTTAAAAAAACCAGATGTGATCAGATCACATGGACACGTTGAAAAGTGTGAATGGTGTATGTTCTTTGTTTTTTTTGTTTTCCTACTTGACGTTTGATTTGCTTTATTCTTGCTAGGACACGGACTACAGTTGCGTCGTCAAAATGCCGTCACACGAATTCCAGAGGATTTGCAGTAACCTGAGCCAACTAGGGGACTCGGTCACCATCGATTGCCACAAGGAGGGTGTCGACTTCAAAGTCGCTGGCGAGCAGGGTTCAGGAGCGATAAAGCTGAAGCAAACCACATCGGTCGACAAGGAAGAAGACCAGGTAATTAATATCGGTAGTAACTGATTGCTTGTTATCCAGTTAATTCTAGTTGCAACAGACATAAAGCCTTGGTCCCGACTGTGCATATTATGTGCACAATGGATGGGACAAGCACGCTTAATACAAAATTCTGATATAACAATTTGGCTAGGTCCAGCCGAGTTTGTAATAATGAGAGGATTGAGAGTAGACTGTACTGAAAATAAATAAAGCAAAGGAAATGACGGAATATATTACTGCTCAACCGAATATCCAGCCTGTTGGCGGTCTGCCAAGATTTTGATGTCTGCTATTATTGAGCAGCCACAAGTGAGAAGTCTGAAGAGATAAATCTGTGCTTTGTGGCAAGCGATCATGCTTGAAGTCCGAATCAACATGAGCATTATTGCAAACCTGGCAATTGGCACTGCAAGCAGGGGTCGATTTCAAAAATAGAAGTTGCACGCACAACTGAGATTTTTTCCTTGAAAATGGGCTGAAAAACTAAAACTTTTGCATGCACAGGCAAAATTTTACATGTACAGAGCCAAAGCTACATGCATCTGTGCATGTAAAACCCCTCTAAATAGACCGCCGACTACAAGTGATTCCAAGTTTTCCCATTCAATTACTGTGTAACCCAGTAAATTATTGAGTTTGATCTGTCACTTGGGATGTTTACAAATCGTTGAATTTGATATTTGCCGCCAGGTAACTGTTCAACTGAACGAGCCTGTCACCCAGAGCTTTGCTTTGAAGTTCCTGTGTGCTTTCACCAAGGCTACATCCCTCTCCGACACTGTCAACCTCTCTCTCACGCAAGACACGCCAGTCGGTAAGCAGAACACCTCCATTAATCCTTCATTCTTTGGGGAATGGAGGGGAATATCATGCAGTCTTTTGTTCAGTTGCGTTGGTCAACACGGTCTTTGTTTCGAGTTTGCACCTGGCCAATAATGACTTTGTTGCAAATTTTGCACTGGTCATAGTACAAGCCAGGGACCACTGCCTAACATCGACAGAAAGGAAAAAGTTTGATCATGAACCATTGGCAACTACATGCAGTTGTTGATAAATAACGTACGTTGTTCCTGTGTGCCATGAAGCGAGAATGTCCCTCGACAGAAAAATACCGTCAAACATCATGAATCAGGTTCCGTCTTCCTTCTTTGCTATATGCAGAACCAGTGATTCCCCCCCCCCCCCCATGACTAGTCAACCTTGCATGTTTCAGGCAGACAACTTTCCGCGGAAATGCTGATTTCCTCGTTTTTATTACTTCTCATGAATGCCAATACAAATTGAAAAACACTGTACGAAGTTTTGTTTGGTTTGGAATTTCGTTTTTTTCTAACTCCCAGTTGCATGCCTGATGTTTGATGAAGGTCAATCAAACTAGATTCACACAGAGAGCTATATAAATTACAAGAGAGCTAACTTGCAGTACACAAGTTTGCCTGCTTTGCAAACACATGATTGTGCCCAAACTTACATAAAACTCGCGATTTGTATGACCATTTGCATATCTGCATATTTGCATTTGAAAGTGATGCATAAATGAATACAATATGCCCAAATTGAAACTTGTCTTTGATTTCACACTGCATTATCAATGTACACATGTGTATGGGTTTGTAAGTGATTTTGTTCTTAGTTCTGAAACTGCACCTGTGTAGCCGTGTTGGTTGTTCTCGTTTTGCATTTAGATCTCAATCGGATTTCCATTCCATCTTATTTCATTTTCCTATGATCGCGCATACTCTTTCAAAACCTCTGCCCCTAGGATGCTCTGAAAGTATTCTACACAAGGGAATCGGAATGTAGCGCTCTAGCAACTGCAAGCTCTATTGTTTAGCATTAATCTTTGGTCATAAACACAATCCTTACTCGATATCCGAGCTTGACTTACTGATGTCTTCCTTATTTTTGTTTTGCAGTTGTTGAATACCCCATCGCACAGCACGGCTATCTTCGTTTCTACCTTGCACCCAAGATTGAGGAGGAGAATTAACTTATTAGTTCATCGTTTTAGCTTAGGTGAACAATTGTACAAAATTTGATATTCGAGTATAACACAAAAGTAGATATTGTTAATGTTTTTTGGGCAGACACCTGTGAGTAGACGGTTGGAATTAAAATGCCACCTGCTTGTAGGTCACATTGTGCGGTTCAAAACTTTCCATTAATGAACAGTCGTTATATGGAGTGCACACTTTGAAAAAGATCCATTTTCTGTGTACAAATTGTCCAGATTCCTTAAGCCCTATTTATATTTGACTGTTCCAATAAAAAGCTCAAAAACATAAGGTAATACAGCCAAAAACATGGGATATTGTAAATATTAAAGTGCTGGTTGTTTCTCTTGTGTTGTAATATCATATTTCCCCATAAGCATAAAGGAAGACAGAAAAACAAGATGTACTTATCAAGGCTTTAATAACATCTTCACTAATCGTTGATTCATTTACTGGATATAGAAGCATACGTAAGTGATCAACACAAAGTTATTCATAAATAATGTGTTCTTACACGACAACTTTAACTGGTTACTTCAGTGAGTTTGTTTCATAACAAGCCAAAAAAGACACTCCAGTTTTAAAAATGAGTTGATCCATATTCTTAATTAGGCTTAAGTTCTTCCTCCATGGGCTTTAGCTACCTACATCATGTAAATGATGGTCAGTTTGCACGTACATGTACACTTAATGGTGTATTTCAGGTTGTCACAGAAGTGAATAAAAACATAAGATTATACTGTCCAAATAAGCAAATTCCTTTCTCTGCCTTTCGTTTTTTTAAGTATCCATAGAGACATTTGTAGAAAAAAAACATACGATTCCACCTGCAAAATAAAAAAGGCGGCTATATTTTATCCATCCACAAATACAAAAGGCCTATGAATACATGTACACGCATAATTATGCACTTGCAGCACGAAAAACGCACTTCGACTGGCGGCCAGTTTATCAAAACCTCGATAGATGAGGGCGCCCTCTCTGGTGTCCATAGAATGTGGACAAACGAAAGGCTCCCCCGCCCCCACACACGCACATACACGCGTGCATCGTGCCGCTTACCCAGAAAAAAAATTCTTGAGGGTATTAACGAAGAGATTTGCATTGCCTTTTCAAGCATTATGCAGACGTCTACAGGTTATACCACTTTTCTGCCATGGTTTCATGGAGGTTTTTCCCTGTATCCCTACTTAACTGAAATAATTCAATTAATTTGATTTATTTTTTTATTAAACTAATGTTACCCAGCAGGCCTAATTATTAAATTGTGCATCGATTACAAGTACTTTTTTACACATTTGTTTTACATTTCAATAATTCCGGGATGCAAGATTCAAAGACCCCCCCCAAAAAAAACCCAGTAAAGTTAAAACTACATCATAAATAATATAGAAACGGTTATAGGCGTCGCCAGGAGGAGGAAAGCCCCCCCCCCCCCCGGAAAAGCAAAAAACAAAGCAAAACAAACGAGGAAAAAAGGGGAAAATGTCCCCACCCATCGTCGAATTAAATGATAAATTTAGAATATGACTTGGCCAAGGATTTTGGGAAATAATGTGCTTTGCCCCCTCTGGAAAAAAATCCTGGCGACGCCCATGGAAAAAGTAAAAAGATGACACATAATTCCCAAGTGTAAATATTTTTCACGGGCAATAATGGAAACGTCAATACAGATCACATCATTCATTACGTTTTAATAATTACGGATGAGTGTCAAGGATGCTGTGCGTCCTCGAGGGTTTAAAAGCCACTTAATATTATTATGCCGTCCATAAATCTCTAGCCGATCGACCAAAACAGTAACATTTGAAACTTTTTTTGTGATCTTTCTAGGTCAATGATATACAATATCCAAGAAAAGACCTGTTATCTTCTCTAAGCTCCAAGGCAATAGATGGTCATGGCAGCAAGGGCGGACCCAGAACACATTATTTTTTTTAGGGGGGGGGGTGCAAACAAAGTTTGGGTTCCCAAAAAGTGAAGCCATTTTTTATGGTTTCTTGATGCTCTGTGGTGTGATCTGAGGCAATTTCTGATCACTTTAACCTTTTTTGAGGAAAAGATGTACGCACAGTGCTTGCCTTTATTGTGACATCACTTATAAAACAAAAATGGGTTCGGTTTTTTTGGAGGGAGGGGGTGCATGGCCCCCGTTGCCCCCCCCCCCCCCCGGATCCGCCCCTGCATGACAGTCAGTACCAGCCCAAGCTCATATGATTTGGAGATTGAACACTGCAGGTTTGTTGACCGGCTTTGGGTGACGCCAGCAAGGCATGAAGGCATCCCAGAATCCCTGCCTGTATGACTCATTGGTTAAGACGTACACCAGCGGATTGATGCTTGAGTTGAAGAGCAGCAAGGCATAGGAATAGACGGTGGCCTGGTCGTCTTCAAGAAATCTCAGCTCGGTGCCCAAGACGTTTTGGATGTAAGAAGCTATTACCAGCACTGCCATCATGAGATTGCAGCTGAAAAACACGATCGTGTTGATTGCCAGCATCCTTGTGATCCGGACTCGCGATCTCCGAATGTTCTTTATCCACCGGGGACTTGATATGACTTGCTGCCGGTTGGACTTGGAGTGACGGATCAAGAAGCTTCTTCGGAGTGCCCTGATGATCCGCGAGTACACCACAACGTTGAAGATGAGCAGAATAAAGAAGGGGAGAACTTTGACCAGGTCACTGTGAAAAAGGCGCCGGGGCTCTTGGTAGATTAGCCGGCATATTTCAGCACTAGTCTCGCTGTTCACCAGCTTCCGCGGTGGTTGTAGTATCCGACATCCATCCCCTGATAAAATACTCTCTATATTTGTCAGGAAACTGTACAAAACACTCAATGCCCACCCGGCAGCAACGAGCTTCGTGTTTCGTGCCTTGCTGGATACAACTCGGTGCCTCAACGGTCGACATATCGCTAAGTATATATCCCATGTTACCAGCGACACCTTAAGGCCTTTTCACACTATCTCCGTTTCGAACCGTGTTGAAACCTACCCGGATCCAACCCGGTTCAGCCCGAGTATTTTTCGACACGGATCGGAGAGACGCGACGTTCACACTGTCCTTTACGGGAACGGCCACTACGTGAACCGTGTAACGTTCAATCCGGCTACGGCCCCTGTGAATTCACACTACAAATTCTCGACACGGATCGCATTCGGCACAGGGCGCTGCGATGATTTTCTCAATCCCATAATGCATTGCGACGCACGAGGCTTACGGACAGGCCGGTGTGCAGCGTGAATTTACTACTCTGTGAAATACGGACTCATTGGTAGTATTGCGCATGCCTATTGGGAGAAGGACCTGTCACGTGAAAGGGTTTGACCAATAATAAGAGAGTAAACGAATCCGATTTGGGAGTCCGATTTTTGTACGACACCAGCCCAGATGTGTGCAATATTTCCAAAATGGCTCCGGTCATTTCGTTAGACGATTCGTTCTATTTAACATTAGAAATGAACATTTTTGGGGTACATTTTGCGGACTTAATACAAGCCCAGACTCGGTAAAGGATGCTCCATACACCGATACATTATTGGATGATAATTAGGGAGCGATTGTTTCGGGATCGGTGTTTGTGACGGCGATAGTGGTGGAGGGAAATATTATGCTCGGCGTGTCAGATTTTCGGTAAAATGTCGGCCTCAACTCAACACGGATCGGCCGTGAGTGACTCAACCCGGGGCGGTTCACACTATCATTTTCGACACGGTTCACGCCGAAAAATGCAATTTCGATCCGGGTTGAGATTTTCAACCCTGGTCCCTCCCAGGGTTGATTTCGATCCGGCTAGAGCACTCTACCCGGGTCGGAACCGGGTTGAAACTTTAGAAGTGGGAAAAGGGTTGAAAAAAATCTCGGGGTTGGAACCGGTTCCAACCCGGAGATTTTGGACAGTGTGAAAAGGCCAATAGACAGACCCGAAAAGTACGAGAGGGTGACCGCCACTTGGTAAGCGCAGCCGACCCATTCAACCGGTCGGTAAGACGAAGTGTTGAGGATCGTTGCCACCACGCCAAAAACCAGTACCATGATGTCGGCAACAGCCAAGTTGGCGAGGTATATGTTGGTGACGTTGTGCAGTGGCTTATGTCGGTAAACCACGAAGAGGAAAGCCGAGTTGACAACTATGCCGAACGCCTCAACGCTCAAGCAAAGCGTCCGCAAACCAAAACGCCCATCGGAAGAAGGCGTGGAAAATGTCTCCGTGATGTTTGTTACTCCGACACAGTCATTCCACGAATTGTACGGGAGAGATGTGGTGAAATACGCCATTTTTAAGTCGTCCTATTCCGTTTTGTTCTGTGCTTATTCGTATGCACCCACCCTAAAGTTTCAATGGTTGCATGTGAAGCATGCACTAAAAATTATACAGCATACTGGTTTTCGACAAACTAACGAATTAGTCAAAACTAATACCACAAAAGGTGCCAACAAAACCAAAGTGTCTAACGTATTAGGCCTATATAATGAGATACCCTATCAAAATGCACGCCAATTAACTTGGAGCTGGCAAGTGAATACATTTCCAAGTCTGACTGACCACACGCAAAAAAGTTGAGAGGAAATTACATTTCATGGCACGTAGGCCTGATATTCCAGCGAATCACTAAAATGATAAAAAACCAAAACGGGAAGGAATCCCACAGGACCGGTTTCTTTTCCTTAATGCTCGTAAACCTCCGGCTTGTACGCAAACAAGGGATTGGGGATTTGTCATGTGTTAAGACCGATAGGCCTACTGGCCATTTTTCCGGTAGGGATTACATTTCAAGTTTTATTTATTTCCTTCTTTTGATATCTTACAATAATTTGAATAGAAACGGCTTTACAAATAGTGCGGCCTATATAGGCTATAATGCCAAGCGCTATATCCATGCAGAAACTTTTGCAAATTAACTCAATAATACTAGCACAGCAGAGGAGAGGTAGGCTTACAGGCCCAAGTAACTTGATTATAAAAGGTCTATAAAACCGGGGAATTAAGGTCGATTGAGAAAACAAAAACAACAGCGATATGAACACTGTTATTTCGGTTGTGTAAAAATCAGACGGTTGTGTACTATTATGAACCTAGCAACCCGTTGTGTAAGCTGTTGTTTATACAACTTGTGTAAAATATTACACAACTTGTTCATTTTTTTTTTACACAACTGGTTGCTAGGTTCATATAGTACACAACCGAAATAACAGTGAAGTATTAACTCGCCACGTCGTAAGAGAACAAATGTTATCTTTTTAGTGTTTGGAAACATCTTTAGGATTAATTTCAGCTCAGTGGCGACTTCAGTGTTGGAGCATTTATTTAATTGCTTGAAAAAAAAAATGTGTCTGAATTCATAGGCCTATTCGTCCAAAAGGTCATGGTCAACGCGGCCTGGAAAGTATGTTGGCTTTCCAAATAATGTGGAAAAATATAAAACCTATGCCTACGGTTGACTTGCTACGGATACGGTGATTGATTGGCCTGTTAACCGGAGCCCTGGGCCGAAAGTTTGCTTGAAGAAAAAATACAAATGATCAGTTGTTCTCTTGCATTATGAAGGCATAGAATTAATTTCAAATACAAATTTTTGATCACCACTTCTGTATATGTGCACTTCCTGAAATGGTAACACATTATATACATTTATGTGATTTCATCCTATTATTACATTCACTGAGAATACTAAACACAAAACGATGCCAAAAGAAATATCACGCAATAATAAAACATTGAACATTTTGTTTACATGTTGTGGTCACGTGATTCCAACTTTCAGCAAACTGTTGTCTTCTGCACTTCAGGTGTGTATCTCTTGAAATGCGATTGGTGTAAAAGTGGTGACGTAAACTGTTTAATGTGCGCAACATTACATGTAACTTAATGTAGCCCGTTGGTATGACGTCACAGGTAACAAAATATCCATCACTAAGACTTATTTCTAATTTTACATGACGCTTCATGACATTAAGTCTTGAACAGGCTGTTTCGTGGATTTTATTGCTATATTAGATTGAAATAAAAAAAATGAAAACCCTCGGAGATTCATGTAAAGGATAAAGTCTTTATCAGCGTTGCCCGATCGTAGTTTGCCTAAAAAAATCAAAACAAATCCAAAGTTTTGCATGGGTTGGACTCGAACCCACGACCTCTTGCTTGTTAGTGCTGACGTCTTACCACTCAACCACCGAGATTGACAGTGAATGTTGGTTTGAATTTCATAACAAATTATTTAGAATGGATTTTTTTGTCGGGAGATGTAAGTTCAATACAAAGTATTGTTTTACCCTTCACCGACGTATTTTTGTAAACATTGTCTACTCAGTGGTTCACAGGAGGGCTTGCAAGCAGAACAAGAATACGTGGGGTAAGGGATCGGGAAAAAAATGAAGTTTATCTCCCGTCCCATTAATTGTGTTTAGTTTTCCATTAGAGGAAAGTGCCCTAACAATTAAGAATTCGGCCCTGTCTGACTATTGAGTAGTGTGTTTCTTTTCATAAAGCGGTCTCCATGCTCGGTTTAGATGCACTCTCTTCTTATAAGAACAAAGGAGAAAAGTATTCATTTGAAGCGCGTGTGGTATGCGCGCGCGCTTCCCTGCCTATATCCTAAGCACGTACACGTGTACGAGCACGCACAGCACCTTTGGCGGTATGTCAAAGAGTATCTATAGCAAGTTGTTGTCAGAATTATCGAGAGACAGGATGGAGACGCCATGATGTTATATACTTCAAGCTTCACTTCTTCGTACTTTGGAGCAACAGGAAAACCACTGGACTTCAGCAAGGTAGGCCTAAATATGGGCAAATTCTGGGTAAAAAAAAAGCTCTGTGACGACCGTAAAAGACAAACATATCACTATCAGAAGGTCCTATAGGCCTAAATCCAGACTAACACGTTATCCGACGTTGGCGGCCATTTTTGTTACGCGTGCTGAAATTGCCAACGACAGGCCCTACTCTAACAAAGCTAAGTTTTGAAACTGGTATAAAACAAGAATACAATCATAAGTCTTAGAAATAGTCCATTGTCTGTTCATGTTATGATTCATAAACTTAGGCGTACAGTTTTGGATAATTATTAAATCTCGTCTCGAAACTCGAAGCCTTTCGTGGGTATTTAATTGGTGGTAAGTTTGGTCGAATTTGGGCGATTGTGTAGTAAGGCCTATCAATTGGTTCCCCCCCCCCCCGGGCTGCCACCCCCTCCCCCAAGACGTGGGGATTGTCACTTTTGAATTAAGTGACAAAATCCCCACCCCTCGGGCAAAATTTATGTGACAATCCCCCGACCATGCCCCATACATACGTGGGGCGCACTAGTGATTGGCTTTCCATGTTGTACGGCAATGTTAACAATGTAATTTGAGTGACCAAAATCCCCAACCTGGGGTATGAAAAATGGGACCAAATACCGACGTCGGACCTGGGGCAGCGGGGGAGGGGGGGGGGGGGGAACATTTGATAGGCGCATAACGTGGAGCATTTCCACGCTTACTTTCCGATCCTCATGCTGCGTTTCCAAACTTCTTTGTTGACAAACTTCAAATTCATTCAGTGAAATACTGGTACATTAACCCCAGAAAATATTTCTGCTTCCGGCATTCGAAAATAGGGTAGGTAGGTAGGCAACTTTTTTGGCCAATTGTTTACGTCTGCGTGTATTCATGGGTAACAAGTGGAAATTGATGGTTTTGGGTGTTTTTTCCCCTCATTTCACCCCCCCCCCCCAAAAAAAAAAAATGAGGGTGGGGCTGTCAGAATAGGGTAGGTAGGGAAACCGGAAGCAGAACTTATTTTATTGGCCTTATTAATGCTTGCTATTTAACCTCTGTGAACAATAAATTTGGTATCATGAAATTTAATCAGAAATTTAATCCGGAAATTGGGCAAGTTTGTCAGAAAATCAGTATTTGGGGGGGGGGGGAGGGGGGACATTCAAAGGGTTCACTGTGCACTTCGAAATATAATCGGGAAAATCACGCCGATATAAATTTTTCTTTTTACTTTGTATTGGAAGATAAACTCGTGATTTATGAACGGGAGTGTTTAGAACTTGATGAAATTTCACTTTCTGTGAAATTTCAGTTAAAACTGTTCTTCTTGCTGGGCGCTACAGGCGAAAAAATCAAAGTGAGCCACATTAGGGGCCGCACCACGTTAGGGTACATCAACAATATGGGTTCCTCTTTAGTTTTAATCAAGTTAGAGTCGCGGGGTGTTATAAAAATGACTTCTGTATTCTAATACAGCCTTCTACTAATTTTAACGACTCTATTGTTTTTCAAGTTTTAACATTATCTTTCGGGGACTGAAAAATGCGATGTTCGTACGCATTTTACAGTTGATGCTATGCGATCTATTTCAATGCGATTCAGTTGCATGTTCATTGTGCTTCGCGCGGTGGTCGCCATGTTTACTGTTGTGATCATTCTTCATCGTCGTTTTAGATAGGCCCTATATACCCAAAAATTACCTTTAACAAATTCAAACCATCTCTATCCACGACACTCCTGTTGGTTTAGAATGACGTTAATAGTTTGGTTAGTCCTATAACCTAAAGGTGGATTTTTTTTTGTTTTCTTATAGGATAGGACCCGTAACTGCATTTCGCCTGAATTTGCAGGGGGCTCTAAAATGGGAGTGGTATCTCATTTTGTGCAGAGGGTATACTCCGTGGATTTTTGACCAAAAATTAAAACAATCAAAACACTCTATATATCTTGCCTTCCTCCGAGCGAAAGGGGGCGGGGGAGGGTATTATACCACCGTTAGTTCAAGAAAAGATTCAGATTGTTTTCAGGTAGAGTGTGAGTAAGGGTTTCAAATAGGAAAGGAGGAATTTCATGGAGAGCTAGCTAGTCTGGCAACAACGTCCCACAAGTTTGAAGTCCGTAGACCCAAAACTCGTGGAGAAAATGTGACATAAGCAAGAATATTTTTCCCGAGTTTGTTTCTGTGTGTAAATTGCCATAGAGTATAGGCTGTCAGCGGGCTTCACTCCGTGGTGTGTTTACTTGCTATATCTCGCCTTGACGGTATCTTGTTATGAGAAATTCCTGATTTTTTTGACATGTATGGAGAGTTAGCTAGTCTGGCAACAACGTCCCACAAGTTTGAAGTCCGTATACCCAAAACTCGAGGAGAAAATGTGACATAAGCAAGAATGTTTTACCCGAGTTTGTTTCTGTGCATATATTGCCATAGAGTAGGCTGTCAGCGGGCTTGTATCCGTGGTTTGTTTACTCGCTATATCTCGTCTTAACGGTATCTTGTTATGAACAATTCCTAA